ATGCTTTCTTCAAACAATGGCGTTGCATATCACTTCCCAATTCGCCAAGCCCTCCGCATCGCAACAACGTCACAGAATCCCCATGTTGTAAGATTGCATCTGGCTGGTGGCGTCTAAACCCAAGAGGTGCCTGAGAATTAGATTGACCACACTCTTGTTTACTCGAGGTCCGTAAGGAACACGGCTCTCATTGGGGGCATCCATCCATTTTGCTGGCATTCGGACAAGAAGCTGGCCTCCATAATCTCGTCCATGACAGCTCGGGACTCACTTGAGCGGACCGTTCTTTGACACTGCCGTCAACCGTGCCTCTTCAACCAACAAGGCTACAGCTCTGGCAATGGGACGCTACCCTACCCGCCAATCCGCCTTGCACATGCAACCTCCACAGTAGCGCGGCAGCTCCATCTGTCACAGCAGACTGGAGCCTCTTGAACCTTCTTCTTCTGGTGTCTTGACCCGTCACCAGAGGACCCTAACGTCGTTAGCACCGAGATCTAGCGAAGCCTATCTTCAGGCAAAGTATACATAGTATATGTGGATTCACTTGACGTCTCGCCTTTGTCTCCCCCTTCTCCACGCCCATTCAACTCAAATCTGGGGAAGGACTCCACGGAAGCCCTACGGTCTGCTTTTCGCGATCCCTGACCGACCGGCCGGCGGACCGATACTCCACATGCAAGCCAGATCACAACCACGACCTTGAGAGTCTTGCCGGTCACACCGTCAATCCTGATTTGCTAACCGTCCTGATACCCAGTATTGGATAGCCAATAGGCACCTTCCTTCAACGCCACATCGCTAAAGTGTTGCCGCAACCCCGATCCTTGGACGTCCAAGAACGTCTTCTCCGGACCTTTGACAGCTCCATCGCCCGTATTGGGAAGCAACATCTCACCCTGCCTGCGTATGACCTTGTAAGTGACTCTCTTCACGCTGAAGAGAAACCATGAGCCCGAGCACAGAACTCCGATCAACGCCTTGTTGGGCATGAACTAATCGCAAGCGCGCGGACATGTTTCTCCAGTCTCACTTTGTTTTCTCTTGTCCATCACGATGCTACATTCATTGATCATCCGGAGGTTATGGTCCAGCTTCGGCATTTCTTGCTGTTGGTACCAAGTCCTGCCGCATACCTATAGCTCAAAGGATTGGAGACAATTCCTGGCAGCACCGTCTCTTATAAGCAAACAATATGACACAACGAACTTGATGTGTTTTACTTACTAACCGTGTTGATCGAAGGAATCGGACTCGAACGGATCGAACTTGTTCCGCCTTCAGGGTCCTCACCTCAGCACGCACAGCTGAAAGTGCGTCATGGTAGCTTCAAGCTTTCTGGGTAACTACCGAATTACAGTCTTCGCATTCTCTATTTCACTGCTAGCTGGGCTGTCGTGATGGGAGACAACCCCAATAGGGACTTCCTTAGCCTTTCCGTCTGGTCCAGGCCGTGTTCACAACTAAGCTGACAGCGGGCTATCCCTGTGGTACGGATAAGTAGCCTGACAACCAGAATTCCAACATCCAAGATCACATAGAGAAGCCTTCTGCATCAACCCCGGCGGCGATATATTGTCTTATGCACCCCGCCATTTGTCCCCGGAAAAAGGACCGCTTTTCCACCACAACGAAGTCAGAAGTGCCTATACTGAAGCAGTCAGCACTCTTGCCAAAACTCCCGTCAGCTTTCGTTTCCAAAGCGCCGGGCAGAGACGTCAGGTCCGATGCATTCAAGAGCCATTGACCTTCCTTTTCGAGATCAAGTAAGGCGGCCCGCACAGATGCACCCCAGGCTGATATATCGGCATTGGTTTGACAACATCATGGGATCGTCAGACCACATGGCTTTGGTGACAAACACCTTGCTTTTTCCTCTCCGCTTACATCCGGGGTATCGCACTTGGCCCGACTGGACACGACGTCGGTACCGAAGACCTTTTGAAGACCGCACACTTTGCAGATCATAAGGGTTCGCTGGCTCCTCCTGAGTCGCCGGTGTCCATCTGACTAAGGTATGTCTTCATTTTCGCATGGACTGAGCATGGTTCTGCACGAACATACGCACCGTGGCTCGGAGCTTGCGGCGCAAGCGTCAGGCAGTTAAGCCTGGTGGAGGTTTGAAAACCCGGTCAGAGACCGCACAAGGCAAGTTATCTCATCGACATCGAGCCTCTCTGGCAGCTATCATCTATCTCCAACGTCAGGTTCCCCGCTACTAGTGGACGGGAAGCAACTCACATGATCAACCGTTGAGTTTTCCAGACGTTCCTGAACCTAGCAGCCACAAAGCCTTCCGCATTGACGTCCAATCGGCAAAATGAAGGCGTCCCAGTCTGCATGTCAAAAACCACGTGCCGGCAAATATCGCAATGGTCGGGCGGGATGGGAAGCACTGCAGTACAATAACCTTCCTTACATTCTCCTTTCTCGGATATCTCACTTACCTATACCTCTATGCCGCTTTGGTGTTGCGGAGGGAGGAAGCACGACATAACCAGTGGGAGTTCAGAGCTGGGCGTACCAAGCTTTACAACAACTCCGGGGAAAGAAACATATGATGATCGGCAAACACCAGGAGGAAGAAAGAAAGACCACATACAGAGCAAACATCAGATGTGTGATTCTTACTCTCTTCATCCATAGGTGCAGGACGACAGCGATATAACATATCAGATGGCAGGTAACAACGGGCAAGATAAGCGGTGGTTAATTGCTGGTTAATTAACATGACGCTATGGGGCCGCACGCTGTTCATGATGATCACCACCTTTTACTTGACGGTTTGGTGACGTTCCTGGGGTTTGTTGATGGGCTTCTTTACCCGCGAACCAGATTCTCTCGGGCATGTTTCAATGGAGCTTTATCAAGGAAGAGAACCATCGCTTCAAACTACCTAACCGCCAGCTATTCATCATCCATGGAAGTGCAATTCTAAACAGTCAATTGCAAGAAGACTTACAGTGAGACAAACCATTGCTGTTTTGCGGTTTCTCATTCTTGCGTTCCGTCACATACCTCAACTTGAGTATTTCACAAAAATTCCCGTCCTTCCACAAAACAAACCGCTCCACATCACACAGTCAGTTAAATCGACGCCGTCGATCATCACCGCTCCTATATACCTTACATATACCTCTAGAGATGTGACAGTTGTAGTATAGTGCAGTGTTAGGTAGTTAAACGCCTCCCCCAGTCCGGCACTTACCATCACGACCCCCTGTCCCCCCACAAACCGCTAACGGACTGTACTGTGCCATCTCCGTTGAGCATTTTGACATTTTTCCGGAACTTGTTGTTGGAGCTTGCATCAATTCCTCTATGTGGGTAAGGTAGCTCGGGCTCGGGCTCGGAGGTTATTCCGCTCTTGGGTAAGGTAGACTAGAAGTACCTGGAGATTTTGTTCCTGCTCTGCTTTGCGGGGAAAAGAAAGGTTGTAGGTAGGTAAGATATCCAACATGCGAGTTTGCAACTTGGTGAAGGGAATCGGTTACCTAGTGGCCTTCTCAGATTTGATCTTTGAGTTTGCGTTCCATGTCTTTGAGGATAGGTATTCTCGTATACGCTGAGTTGGAGTTGTGAGTGCATGGGACTATCCTACTGGCGGATTGTTGTTTACCTACGTTTAAGTTAGCTTGCCTGGTGAAGTATCCTGCACATGGAGCTAGAGACGGGTTTTTTTGTCGTGCTATTATGGTAATCTCCTTGCATCGGGAGCGAGGATTCGCGCGGTTCTCTATTTTTTTTTTCTTTCGAATCATAAACTTGAAGTTGACAAGAAAGAACTTCCTGGAATACAAGCTGGTTGATTCATCGTTAACGCCGAACAATTACCTAGGTACTTCAAGTTTCGAGTTAGACCTTTGGAGGTACAGGTATGTAGTGTAATTACCACAACGCAGCCATCGAGTCTCTCCACCATTTTGGCACCCCAGAGTTGCGGTTTTGTCAACAAAACACATCGATATTGAGTCTTGGGAGGAAGCTGTTTGATATGATTTGCGCATCGTGGGAGATTGCTGGCCAGAAGTTTGGCAATTTTCGAGTGTCGCTGGTGATGCCCGGAGTGTGTCAGGCTTGTTGCAATAAGCAGTTTTGGATGCCTGTCATAAGTGGAGAGACGGGCATGTTTTTATATCAAATCACTAAAAGCGCCAGTGGTTTAGTGGTAAAATCCATCGTTGCCATCGATGGGCCCCGCGTTCGATTCGCGGCTGGCGCATTTCTTTTTCAATTTTTTTTTTCGCTCAAAAAGTTTCTGTTTTTTATTCTCGTCGTCTTGTTTTTTGTTTTATCTTCTGAATTCACGTTCCTTGCTGATTCTCTCAAGTGCTGCCCCAATATTTTTTCCTAATGTGTCGTCTTGATTTGCATGAGCTGGACCATGACTTGCTCGCAGCATTGGTGCACATTGCGCCTTCGTTACTGACGGAAAGCATAAGAAAATCAGGCTTGTTCAACCATCTGAAGCAAACGACGCGTAGCAAGCCCTCTGACTTGAGATCTCTTCCTGGGTTCTTGAAACCCGAGGCATTCCGTTGCTTCAATGCGAAGTCATTCCCAGAATCTCCCGATCGTTCTTCCCTTCTCAAAGTTCTGCAACGTCTCTTAACGCATGCGCAACAGGGCAGCTGCGGCACAACGCCCACCAGCAACTTCAACATCTGATCAGATATTGTGGACTTTTCACCACCGATATCTGGCGAAAAGGGTATTTATAATACCTAAGACAGCCTCAAAAGCCTTGAATAAATCTGGTGTGTTGGCCTTACAGTCAAAATTGACGCTGGATTTGTTGAGTGCCTGCAGTGCGTTTGGCGGCTCGGTTTTCGGAGGACTCGTCATAGAATATCCATTACACTTGCCTGTCCAACTCGGCGGACCGAGCTCGTGATCACATTTACGTCTAACTGGCTCCTTCACTTCCAAGTTTATGATGCAGACCACGCATGTGTGTAGAATGGAAAGTGCAGGGCGGGGCAAACTGGGCATTCTTGCATGGCAACTTCCACTTGTCATCTTTTCACAGCAGTCCATCCACTCAAACTTCTTTCCCAAAATCCAACGAATTTCTCGCTCCAGTTATCTCGTAGAAGTGAACACCATCCACCACAGAAGGTACGTCTATCATCCAGTTGATCTTGCTCTTTCCTTCCCTTGTTAGCCCCTACCAGACCTTCTCTGTATTTCCGCGGCGCCATCCTCCTGTGAATTACCTGGAAGACTCCAAATCAATCATTTCAGGAAGGCACCATACATGTCATATGCTAACTAAATGTTCAATACAGAACACCGAAACCCAGCAACAATGGGGAGCATGGCCTTCGCCGAACTGAGCGAGGCTCTCCTCACCGTCGATGACCTAGGAAACCCCATTTATCTTCAAAAGCAAGACGTGTTACGGGATATGGGCATTGAAACTCCGCCACTACAGGTGCGTAGCTACTGAGGCGAACAAAGGTGGATGGCAGCGAGCAAGCCGTGCACTCGAGTATCGTGCCTACCATCTCGACCTAGTTTCCAGACACTAACGGTTTCGTGATAGATTGTTCTTATTGGAGGTCTGTCTTCTGGCAAGACCTCTCTTTTGGAGAGGCTGACAGGATGCACCTTACCTTATGACGGCGGGCCTACCACCCGCTTCGCCACTCGACTTACCTTCCGCCGCGATCCCATCAAGAGTATCGTCACATTCATCACGCCGAAGGGCTGGTCCCAGGACGAAGACACAGTCAAAAGGCTGAGATCCTTCCACCACGTGCTTGACAATCTTGATGCCAAGACCCTCGCAGATACAGTCGAGGAGGTAAATCAACCCTCTTCCTATCACCCATTGTGTCGAGTTCCTCGTTGACCACGATTACAGGCAGCAGCTCTTATGGGCCTTCCAACGGGTTTCGTGGAACATGAACACGATGTGTCTCTGTGCGAAGATATTTTGGAAATTGAGATCTCCGGGCCTGACGTATGGTGTTCTCTTACACTCCCACGAAGGAGTCATGCCAGGGTCCATGCTAACTGAACGGTCACAGCAACCTAATCTTGCATTTATCGACACACCGGGTCTACTTGGTGCCGAATCCCTTGGTCCAGGTATGAGCAACAACCTTTTACGAGCGTAGAGGTAACTTACGACTGACCATTATCCTGAAGACAATTCGGGGAAGAAGAAAAGGTCCCTGGTAGACGGCATTGCACGGAATCATCTGACGAACGAACAAACTCTGTATGTCACAACCTACTCTAAACTGTTTTGGTATTATTAGCCCGTGAAAGTCCGCTAATCATCACTGCGATCACAGCATTCTCGCAGTTATTTCATCCTTTTCTGACCGCGCCAAAGAAGATGTTCTGCGACTCGCCAAAGCCGCTGACCCAAAAGGCGTGAGGACGCTATGCGTCCTGACACATGCTGATATGGTGAAGGGGGAACCTAAAGTCCAGACCATTCTCGCTCCAGCTCGGGAGGACACACACGCATTAGGCTGCTTTTGGGTCCGAAATCGTGGCGCTGACGAAGGTGAGCTTAGCGCTGGCCAGTGCAGGACGAGGGAACTGGCACTTTTTGCTGAATCTCGACGGGCCAGCTTCTCTAAGCTTGGACGAACCGGTGTTGACGCCCTGAAAAGTGCGTTGCGAATGCCACTTAAGAATCTTGCCAACGAATGTCTTCAAAGACAAAGGACTGAACTCCTAAGGCGTTTGTCTGCCTGCAAGAAAGAGCGTCTGGCGCTAGGTCCACCAAGAGATACGCCTACTAACCAGCGCGAGTACCTGATGGAGCGTGTATCGACATTTGAGCGGCTGGCTTCTGCCGCGCTGGAAGGCCATTATGGCGCTGATCGACTCTTCACTACAAATGCTGTGTACAAACTTGTTACGAGCATCACTGATCTCAACTACAAGTTTTGCAACGCGATGCGGAAACGAGGGCACACATATTACTTCAAAAATGAGAAGGATGATGATGGGCAATTCGATTGCAATGTTCATGGCTTTATGCAAGGTTTGAGGGAACTTTGCGAATGGGCTGCTTCTTGTGAAGAACTTGGGGAGTTCCTACACCCTTATAAGGGAGAAGAAGTCGATGCCATGACGAAACAAGAGGATAGTATCATAGCTTACCTGAGAGCGGTGACTTCAGGGCTCCCGCGAGTTGGAATACAGTCAACTGTGAGTTTGAAACCAAGCGGACTAAAGAAAATGTTGATGGCTAACTTCTCTATAGCCTGGAGAATCAATCTTCACCATGATCTTCCAAGAACAAGCTGAGAACTGGACCCTCCACGCCAACTATCTTATGAAAGCGGCCATCTTTAATGTGCATCGCTTCATCTGCCAATTGATGGAAGACGTCTTTGAAGACTCATGGATTCGCACAGAGCTCCAAGACCTTCTCAGCGAAAAGATCCTTAAGGCGTACAAGCGGGCATGGGACCACAAGGATTTTCTGGTCAAAATGGAACTTGGCTGCCGGTCTCAAACATACAACCCGCACCTGGACGCCGCTATTTTGAAGATTGGCCGGGAGAACTTTCGAACAACCTTGATCGAATCCTACAACAATGAAAAACGCCGGCTCCAGCCTGAATCGGCATTCAACGCCGCTGTAAAGGTTGCCTTTGGCTCCAGCGGAGTGGAGGATGATCTCCATGATTTGTTGCAGGCATACTACACAATTGCCATCGACAGATTTCTCGATAACGTCTGTCGGCAAGCAGTCAGCTATTTCCTGCTCGAAGCAGACGACGGCCCGGTGAAGATCCTCACGGCGGAGTTCATTGCAAACCTGAGCGACTCGCAGCTGGACAGGATTGCCGGTGAGGATGCGATTACGAGAGCGACAAGGCTGAGTCTTGATGCGGAGTGCGAGCCTCTGGAGAACGCGCTGAAGGTGCTTCGGGATTGAAAAGTCGAGGACGTGGACAGAGAAGGCCTGTCAGGCTGGGTTCATGTATACGGACTTTCGGTGGGGTGAGAGAAAGGGCCATGTTTGCAGAGATAAATGACCTCAACAAAGTTGTAAGGATAGATATCTTGTTTGGTCACGTATCAGCAATGTCTCTACTTAGATCTTGTTTTTGTATTCGATTCTCTAGTTCTTTGGAGAAAATTGGGGATGATGGGCAAGGAAAGCCATGAGCCCAGGCAGACAATTACAAACAAACCAGTAACAAGCAATAGCTAAAATCCAGACACAGAAAAGACTTCTCAATCTACAAAAGAACCCAAGAGCCGCATGAATCGAATTTGCTGGCATCGCAGAAAGAACTCACTAACTAGGTACCGTACTCTCCGTTTGTAGTGGCGCCAGTCACCGCAAGTCATTTCCGTTCAACGCGCCGCGGCCATCGTGATAGACGGCCACCGGCTTCATGTTCCATTTAAACGCGAGGCCTACTACGCGCGCATCACCGCATTGTCAAACTACTCAAGGGGGTAGATAGAGATTCCATCGAGACATCAAGAAGCCCGATTGTAGAAGCCTGGGCGCAGATGAACGCGATCGATGAACATTGAACGTGAACGGCGGTGGCAGCCCCCGTTTGTTGGTTCCGTGACCGTCCGCATTCCCGTTTGCTGCATGTGCCTTCCGCTACAGTCTTCTGGGATTCGAACTCTTTCTGTTTCGTACTCACATTCCTGAAATTAAGTGTGACATGGAAGCCTCCGTTGATTTGCCATATGAGTTTTGTAAGTGTACATATATGGAAAAGGATCTTGGTCTCGTGCGGAGAAGTGTTGAAAGGTCGGATATTTGCACATATATCATGTTCTTTTGCGTACGTAGCTATCCAATGGGCAAACTTCGTTTGGCCATACGGGTACTTTGATGGATCAAACGTGAAAGGGGAGTGAAAACGCTGTGAGTGATGACTCTTGTTGGAGTATGTCTTTTTGCTGTCGTTGGCTGCTCTATGGATCCTTCAACATTGTGTAAGATAAAAGCCATGAGTTATCCTATGCGGTGATATTGCCGCTTTCATCTTCCTTCATCAGAGCTTCTGTCCTCCCTCCGTTGAGTAGCCGACTAGACTCATAATCCCACAACGAGGGGATTTTCTCCCAAGTTCTCTCTTCCCCTATCTTAGTCGCAATCGCAATGCTGCGGCTAATCCGTTCTCTGCCTACTATCCCGATCACATTTTTCTCCTCGCAGTACTCTCAGCGACAAAGACGCCGGTTGGTAGGTTTCTTTTTCTTATGTTTGTGTATTCCAGCACCGCTTCACGAATTCGTGCTTGTTGATCACTCTCCCACTCACCCCGTGCTTGGATAGAGGTAGTCACTCGCTATCCAAAATTTATCTGCTGACAAAATTGGAGAGAAAAGGCCACCTACATCACGATGCAAGACACGACAACTCCTCTCGAAACCCAATTGCCACCTCTAGACAGTTTCGCGAACCTTGACAGCCTCGGCAATCACATCTATCTCGAGAAACAGGACAAACTTCGTGATCTGGGGATTAACATCCAAACATCTCAGGTTGGTAGACGGATGCCACTCGGATAACTTACATATCTATGACCTGCGCTTGGAGTTTGTCCATTCTTACTTACTTACCTGTCTGGATTAGATCATTGTTGTAGGCGGGCAATCATCCGGCAAAAGCTCCCTCCTCGAGAGCCTGACGGGCTTCTCGCTCCCGCGAGGCCAAGGTTGCTGCACACGGTTTGCAACGCAAATCACACTGCGGCGCGACCCGGTCAAGAAGACTGTCATCTCAATTACGCCTAGGAGTAATTCGGACCAAAAGCTGAGAGACACATTGAGAGCCTTTCGGCATGAACTTACTGAGTTCCACCCTGAGGATGTGGCGGGTGTTATTGAGAAGGTGTGAACATTCGTCTTCCAGGTGGTGATCAACGGCTAACTCTGGATGATTTAGGCGAACGTGGCCATGGAGATTAGATCAGGTATCAACAAGGATATTCTCAGCCTCCCCATGTTTAGTGATGATATTCTCAAGATTGAGATTTCGAGCCCTGATGTGAGTGGTCAGCCGGCAATCATATTGGAGAGCGGTCAGAAGAACTAGCTGATGTTTGAATCAACAGAATCCCCACTTGACAGTAATCGATGTGCCTGGACTTTTCCAGGTCACAGACCAGCGTAGGTTATACTCGTCTGTTATCGTTCAAGCTGCGAGTTGACAATTCCTTCCAGTAGGTTATGCTACCGATAGAGATAAGTCGATGGTTGAGGCGATGGTGAAAAGGCATATGAAGAACGAAAGAACTATGTAAGTTATCGAGAGCCTGCGAGTCCTTTCATGATTTGCCAATAACAAGATGACCGTTTCAGTGTCTTGGCTGTATTGTCCTGTCTCTCGGATCCAGCAACCGAAGGAATCCTTCAGTTTGCTAAAGCAGCCGACCCCAAAGGCGAGAGAACCGTTGGAGTTCTTACCAAGGCCGATTTGGTAAAGGAAAAGGCCGTCCTCCAGTCACTTTCCAACTTGGTGATGGGGTCAACACTCAAGCTTGGTTACTTTGTGGTACGAAACCGCGGTGCCGACGAAGATAATCTGGACATATCCCGGTGCAAAAGGAAAGAAGCTGACCTTTTCGAAGACCCAAAATGGAAGGATATTGCGGATACCGGGCGCGTTGGAGTTGATGCTTTGAGGACAGAGCTACAAACCTTACTTACAGGGCTTGCCAAGCGCGAGTTACCAAAGCAAAAAGCGGAAATCATGAAACGCCTGGCTGACTGTGAGAAGAGAAGCATCTCCCTTGGGCCGCCGAGATCCACCCCAGCAGCTCAGCGTGAGCATTTAATCAAGTTGGCGCTGAGGTTCGAGAGGTTGGCAAACGATGCTCTCGAGGGCCTATACGGCAGGGATGTCTTGTTCGGAGAGAAGCCTCCACTGAAGCTTATAACCAAGATCGTTGAGCTCAACGAAGGATTCTCTAACGTAATATGGAAGAAAGGTCAAACCTGGACCTTCAAAGGGAAGACGCCAGAGAAGGACGATACCGCTGCCTACATAGGGCTGATGAACGAGGCTTTCGACTGGGCATCAACGTTTCCGGAACTGTCGGAGTATCGTTACCCGAGAATTGCCTCTTTCAAAAATCCCAAGATTGATATCATGGCTTTCATCGGAGAATGTTACTCGGCAAGCCGTGGACCAGAACTGGGATCGGTAAGTTTATCTTCATTTAGTACTCATTCAACAAACAAAAGACTGATACAGGCTCAGTTTGGCGGACCGGTCTTGACAATGGCATTCAAAGCCCAGGCGAGGAACTGGGATGAAGCCGCAACTCGTCATGTTAAGGCGGCTGTCCTGGTTATCCACCGGTTTCTACATACGCTTTTGGAGGCCATCATAGAGGATCAGCGAATGCGCGAAGAGCTTTGGATGTGTCTTCAAGATGATCTGCTTACAGGTTACCAACGAGCATGCGATCACGCAAAATTTGTCATTAGCACGGAGCTTAACGGTCGCCCAGTAACCTACAATCACTATTTCAACGATAACCTGCAGCGAGCCAGGCTAGGCCGACAAAAATCCATTCTTTCGGGACTGGAGGTGAATGGCCAGAACACCAAGGTCGACCTCTCCAAGGTGCAGTCTTTGATGACGAGCGCAGTAGAGAACAAATCCAATGCCGAGCAGGTCAGGGAAGACATCCATGACATACTCGAGAGCTACTATAAGGTCGCCCGGAAGAGGTTCGTCGATAACATTTGCCAGCAGGCGATCAACCATTTCCTCCTCGATGGTGATCAAAGCCCTGTCAAGGTGTTCACGGCGGACTGGGTGGCCAAGCTAAGCGATCATCGACTGAACAGCATTGCCGGTGAGGATGCTGTTACTATAACAGCGAGGCAAAGGCTGGAAACGGAGCTGGAAGGCCTGAAAAAGGCTTTGGAAGTATTGCGGAGTTGATGACGGTGACTCGTGGTCGGTCGGTGTCAACAATGACTCGTTGCTTTCTGGCCGATGCCTAATGTGACCGACGATGACGAATCGGCAAAGCGCTCTATCTCTGTCTTAGGAGTCATTAGCATACAGGATGAAGTCCAGAAGTTAGACATGAACTCCCGTCGTGTAGCCAAAGATTTCTATGCTGGGAACAAGCTGCTGTCCGTGATTGGATCCAATCGTAGAGGGATGACGCGCGGGACTGCGAAGGGAGAAACCAGATGTTGGGAATTCAATCGCGGGGTTGTAAGTCTTTGGATGTTCTGCGAGACTGTGGAGGCGCAACGGAAGCTCGATGATTTCTTCCTGTGATTTCGTTGAGATGAGGGGAAGTTGGAGAGAAGAAGAAGGGAAGGAACGAAGAGAGTCTTCGCACAGACCCCGCCTACCTCTTTCTAGGCCAAGTGGCCGAGGACCTTGATGGACCGCTCATGTTTGACAATCCCTTACTCTTTCCTTCTTCTCCCCGTATTTCCCTTTTTTAAAATTTCGAATCCATAGTACATTAGACATGTGCCATGGTTTGGGTTCTGTGACTCAAAATGTTGGATCAAGGTCCCTACCGTAGTCAACGGTCGTGGCAAGACAAACGCGGATCAAGTGAAGGACATCTTCGACATCTTGAAGAGCTACTACAAGATTGCCGGGAACGCCATCTACCAACAGGTGGTCAGCCGCCTTCTTCTAGACGGCGATCAAAGCTCACTCAAAATCTTATGCGCGGAGTTGATTGCCAAGTTGACCGACAACCAGCTGGAGCAGATTGCGGGCGAGGATAGCGCGTCGAGGAGCAAGAGGCAGCGGCTTGATGGGGAGATTGAAGGGTATGAGGCGGCCATAGAGATCTTTTGGAATTGAAGGATTCAATGAATGGATTTGTAAGAATGTACATTACGCGCAACTCCTTCCATCTATGACTAGAAAAACAAACGAATGCAGTTCCATCCAGTGCCCCCAATGAGCCGAGCCGTTGGCGAGCCGAGCTGAGCCCAGATATTTTGGGGACGAGCCGAGCCGGGGGGTATTTTGAACGAGCTGGAGGTTAGGCTCGGCTCGTCATAGCTCGTATAGCTCGTGCAATTTGTATATAAGATTTTTTTCTGGCATATATGCCCGGTCATTTGGCAGTAAAAATGCGTGTAGGAGACCGGATTCCTGTGCATATCGTAAGATTTCGTACGTCTGAGCATGTAAATAGGCGTCATAGTAAGCTAAATATCGTATCGAGACCTATAACTATAGTATTGAAGGTAGTATTCTGGCGCTAGATAGGGGGTTAAAGGTAGTATTTTCAGGTCTCTTTTTAAAGTATGCCTACCCCTTATTTCCCCCTTATTTCCCCCTTTATTTCTCCCCTTATTAAATCTACTAAATCTAGTATTGCTAATTCGTTAACTTTTCGATATACTTTATTAATACTAATAAACCTTACCTATTACTATATCTCAAAATTCCAATTAGCCTAGCTAAGCCTCTATATTAATAAATTTAAGGTAGCCTAATTTTATATTCGTTAATAACGATTCGCCTATGCTATCCCCGCTATCCGAACCCTAAAAGATTATACTAAGTCGCCCTATCGCGACGTTTAGTATCATCGCTCGTCGCTCATTACGTAAGAGGGTTGAAAATTTAAAATCGAAAAAAGCTAATCTATATCTCTATCGACCATATAATAAATAGCTGTTTATCGAAGTCTAGAAAAAACGATACATATTATATACGTAGATATATAGTAACCGCTCTAATAATAACGCTAGCGAAAAGTCGTTTATTAATAACTATAGTACCTGCCTCCAGCGACTTGGAGGGTAAAAGAAGGACAGTACGTATTATATCTACTATTATTACAGTAATATATATAACGTAAAGGAGTCAATGAGCGCTATATCGAAGCATTTAAAGAGGGTATACAAACTCAAAAATCCTAACAATAAGAGTAAACCAGTGTTAATAAATACCCAGGGTCAATATAGCAGGGGTCAATATAGTAGGGATCTACGCAACTACAGTATATCTCACGTTGTTTCGCAGTCTAGTAGTAACGCACTAAAGGAAACGCTCGTAAATTTCGTCATTACATCGAATTCTAGATTTATAATTGTATAAAATTGTCACGGGTCTACTAGGTAGTGCACGGTAGTAGGAGTGGAACAGAGCTTAAGATTGTTGACAAGGAGGAAAAGGTCTATAGGCCTGAATAGGTCTGCAGAGACAGAGCTAAATACTAGAATAAACAGGTAGCCTGAGGCACTAGCCAACCAGAGAGCATGCCTGGCCTGCAAGCCTGGCCTGCAGCCGAGCACTATATCTTTGGGCGCCAACCCATTATATTACCTCCTTACTCCCTCTCCTTGCACGCACAAAGACGACAATAAAAATTATCATACACAAAGAAATATCCCCAGAATCTAATAAACGGCCTCCTCTCTATACTACAGCCGTTCGTTGAGCGCTCTCTAGACAACTAAATACCCGTAAAGTGATTTTAAACGATTAAGTAAATATATAAGAATAATATAGATAATTAGACTTCTTTATAACTAACGTAGAGACTCTATACGTATATTGTATACCCGTTTTAAGAATTAAACCCTTAGGAACTATATCGACTACAATACTTATTTAATACGCGTACGTAAAATTAAATTATATACCTAGCCTCCTATCTATCCATATAAACCCTTATCCTATTTTTGCTAACAGGAACGTTACCAGTAACTATACTATCCGGTCGATAGTCTATAACCTCCCTCCTCTAGAAATTTATATAATACCCATCCTTAGGAATAATATTAAAGTCTTAATATATAATTGGCGTGGTTTTTATTAATTGTACCTATAGGGTAATAACTAGACGACTTCTCCTCGCAGTAGCTATAACTATATATTATAGTTTATTATAACTCTACATTAATTATTTTAAAAGTTATCATTTAGGTCTAGGGAATTTATAAGGCCAGGTCTAGGCTAGCCGGCCCCCCTAACGAATAATATATTATATATACTACTCAACCCTTTCTTAAATATAGTTTTTCTAAGCTGATTTTTAACTCCTTTAGGCAGTTATTATTCGTAATTATTATAAATTTCGTTATTATCGGACAGGTTCCTATCCGGTTCAAGCGAAGTAGATTGTAACTATATGGCGGTTTTACCCTTATTCTTTCTATTTATAGGATATTCTTTTGCCTAATATACTTAAGAGTTATAGCTTGTATAGCAGTTCTTCTTCTTTTACCTTTATCGTTATTCAAGCGTAATAGTTCCCGTAAACGGACCTCTACGCTTTATAGCCCTTATTGTTCTTATAGCGCTGATTTATATTGGATTACTTCTAGAGTTTCCTCCTCTAAGGTAATTATTCTTATTAAAGCGTTTGAGGAAGTCTAAGTATTCTATAAAGAGGCTAGGGATGTCGGTCTTTTTCCGCAGTTGTACTTTCTATTCGTCGTTGAAATTGCCTTCGAAGATAGTAATCTTAGCGTCGTTTAGCTACTTTATAGCGCCATTTTTATAGAGTACGTTCTCGTATCGAAGGAAGTATTTCGTTATCATCTCTTTAGAGCCTTATAGAAATTCAATAAACTCTAAACCTACGCATTTATTTATAGCGGGGTTATTATAATCGAAGCAGACTTTCTACAAAAATCTTTTGGGCGAGCGGTTAGAGGGTTATTTTGTAAAGGGGAGTAAATTAACTTTAATAAAGGGCGAAAGATTAGAGTAGAAGTAGTAAAATTAGGCCTCCAGATTGCTAATAGCGTGGCCGTCGGTATATAGTTTAGCTTCGGCGCTATAAATCTAGGTATCGATTTCTTTAGTAGTCCTTATGAATTTATCGAGATGGGGAAGGATGGGTTTTAGGGTTGTAAAAGTTTAATAGCGGTAAATTTAGAAATAAGAGCTTAAATAGCTATAGCGAATTACTATTGACGTTCGTTGGCCGTTTAGGCTTAAGGAATGGAAGCTATAGCTATAAAGAAAAAAGAAGCGGTGTAGAATCTTTGTAAATACAAAGAAGAAGGGTCATATAAACGGTTGAGAAAAAGAGCTCTTTAGTAGACGAGTAAAAGGTTTGGAGGAATTGAAAAGAGGGTCAATAATATGTTACGGGTTTACTAGGTAGTATACAGTAGTAGGGGTAGAATAGAGCTTAAGATTGTTAATAAGGAGGAAAAGGTCTACAAACTTATATAGGTTTGTAAAGACAGAGCTAAATACTGGAATGAACAGGTAGCCTAAGGCACTAGCCAACCAGAGAGCATGCCTGGCCTGCAAGCCTAGCCTGCAACTGGGCACCATATCTCTGGGCGCCAGCTCATCACAAAAATCTAGAGTTTCGTAACCTCCTTCGAATATTAAATTCTACATTAACTAAACAAATCCTTCTAAAGAGCGGAACGACAATATCGAACTAAGTTGAAGAAAAATTTAAAAAGGAAGAGTAAAAGATTAAGAATAAACTTACTAAAACCCTATATAAAGTTTATCTCTCTTTTGACTTCTAAACCTTACTAAACGGCTATATAATATTCGCAGTCGTTACTCACTTTACTAACGTAACAGCCACCCTTCGAACCCGCCTAATCGCATTATCGTATATTACTAGCCATTATAGCAGTGAAAATATTAATAAATCCGGTCGCTTCTATATAAAATCCCATACTAATTATCAAGTTTAACAAATGCCATCATAGGTCAAATTATCAATAACTATAACATACGCAACAAGCTCGGTTTCTTCTAATACGACAACGCGGATTCGAATAATAAAGCACTAAAATATTTACTAAATAATAGAATTAGAAAGGAGGAAATATATAACCGCTATATCCGCTACATTAACTATATCTTTAATTTAATCGCGAAGGCGTTCCTCGAAGGCCTTCTTACTAATTTAATCGATCGTAATTTTAATTAAAACGATTTTCCAAAGAGAGAGGAGGAAACCCTTATAAAATAGTGGCGATAACACGTAATATTTAATAAATTATACAATATCGTCTCTTTTATTCACAAATCCCTTCAACGATATAAAAGATTTACCAAAATTACGGCCGGTTATATTACCTCCTATATAAATACAAAATTTGGAAATATTTATTTTAATAATAAAAATGCTAACCTAAATATATTATAAAATAATTTAATACAATAGAACTTATAGTACGTTATAATTAAACGTACTATTAGATTGGAACCTACTATAATATACTAGTATACTATATAATACTACTTAATAGGGGACTAATTAATTTTTAATAATTAAGAAATCTTGAAAGTAGTAAAGGCTATCCTCAAACTATTTAGAAAAATTATTAAGCGGTATAGAGATAGGGTGCCAATATTGAGCTCTATTTTCGCCGACCTCTAAAAATTGCTCTATAAACTCGAAATATAGCGAATTATCCATTCTATTCGATTAGAAATCTAGCTATTTAATAGCGGTCCTAATATCCCTCTTCGTCGTTCCTACAATGGTAATCCCAATCCTTTTTAATGAAATAGTAAAGTTAGTAGTATATCCAAACGTCTATACAAAGCAAATATCCTCTCTATTTAATATTAGGGCGGTAAAATCGACGTACCTAAATTCAAAGGCTAATCTCCTATACTAATATATCGTTACTAACTTTAAGAGGCGGTTCCTCGTATTAATTTTAGTATTAATAGCAACTTATTTATTCGCAATAGTTTCGATTTAGCAGTTTAAAAGTTTGAGAAATATATCGAACTATTAAAAGAATTACCTACTTACTAGATAGCCCTCATACTATACCCTAATAAACGTAGTAAATCAATTACTAAGTTCTTTAAGGAGGCAAAAACAAACAAAATTATTAAATATTTTAGAGAGACCTTCTTAGAATCTTACAACTTCGAACCAACCGTTCAAGGTAGGCGTATAATAATACTTCTAACTTAACTACTCTCTCCTAGAATATTTCGTCGTCGTAAATACTAGTTTAAAAACAACTTCATTGACGAATTTAGGGATAAGGATAATACCAACAACTTCGAAGTATCCTTCTCTTACAGGGTAAAGTATTTAATTAATAATGCCTTAGAGTAGTAGAGGACATATAGCTAGCAGTTCTCCAAAATCGCCCACATAGCCATCGACTACCTCACGATATTAACTATATCCTCGGAGGTAGAGCGAATCTTTAATTAGACTCGGTTAGTTATTAGCATCTCAAAACATAGCCTAATGCACTTTACCATTGAGCGTATTGCCCTATTAAAGAATTAGTAGTAAAACGAAGAGATTTATATATAAACGACGATAATTAATATTTATATTATCAACCGGAAAAACACATAACCTAAGACGAGTTAGACGAGCCCATAGCGAGCCGAGCCAGAGCCGAGCCGAGCTGGCCTCCCTGTGGAGACGAGCCGAGTCGAGCCATACTCTCGAGCTCGGCTCGGCTTAGCTCATTGGGAGCACTGGTTCCATCAGCTAATTCGAGGTCAACATTACCGAAACCCTCCCCGTCCTCATTAGTGTAAGGGGTACAGCATAGTTGACACTGATGCTGGCCAAAAGAATCGATAAGGTTCTACGAAGAGAGAAGGGGAGAAAGGGACGCCCTCTGGGCAGTCTGGCCGGCTGTCCTAAAGAAGGGACGTGCGCACGCACAGGCCAATGTTGCCTGCCGCGAGAGTGGAGCACTCGCCTGGCAAGATTGCCAGGCATTTCAGCCACGGGCACTAGCCCCATGACAATTAGAGCCATATGAGGAGAAGACATGGTAGATGTAGTATCCGTAGTCTGCGATACAACCTCAATTTACCATATTGAACATGTAACTAATAATTATTTGGATAAAACTTGTTATATGATAGTTGCATCACTTTTCATTGTCTTGTTTTTCTTTCGCAAGGGTGGAAATGGAGTGTCCGAAGCTGTTGTGGATAACTCATTGTACCTTTATAAGTTCAATAGCTTTGTATTTCTTATAACGATCAGCGGTGGTCCGGTGGCGAAATGGTATCGTGTGGTCCTCCTAATTCGGGAGGATAAGACTGAGGTTGTGGGTTCGAGTCCCATCCGGATCGTCCATTTTTTGCTCTTTTTTCATCCCCTCACTATGTTTTTGCGTGAGCGGACTTGGAGTTTTCTTTCTTTCTTTTTTTTTTTTCTTGTTTTTTTTTTCTTTTTAGAAGTTCTGAGTTTGAAGCGCGACTTTCTATCACCATTGAGTTGCAAATGTATGCGTACAAGATCAAGTCCGGGTTTTTTTGTGTATTGTTGAGTCACGAATTATGAATCTCGCAACGGAAATTCCTCAATGCTGTGTTGCTATGTAGAACTTGACCTCGACCATAAAACTTACAACCGCGCGCAAACCTTTTGTGAAACCTTTTCCGTAATCTCTTTCCCTCACACAAGCGAACTGCGATATTTGCTTTCACACTATTAACCCGCAAATATCCTTCCAGGTCGCCGATTTGACCTGTCATCGAAACCGAGTCAATCCGTCCCAGTTCACGCCTCACCTCAGATCCCATTCTCAACCATGGCGTTCACGATGCACTCCCACTCCGGGCAGTTCTGCCCTGGACACGCCAAAGACCAGCTCGAGGAAGTGATCAAACACGCCATCAGCGTCGGCTACAAGACCATCGGTCTGACGGAGCACATGCCTCGTACCCAGCTCTCGGACCTCTACCCCGAAGAGGTACAGCCGCACCGCACACCCACACCCCAAACGCTCCCCCAACTCCAACCCAACTCACCATAACTAACAAAACCACCACACAAACCTCCAGCTCGACCCCGACCAAGGCCAAACATCCCTCGCCCAGCTCGTCCCCCGCCACGCTTCCTACCTCGCCGAAGCCCAGCGTCTCCAAGCCAAATATGCCTCGCAGATCCACATCCTCATCGGCTTCGAAGGTGAATGGATTCGCGGGGCCGAGTACGGTCCCCTGATCACCTCCCTCTTATCTTCCGCCCCATGCGTCGACTACTTTATCGGGTCCATCCACCACACGGCGGGGATCCCGATCGACTTTGACAAAGCCATGTTCCTGCAGGCGCAGGACGCGTGCGGGGGTTCGGAGGAGAAGCTGTGGGAGAGGTATTATGATGAGCAGTTTGAGATGTTGAGCGCGACGAGGCCGAAGGTGGTGGGACATTTTGATTTGATCCGGTTGTTTTCGGAGGAGCCGGATCGGAGGGTGAAGGGGGGGAGGGAGGGGGTTTGGGAAAGGATGAGGAGGAATTTGGAGGTCTGTAGGGGGTTGGGGGCTTGGTTGGAGGTTAATACTAGTGCGCTGAGGAAGGGGTTGGGGGAGCCGTATCCGGGGAAGGAGGTTGCTGAGGTGAGTTTGACTTTTCTTCCTCCTTTTTTTTTTCTTTTTTTTTTTTTTTTTTCTTTTCATTCCCCTCTTTCCTTGGTTTGATGACAGCAACTGACGGATTTTACAGGAATGGATCAAGATGGGAGGCATGTTTACGTTTTCGGATGATAGCCATGGGATTGCACAGGTTGCCACGAACTACGTAAGGGGCCTGGATTACTTGGAGAGTTTGGGCGTTACTGAGCTCTGGACGCTGGAAAGGGTTCCTCATCCCGGAACGGCAGGGGATGTTAAGTCGGAGTTGCGGGACAAGGCTGTGACCATTGCCGAATTCCGCCAGAGCTTGCGGTTGGAGCAGTAGATGGACGCTTTCGGTTATTTGAAGGGATAGAGCGTTGCAGAAAGAGAGTGTTGGTTACCACAGTACTTCGCTTAAGCCAACAGCCCGTGCCAAGGCCGGAAGCCGAACGGCACGGCCCGGGCCAAAGCCGGAAGTGGGTACATATGAACTGATGCGGCCACGTACGGGTGATTGTTTGTTGTGAGTGTCTGGATCTCATAAGCTTACAAACTGAACTCGGATCGCCGACTCCGTCGTTCGAATTCGATAAGCTGGCGTTCATGCAAGCAGTCACTTCGAGCCCTATGCTTCGTGTCGGCCTCTGTGTCGACAGCAAAGAGAATCATTCGTCTGCCGAACAGTCCGGTCTCCATTTTTCCTTCTTATCGATTCGGCCTCGTTTATTTTTGGATGTTTATCTGTCGCCTCGGCAAGATGCAGTGTCAGATGAAGGTTTCTGATGCAGGTTGAGAAAGCCAATTCGGGACCGGCCGTCCCAGACCTTGCCAACGCGCATGACTTTTCCTCCCTGCCTCTCTACGTGGTCTGCGGTGTACCTGGAGACCCGAGCGAATGAGATACGCGGTAACATCGTGGCTTGCTGTTGACAGTGAAAGACATTCGTTGGTCCAGACATGATCTCCAAACTTGTTTCGAGTGGACTTTGAACACGAACGACATGGTACCTGCCAACCATGAACCAACGTCAATCGTGTATGCTGACTTTTCGATATCACAATGTCGACGGCGCAAGGGAGGACTGAAGCCAATTCAAATACCCTGCAGTCAGTAAAACTTTAAAGCAAAAGTAGCTCGCGGCCGTTGGTGTTGATGTTCAATCTGTTTGAGAGAAGAGGGGAGGGGCGTGTAAGAAGTTAACGGATCAACGCCAGGGAGTGCGAGAAGGAAATGTCAAGGCGGGGGAGTGGTACGGCGGTCGGCGGGATGATCATTGCATTGTCCGTAACCGTCGGGCTGTGTATGGCGCTCAAATAACCTCTTCTTGACATTTCAGCTCTTTTGAGGCGGCTCGAAATGATGCAAGCTCAATCAAGATGAGGACTGCTCTGACTGGTATACGAAAGACAATGTACGTAGATGAATTACATTTCGGTGTTTTGAAGCTCACCATGGGCTGCTGTGAGGCATGAATATCGAATTCAGCCCGGCATACAAGTAAGAACGCGGATTTGTAAGTGGACCAAAACAGAAATCCCAAACACAAACCCTAGAACATGATTGGGCAGGTAGTGAAGAGTGTGGATCATATACTGTGCGCTTTCGCCCAAAAGCCGGCAGGACCACCTGTCATGCATACTGTACGGCTCCTTCCAGGTTGTTGGGTACGCACGGACCAAGGCGGGCGCAGGCAGTTCAAGTTGCCCCAGGAAAATGATAATTGACACCATCACATCCGCACATCCCTATACAATTCCAGTTCCCTGCTGCTACACCCAGTCTGCTCATCTCAAAATCACACACCTCCCATCCACGTTCGGTACACGCCCGCCGCCCGCCCCCGGCTCCGATCTGGTTCAACAGCCCGGCCCGTTCCCGACAGGCCAGCCTCAGCTCGACTTCCCATCCAGTTCCGAAAAAGAAGGGTCGAGTCGCGACGTCATTCGAAGCACTCGACTGCACTGGACTGCAGTGGGCTTCGGAGAGGACAGCACGAGCTCAACCCCGGGGGTTTCCTTTCCTCCCGTGACAATCCGTTACTTGTTTCGCTCTCTCCTTCCTTGAGCCCTCTTCTCTTTCTCTTATTCTTTGACCATGTCCTCCGGGAGCGGGCATCCCGGTCTGGCCTTTGGCAGCATCGGCGGCGGCCAGCTCCGTCGGCAGTTCCAACCGCACAACGTCCACACGGCAACCTCCAATGTCCACACGGCAACCTCCAACAAGCCGTCGCCATCGCTATCGCAACAACACGCGTCTCCATACCAGTCCCAGGCCTACGCGCCTCAACACACGCAGCATGCTCAGCAGACACCGCAAAGCCAGTACTCGCACCACCTCTACACGACTCCGACTCCCCCGATCCCCAGCGTATCGACCGTTCAAACTGCCGCACGACAACCCCAGACACAGATGCCGCCAGCGATGCCGCGCCAACGAGCCCCCGCTCCTCGACAAATGCAGCAACAAGCCAACACATTGCCGAGCTATCTTCAACAATCGTTGAACCACCAGCAGCCCATACCCCAGCAGCCCTTGACTGCCCAGCAGCTAAGCCAGCAGCCCATGAGCCAACCACCCATGAGCCAGTCGCTCGGTCAGCAATCGCTCGGCCAGCAGTCTCTGACGCCATCGCCCATGAGCCAAGCGCCGCTGAGCCAGGCCCTCACACAACAGTCTCTTGCTCAACAATCTCTCGCTCAACAGTCGCTTAACCAGCAGTCGCTCAACCAGTCCGTTCAGAATGACAACTCCATCTTGTCCCAACAGTCAACACCACACCCCCCATCACAGACAACGTTGCCTCCAGTCCAGCCGCAGATTCCGCAGGTGCAGCAAGTACAAAAGGTGCAACACGTGCAGCATGTACAACAGCAACCAACCCCTCCTCACCCGGAGCCCGCAGATGCTGCTCAGGACAACAGTCATGATGACGACATGGAGATTGGTGGACACCAGGGCGAGTCCGGAGATGATGATGCGAGCAGCTCGAGGCTGAACGACGGAACGCCGTTTGTTCCACGACAACCACGTGGTTTGATGATGTCAGCACCTCCGGAGGGTGGAAGCTTTGAAACCCTGGACGCCATTCATAAGCATGTGTTGGAATACTGCACTTCGGTAGGCTATGCCGTGGTCATTGGCCGATCGAAAAAGACGGTTCCGGGTCTCAAGAAGGTGTTGTTTGTGTGTGACCGTGCCGGGAAGCCGCCTAAGCGGGTGAGTCCCGAGATGCGGAAGCGCAGGACGACGTCCCGCAAGTGCGACTGCCCATTCGGCTTCTTCGCCATTGAGCAACGCACGCAGTGGACTATCAGATACCGCCCCGATGCCATCCACCTTCAGCACAACCACGGCCCGAGCGAAAGTCCTCTGTTACACCCCGCTGCGCGGAAATTGGACAGCAAAATGGTTGCTGCAGTTAAGCAGCTGAAGGAAAATGGTATGTCATTTCTCGTCCGCATCTGCCGATTAAATTCTCGTTAGCTGACGATATACAGGTGTCGGTGTTACCGAGACGCTCGAGATCCTCCAGCAAGATCATCCCCATGTTCCCCTTCTCCCGCGCGACATTTACAACGCTCGTGCGGCCATCAACCGTAACCCGCAAAAGGTGGCAAGTGGCTTGGCCGAGAACCGGCCCGCGATTTATAGCAAGCCACAACCGTCAGCCGAGGAGCGCATCCGTGCGGATCTGCGCCGTGAGATTGCCAAGGCAAGAGAGGAGCTCGAGAAGGTCAAGGCAGAAAGTAAAAAGGAAATTGACGAACTGAAGGCGACACTCAACGAAAAGAACAAGATTATTGAAAAGTTCGAACAGTTCATTGACATCTGCAACCAACGGGTTATTGTCAGGCTGAACGATACCGGCTCGTCGAGTGCTGGGGCGGCGAGCGGAAGCTCTTGAGTATTGAGAAGAGATGACCGAGAGAGACGGAGGAAAGAGGGAAATAGAGAGACGATAGTGTACTGCAAGAGTTATGATTGGACCGGAAAAGTGTTTGTTCTGTTACGGGGAGGAGTTGCTCATGGGTTTAGGCTCTCGGTGTAGTCAGGGCCAGGTTTTGTTTTCGAAGCAAAGGCGTTAAGGATCGGCTTTCTTGGTTATATTTATGTCCGATTATCTGTTTTCGGTTCGGGTATCATGCTGGGATGACCAGAGGGAAGAGCTGATGGGTGGTTTATGGGACATTGGGAACTTGACGGGTTGAAACAGGAAATGTCAAGGTTCAAGATGCAGTGAATTATAGACAGCGTTGTTGGACGATTGCTCGAATACGCTAGTGTGTTATCGTTGGCCAGAATCAAGCTCCCATTGTTCGCCTGTTTTCTATGCGGGCTCGGCGGGATGAGCACCTCTACGGATGGTGTTTTAGGATGAGGATCATTGCCAGACACGTTTGTTCTTTATCTGGAGGTTCTGATCTCTCAATGACTCTGTACCTACATCTCGACGGTTGACACGGATGGTCTGGAGTTTATAGCGTTGATATCAATGTACTGTGTAGAAAACCCCGCCATGTCATGTCTTCTAGATCTACACCCTAGACCGTTGCAGCCCGACAACGACTAACGGAGTGTTTTAGAGATAGCTGACCAATGAAAAGCCGCACATGTCCAAAGTCAGGGGTTCTGACACATGGATTCGCCGCCTTTCGCGACAACTGCGACAGGGCTGTGATTGGGCCACAAGGTCGCGACTGATGGAGTCGGAAAGTGGAAAGCTGTTGCCCGCAAAGCCGCACACAGTCCTGGGCTGCACAGCAGCAGCGTGACGAACAGCGAGAGGTCTGGCGCAGTATTCCTCGGTCGCAGAGATTCACCACACGCAAAACAACAATCACAAAAAAGTCCACAGCGGCAACATCAGCACAACACCAACAACGGACAAAGGGGAAGCTATCCTCAGCCCGTGGTTGTTGCTGCAAGAGTAAACAAGAACTCTTTTTTGCAAAACGACACTCCTTCGTCTGGACAAACAGCTGAACTTTTGCGCACACCGCCCGCCCGCCGCGCATCCCCGTCCGATAGAGCACATCCACATAGAGCAGAGCACCACCACTTAGAAAGAAAGATACCCCACGATCGTCTTCTCTTCGTCTACCGAGTACACCACTATACCATTCGGCTTTTGCTTCAGCTTTTTTGCGACTGCGCCCTCGCGAACCAGTAGAGGCTCGCGTCCTTTTCTTCGACTGCTCTCCATTGCTTGCCCGCTGTGCGCCACTAGCTCGAGTAGTGTCGGATAGAGCTTCCCGCCAGTGCTATCTTGAACCACAAACGGGCAGCGACGACTTTATCTCAACACTCACGTCCCCGACGACGAGCTCTACCACCACCCCTACCTGTGCCGTGCACTGTAGAGACCCCGATGAAATGATCGATTAGACCGCCGAGTCCCGAACCTACATCTTGCCATACTGTACCTACGCACCCCTCTCGGTAGTCCATCGCCATCATGATGGATACGGTGCCTTCGCCCCCTCCCCAGCCGAGCCCGGACGCCAACGGCGTTGCGACCACGCCGTTCGCTGCTGTCGACCCTGTCAAGGTTGTCGACCATCTCGTCCTTCTGCTTGAAGCAGCCCTCGGCGCAAAGCGAGACGAGCTCGAAGCCCCCGGCAGCCTCTTGTCCAAGGTTCGCTATTCAGACACGGTCCAGCGCTGCTCTCGCTTTGCGCTGGATACGCAGGTTGCCCTGTACATACAGAAAGATCTTGCTCCCACCACTACGCTTGATGGAGAGAATGGAGCCGAGGCTGAAGAGCGTAGGTTTGCTTCTTCCACTTGGTCGCGTTGAGAATGTAGCTAACCTGCTCCTTATGACAGCCGAGCCTACTCATGTCTATACCATCTCAAGCGATCTGACCTCGTCCCCGACGACCGTTGCCTTCCTCGTCTTGCTGAAACGCCCGCAGCCTCTCGACCCTATCGTCCCGCTCACCTCCCAAATTCAAATTCTCAACCTACCGGGCCCTGCATACCTGTCAACGAGCGGCGGCGAGCAGGGACCTACCAGCTCTCCTTACGAGGTTCTCCAACTCTATCTCCATAACGGTCTTGCTCCATATTTCGATGCGAGCACCAAAAGTCAGCAGTTGCTCAACGGCGCCAGGGGCCGGCCCGATGTCGATGCCAAGACCGGAATTCCTGTCACCAAGAAGCGCTGGACCGAGCTGGAACTGAGTCTGTCACATCTCCAGCAAAATGTCGAGATCCCTGAGGTGTCTCTGCCCTTTCACCCTCTTGTACAGAGTACGCTTGAGGAAGCGGCCACCAAGAATGTCAAACCCTCCATCGACCTTCTTCCAGCCACCGTGCTAGCAGACAGCACGTTCCTGAACAACCTGCAGGCCACCGTCAACAACTGGATCAAGTCCATTCAAGTGATTACCAAGATGACGAGGGACCCGACAACCGGCACGGCCAACCAAGAAATCAATTTCTGGTTGTCCATGGAGGCAGCACTCGAGGGAATTGAGAACCAACTGCGGAGTGAAGGAGTTATGCTCACGCTTGATATCCTCAAGCATGCCAAGCGTTTCCAGGCCACTGTCAGCTTCACAGCTGATACGGGTTTGAAGGAGGCCATGGAAAAGGTTCAAAAGTACAATCAGCTCATGAGAGATTTCCCGCTCGATGAGTTGTTGTCTGCTACTACCCTTACCAAGGTTCAGGAATCCATTGGGCAGATTTTTGGCCACCTCAACAAGAAGCTGAGGATATGCCCATATCCCATCCGCCGCGCACTCCCGTTGGTCGAAGCCATTTCCGGTGACTTGGACGAGGTCCTACACCGACTGCTTCCTGGAACGGAGCTGGTCAAACTCGACTATGAAGAGTTCAAAGGTGTCATGAAGCAGGCAGGTAGCATCTTCCGCGCTTGGGACGAAAGCATCAAAGAATTCACCAATGTTGCTCGTGAAGTAACTCGCCGGCGTAACGAGAAGTTCATTCCTATCAAGATTAACCCACGTCACGCTGAGCTGCAGTCTCGCTTGGACTATGTCCACAACTTCCGTGATAACCACGAGCAACTCCAAAGGACAATTATCAATGTGCTGGGTCCCAAGGCAACTGTTAATGGCATTGTCGCGGCGTCCGGCGCTAATGGCGTCGCCGTAGTCGAAGAAATCGGCGATGTGGACGCGGTTGATGAGGTCAAGCAGGCTTGGGAGGCTTTGAAGGATGTTGATTTGCTTGATTGCTCCCGCGAAGGCACCGAAAAATGGGTACGCGCAGAGAATATCTACAATGAGCGCACTGCTCGTGTGGAAAATTCCATCATTGCCCGCCTTCGTGATCGTCTGGCCACGGCCAAGAACGCCAACGAGATGTTCCGCGTCTTCTCCAAGTTTAACGCTCTATTCGTGCGCCCCAAGATTCGTGGTGCCATTGCCGAGTACCAAACGCAGCTCATCGACAACGTAAAACAGGCCATTAGTTCCCTGCACGAGCGTTTCAAGCAGCAATATGGCCACTCGGAGGCCCATGCTATGGCTCAGCTTCACGATCTGCCGCCTGTGTCAGGTGCTATAATATGGGCCAGACAAATTGAGCGGCAACTTGATCAGTATATGAAGAAGGTTGAGCAAGTCCTTGGCTCAGATTGGGCTCTTCATACCGAGGGCCAAAAGCTTCAGAATGAGAGTGACCTGTTCAGGAAGAAGCTGGATACCAGACCCATCTTTGAGGCCTGGCTTCATGACGTCCAGAGGAAGCAGATATCCATCTCCGGCTTGCTGTTTACCATTAACAGGATCCGCTCTGCTGGAAACATCCTCGAGTTGGCCGTGAACTTCGACGCGCAGGTCATCGCGTTGTTCAAGGAAACCCGAAACCTGCTTTGGCTCAACTACCCTGTCCCCCACTCGGTTAACAATGTGGCCAAAGAGGCAAAGCGCGTATATCCCTTTGCTGTCAGTTTGATGGAAAGTGTCAGGACATTTGCCCAGACAAACCGCCAGATTTCTGACATGTCCGAGGTCGCTGTGCTGCTGAGCGGCCACCGTAACGATGTGTATACGCTGATTTCCAAGGGCATACCGCTTAGGTGGGAGACATTCGTCAATACCTACGAAGTGCACTTCAAGCCAACCTTCAATCCCCCCAACACCCCACTGGGCCAGACAGGCTCCAAGGTCAGCGAGACGAAGCATGTCATGTTCATCCGCGAGTTCGCTGCTTCGGTTTCGTTGTTGCAGTCCAAGACTCTCCTTCTTGCCAATATCTATGTCACGGTACAGAAGGCACTCAACGAGCTCAAGACATGTCCTTATGAGGCATCGGCCTTCCAATCACGCCTCGAAACCATTCAGCATGCAGTTGACCAGCTGAACCTGGAGCAGTATGTCAACCTTGGTTACTGGGTAGAGCGCATGAACAGGCAAATCAAGGCTGTTCTGTATACTCGTCTGCAGTTCGCAATTCAGGCTTGGATCCAAGCATTCGAAGACGAGAATGTTGAGCGTCCGAGCGAGCGCAAGAGGCTTCTAGAAATCGCCTCTCCTGATGCGGTGAAGTCGGATGGGCCAGTTATCAAGAATCTGGTGCACGAAATTACCATGCGGAACCAAGTCATCTATCTCGACCCGCCTCTCGAATACGCAAGAGCCAGCTGGTTTGCCCAGTTGCAGGACTGGATTGGGGTTATCTGCAACCTAAAGAAGATCAAGGCGACCAGGTACACCATGAGTCTTAGCACAGAAGTGGTTGACGAGCCGCGCTTCAATGATCTTCCCGGTGATTGCACCGAGGAGCTTCTCAGGGTGCAGACTTCAGTGGAGAAGAAGATTCGCGAGATTGGCGCGTATGTTGACAAGTGGTTGCAGTTCCAGTCGCTCTGGGATCTCCAATCCGAGCATGTCTATGACGTTCTTGGTGACCAGCTTTCAAGGTGGCTCCAGCTTCTTCAAGAGATTCGCAAGACCAGACAAACCTTCGATACCACTGAGGTCAGCCGCTCGTTTGGCCACCTCACCATTGACTATGATCAGGTCCAGACCAAGGTCAATGCCAAGTACGACCAGTGGCAGCAGGATATTCTTATCAAGTTTGCCAGCCGCTTCGGAAACCGCATGCGCGAAGTGTATGCGGAGCTTGAGAAGGCTCGCAAGGACCTCGAGGGCCAGGCGATGACTGCCAACTCCACGGCCGAGGCTGTCCGGTTCATTACGATTGTCCAGAGCTGCACTAGACAGGTTAAGCTGTGGGCTCCCGAGATTGAGACCTTTAGGCAGGGTGAATCGACCCTTGTACGCCAGCGATACCATTTCCAGAATGACTGGTTGCATGCCGAGCAGGTGGACGGCATGTGGGATATGCTCAATGAACTGCTTGCCCGCAAGAGCAAGATTGTTACCGACCAGTCTGATGCCCTTCGAGCCAAGATTACTGCCGAGGATAAGGTGGTCAACGACAAGATCACCGAGATCGCACACCAGTGGAACGAAGAGAAGCCCGTGTCTGGCACCATTGCACCGGACGTCGCCTCTGCCACCCTCACCCATTTCGAACAACGCATCACCAAGTTGCAGGAGGAGTCGGCCATGGTTGCCAAGGCCAAGGAGGCGCTCGATTTGGCGCCTACTCCTGACACTTCGCTCGGTGTTATCCTCGAAGAGGTTCAGGACTTCAAGTCCGTTTGGGCGTCGCTGTCCACCATCTGGAAGAACCTCAATGAGCTTCGTGAGACGCTTTGGAACAGTGTTCAGCCGAGAAAGATCCGTGCGTCGATCGATAACCTCATCAAGATGACCAAGGAGATGCCGAGCAGAATGAGACAGTATGCCGCGTTTGAGCATATCCAGAACGTGCTGAGGCAGCTGATGAAGGTTAATCCTATTCTGGGTGAGCTCAAGTCAGAGGCCGTACGTGATAGACATTGGACCAAGATCTACAAGCAAATCAAGCCGGGTAAACGCTACTCTCCCGTCTCAATGACCCTCGGAGACGTCTGGGACTTGAACCTCGTCGCTACTGAGATAATTGTCAAGGATATCATCATCCAGGCTCAAGGTGAAATGGCTCTCGAGGAGTTTCTCAAGCAGGTCCGTGAGACCTGGACAAGCTACGGCCTTGAGCTCGTCCAATACCAGCAGAAGTGTCGCCTTATCCGTGGCTGGGACGACCTCTTCGCCAAGTGCAGTGAGAACCTGAACTCGCTCCAGGCCATGAAGCACTCGCCCTATTACAAGGAGTTCGAAGAGGAGGCGTCCTCTTGGGAAGAGAAACTCAACCGCGTGCACGTCTTGTTCGACATCTGGATCGACGTCCAACGCCAGTGGGTTTATCTGGAAGGTGTATTCCACGGAAACGCGGATATCAAGCATCTGCTGCCCATCGAGTCTTCTCGCTTCCAGAACATTAATAGTGAATTCTTGGCGGTCATGAAGAAGGTTTACAAGCAGCCGAATGTCTTGGACGTGCTGAACATCCCCAATGTTCAGAAGTCACTTGAGCGCCTCGCTGAGCTGCTCAACAAGATCCAGAAGGCGCTCGGCGAGTATCTCGAGAAGGAGCGCGTATCATTCCCAAGATTCTACTTCGTTGGTGACGAAGACTTGCTGGAAATGATTGGTAACAGCAACGACACCATGCGCATTGCCAAGCATTTCAAGAAGATGTTCGCCGGCCTGAACGGGCTTGTCATGGATGAGGACGGCGTCATCTCGGGCTTTACCAGCAAAGAAGGCGAGACGGTCAGACTCAAGAAGGAGATCAATCTCGTCAAGACCCCCAGGATCAACGACTGGCTCGCGCTGCTGGAGAGTGGTATGAAGGCTACGCTTGCCGAACTGCTCGCTGAGGCAGTGGATGAGTTTACACCCATTTTCTCGAGCGAAGAGGTTGATCGCGACGCACTGATCAAGTTCATGAACACCTACCCCAGTCAGATCGTCGTGCTCGCTACGCAGGTTGTTTGGACCACCATGGTGGACCAGGCACTCGCCGATGGCGGAAAGGACCTCCAGTTGCTGTTTGACCGCGAAGTTCAGGTCCTTCGGATGCTTGCTGATACTGTTCTCGGCGATCTTGAAGTCCTGCTTCGGAAGAAGTGCGAGCAGCTTATCACTGAATGCGTCCACCAGCGCGATGTGATCGAGAAGCTCAACAAGCTCAACGCCAACTCCAACACACACTACATGTGGCTTCTGCAGATGCGCTATGTTTACAATCCGGAAGGGGACTTCCTCCAGCGTCTGCACATCAAGATGGCCAATGCCAAGCTTAACTATGGCTTTGAATATCTCGGTGTTCCTGATAGACTTGTTCGCACGCCACTTACAGACAGGTGCTTCCTTACTCTCACCCAGGCTCTGTGCCAGCGGTTGGGTGGTTCGCCATATGGTCCTGCTGGAACAGGTAAGACGGAGTCCGTTAAGGCGCTCGGTCTACAACTTGGTCGCTTCACGTTGGTCTTCTGCTGCGACGATACCTTCGACAACCAGGCCATGGGTCGTATCTTCCTCGGTATCTGCCAGGTCGGTGCTTGGGGCTGCTTCGATGAGTTTAACCGTCTGGAGGAGAAGATTCTCTCGGCTGTCTCGCAGCAGATCCAGGATATCCAGCTCGGCCTGAAGATGGGCGCCGAAGATGAGAAGGCACAAATCGAGCTTGACGGCAGACAAATCCACGTCAACGCCAACGCCGGTATTTTCATCACCATGAACCCTGGCTATGCCGGCCGTTCCAACCTGCCCGATAACTTGAAGAAGCTATTCAGGAGCGTGGCCATGTCGAAGCCCGACAAGGAGCTCATTGCCGAGGTCATGCTTTACTCCCAGGGTTTCAACCAGGCAAAGCAGTTGAGTAAGCATACCGTGCCGTTCTTCGACCAGTGCTCCCAGAAACTGTCCAAGCAGGCGCATTACGACTTTGGTCTCAGAGCCCTGAAGAGCGTGCTCGTTAGTTCCGGTGGCCTGAAGCGCGCTAGACTGCTGGAGACCGGCGGTGCTGAGTCGCTTGGCCCCGAAGATGTTGTCGAGCCTGAGATTATCGTGCAAAGTATTAGGGAGACGATCGCTCCTAAGTTGATCAAGTCTGATGTGGAGATCATGATGGAGATCGAAAGTGTCTGCTTCCCCGGTGTGAAGTATGTACCTGCCAGTCTCGAGAAGCTGCAAGAGGCCATCAGGCGTTTGGCGGCGGAGAGGCAGCTGGTCGTCAACGACACCTGGATGACCAAGGTCCTGCAGCTCTATCAGATCCAAAATATTCACCATGGTGTCATGATGGTGGGTAACTCTGGCTCCGGCAAGTCGGCTGCATGGCGGTTGTTGCTCGATGCCCTACAGCAAACGGAGAACGTCGAGGGCGTCTCTCATGTCATTGACAGCAAGGTCATGTCCAAGGAAGCTCTCTATGGTAATTTGGACTCGACCACCAGAGAGTGGACCGATGGTCTGTTCACCAGCATTCTCCGCAAGATTGTTGATAACCTCCGTGGTGAGGACGCCAAGCGCCACTGGATCGTCTTCGACGGTGATGTCGACCCCGAATGGGTTGAAAACTTGAACAGTGTTCTCGATGACAACAAGCTTCTCACCTTGCCCAACGGTGAACGTCTCAACCTCCCACCCAACGTACGGATCATGTTCGAGGTCGAGAATCTCAAGTACGCCACCCTCGCTACTGTCAGTCGATGCGGTATGGTGTGGTTCAGCGAGGACACCGTCACACCCGATATGATGGTTTCCAACTACCTTGAGACCTTGCGAACCGTCGCCTTCGAAGATCTCGACGAGGATGCGGTCGCTACAGGCCAGACCTCTGCTAAGGCACTGGCTGTCCAGAGCCAGGCGGCTGATCTGCTCCAAGAATTCTTGACGAGAGACAACCTGATTTCTGAAGTTCTCAAGGAGGCTGAGAAATACGAGCACATCATGGAGTTCACAGTCGCGAGAGTCCTCAGTACCATGTTCTCGCTCCTGAACAAGGCTGTCAGAGATATCATCGAGTACAATTCCACGCATGTTGATTTCCCTATGGATCCAGAACAGGCGGAGGGCTATATCTCCAAGAAGGTGCTTCTTGCCTTGGTGTGGGCGCTCACCGGTGATTGCCCTCTCAAAGATCGCAAGATCTTTGGTGACAAGGTCGCAGCATTGGCGAGCTTCGGATCACCGCCAGTGGATGGCACGAGTTCGTTGATTGACTTTACCGTCACAATGCCTCAGGGCGAATGGCAGACTTGGCAGCAGCATGTTCCTACCATAGAGGTTAACACCCACTCGGTAACTCAGACTGATGTCGTCATCCCCACGCTCGACACCATCCGTCACGAGGATGTGTTGTACTCGTGGCTGGCGGAGCATAAGCCGCTGCTCCTTTGCGGTCCTCCTGGTTCCGGTAAAACGATGACGCTGTTTAGCGCTCTGAGGAAGTTGCCCAACATGGAGGTTGTTGGTCTCAACTTCTCGAGTGCTACTACACCGGACCTGCTCATCAAGACTTTTGAGCAGTATTGCGAGTACAAGAAGACCTTGAACGGAGTCATGCTCTCGCCTACCCAGATTGGACGTTGGCTTGTCATCTTCTGTGATGAAATTAACTTGCCTGCTCCCGACAAGTACGGCACTCAGCGCGCCATTTCCTTCCTCCGCCAGCTGGTTGAACACAACGGTTTCTGGAGGACTTCAGACAAGGCGTGGGTCACTCTTGATAGAATCCAGTTTGTCGGTGCTTGCAACCCTCCTACCGATGCCGGTCGTACGCCCATGGGTGCAAGATTCCTCAGACACGCGCCTCTCATCATGGTTGATTACCCCGGTGAGCTGTCGCTCATGCAGATCTACGGCAGCTTCAACGCGGCTATTCTCAAGGTCATTCCCTCGCTGCGCGGATACTCCGAGGCACTTACCCAAGCCATGGTGCGCTTCTATCTCGAGTCGCAGGAACGGTTCACACCCAAGATTCAACCACACTATGTCTACAGTCCTCGCGAGTTGACGAGATGGGCGCGTGGTGTGTACGAAGCTATCAGGCCGCTTGAGACGTTGTCTGTCGAGGGCCTCATCCGTATCTGGGCCCACGAAGCGCTGCGTCTGTTCCAAGACAGATTGGTTGACGAGGAAGAGCGCAAGTGGACCGATGATGCGGTGCGCAGAATCGCCATGGAGTACTTCCCTACTATCGACGAGCAGAAGGCGCTTGGTGGACCTATCCTCTTTTCCAACTGGCTGTCCAAGAACTACGTACCGGTTGATCGCGAGCAGTTGCGCGATTTCGTCAAGGCTAGACTCAAGACTTTCTGCGAGGAAGAGGTCGATGTGCCGCTTATTCTGTTCAACGATGTCCTGGAGCATGTCTTGCGCATTGATCGTGTGTTCAGACAGCCGCAGGGCCATTTGATTCTCATTGGTGTCAGTGGCTCTGGAAAGACGACGCTGTCAAGGTTTGTGGCTTGGATGAACGGTTTGAAGGTGTTCCAGATCAAGGTGCATGGCAAGTACTCGGCCGAGGACTTTGATGAAGATTTGAGGGAGGTGTTGAGGAGGTGTGGTTGCAAGGGAGAGAAGATCTGCTTCATTATGGATGAGTCCAACGTGCTGGATTCTGGTTTCCTCGAAAGGATGAATACCCTTCTCGCCAACGCGGAAGTGCCGGGTCTGTTCGAGGGCGATGATCTTGCCGCCCTCATGACGGCTTGCAAGGAAGGCGCGCAGCGCCAGGGCTTGCTGCTTGATTCACAGGAAGAGCTGTACAAGTGGTTCACGGGTCAGATTGTCAAGAATCTTCACGTGGTGTTCACCATGAATCCGCCCGGGGAGGATGGCCTGTCGTCCAAGGCTGCCACGTCGCCTGCGCTCTTCAACCGTTGCGTGCTCAACTGGTTCGGAGACTGGTCCGATCAAGCACTGTTCCAAGTTGCACACGAGCTTACTCATTCTGTGGATCTGGATCGGCCAAACTGGACCGCGCCGGATACGATTCCCGTTGTCTACAGGGGTCTCAACTTGCCGCCGTCGCATAGAGAGGCGGTTGTCAACGCCATGGTTTACATCCATTACTCGCTGCAGCGCTTCAACGCCAAGCTGCTCAAGCAGCAGGGCAAGATCACTTTCCTCACTCCCCGTCACTTCCTCGATTTCGTTGCCCAATATGTCAAGCTTTACAACGAAAAGCGGGAGGATCTTGAGGAGCAGCAACGCCATCTCAACGTTGGTTTGGAGAAGTTGCGTGACACAGTCGACAAAGTCCGTGACCTCAGAGTCACTCTGTCAGAGAAGAAGGTTCAGTTGGAGCAGAAGGACGCCGAGGCCAACGAGAAACTGCAGCGCATGGTGGCTGACCAACGCGAGGCCGAACAAAGGAAGAACATCTCTCTCGAGATCCAGGCTGCGCTTGAGAAGCAGGAAGCCGAGGTTGCATCCCGCAAGAAAGTCGTGCTTGAGGATCTCGCCAGGGCAGAACCAGCTGTCGAGGAGGCCAAGGCTTCCGTTAGCAGCATCAAGAGGCAGCATCTCACGGAAGTCAGGTCTATGCCTACTCCTCCCTCTGGTGTCAAGCTTGCCCTTGAGTCTGTTTGCACACTCATTGGCCACAAGGCGAACGACTGGAAGACTATCCAGGGTATTGTCCGCAGAGATGATTTCATTGCCAGCATTGTCAACTTCAACAACGAGAAGCAGATGACCAAGAGTCTCAGAGTCAAGATGCGCAATGAGTTCTTGGCCAATCCGGAGTTTACCTTTGAGAAGGTCAATCGCGCGTCCAAGGCCTGCGGTCCCCTCGTACAGTGGGTTGAGGCGCAGGTTAACTATGCTGAGATTCTGGACCGTGTTGGGCCCCTCAGGGAGGAAGTCATGTTGCTTGAGGAACAGGCTCTCCAGACCAAGGCCGAGGCCAAGGCTGTTGAGCAGACCATCTCCACCCTTGAAAACAGTATTGCACGATACAAGACCGAGTACGCGGCTCTCATCAGCGAGACGCAAGCCATCAAGGCGGAGATGTCGAGGGTGCAGTTCAAGGTCGACAGGAGTGTCAAGCTTCTTGACAGTTTGTCGAGCGAGAGAACCCGTTGGGAGGAGGGCAGCAAGTCTTTCGAGACACAGATCAGCACGCTTGTCGGCGACGTCCTTGTCGCAGCGGCTTTCGTGGCTTACAGCGGTCTGTACGACCAGACCTTCCGCAAGTCGATGATGGAAGACTGGCTTCACCAGCTCCACTTGTCGGGTGTCCAGTTCAAGCAACACAACCCAATGACCGAGTACCTCTCGACTGCAGATGAGAGGCTCAGCTGGCAGGAGAACACGCTGCCTGTGGATGACTTGTGCACGGAGAATGCGATTATCCTCAAGAGATTCAACCGGTACCCACTCATCATCGATCCTTCGGGTCGTGTTACCGAGTTCCTTAACAGGGAGTCTAAGGATCGCAAGCTCACCGTCACAAGCTTCCTGGACGATTCATTCACCAAGGTCCTTGAAAGTTCTCTCCGTTTCGGTAACCCCATTCTCATTCAGGATGCTGAACACCTCGATCCTGTGCTCAACCATGTTCTCAATAAAGAGTACCAGAAGACCGGTGGTCGTGTCCTCATCCAACTTGGCAAGCAGCAAATCGATTTCTCGCCTGCCTTCAAGCTTTATCTCTCTACCAGAGATCCATCCGCCACGTTCGCGCCGGATATTTGCAGTAGGACGACCTTTGTCAACTTCACGGTCACGCAGAGCAGTTTGCAGACGCAGTCACTCAACGAGGTCCTCAAGTCTGAGAGACCTGACGTGGATGAGAGGCGGTCCAACCTCATCAAGCTGCAGGGCGAGTTCAAGGTCCATCTCCGCCAACTTGAGAAGAAGCTGCTCCAGGCGCTCAACGAGTCGCGCGGCAACATCCTTGATGACGACCATGTCATCGAGACGCTCGAGACCCTCAAGACGGAGGCTGCCGAGATTTCAGCCAAGATGAGCAACACTGAGGGCGTCATGGCAGAGGTGGAGCAGATCACATTGCAGTACAACATCATTGCCAGGTCTTGCAGTGCCGTCTTCGCCGTACTCGAACAGCTGCACTATCTCAACCACTTCTACCGGTTCTCGCTGCAGTACTTCCTTGATATCTTCCATTCCGTCCTCCGCGGCAACCCCCATCTGGCAAACGAGACAAACCACAATGTTAGACGGGATATCATTGTCAAGGATCTCTTTGTGGCCACCTTCAAGCGCACCGCGCTGGGTCTCTTGCAGAAGGATCGCATCACCCTTGCTATGCTTCTTGCCCAGGCTTCGCCCTACAAGATGGATAAGGGTCTTTTGGATGTCATTCTTGATGAGCGTATCGAGGGTAAGGATGTTTCGATTGATCAGAACACGCGCGACGAAGCATTTGCGCGGGCGAAGAAGACTCCTGCTCTCAAGGACAAGATCAACACAGTTCCAGAAGCGGATTGGGACAAGTTTTTCACCGAGGAGCTGGCTGAGGACTTTGTTCCCAAGATCTGGAACGACGAAACCGAGCCAAACGACCGTGCCCTTATGTCGCTACTGCTTGTCAAGCTCTTCCGCCTCGATCGTTTCGTCCCTGCGGCGGAGCGCTTTGTCACTCTTGTCTTTGGCGCAGAGCTGTTTGACATTGTCGAGGATCTCAAGCAAACCGTTGACCAAGTCTCGGCTATCCGGCCCATCGCCCTCGTTTCGTCCCCTGGCTTCGATGCCTCCTACAAGGTGGACGGTCTCGTCGAGCGCATGCGCGTCCGGTGCACAAACATCGCCATGGGTTCGGCCGAAGCCGAAGGCAGTGCCGACAAGGCCATTGCCAACGCCGCGCAGACTGGATCATGGGTTCTCATCAAGAACGTCCATCTCGCCCCCGGTTGGCTGCAGGGCGTGGAGAAGAAGATGGAGACGCTCAACCCCAACCCCGAGTTCAGACTCTTCTTGTCCATGGAGTCCAGTCCCAAAATCCCTGTCAACCTGCTCCGTGCCTCGAGAGTGCTCATGTACGAGCAGCCCGCGGGTGTCAGGGCGAACATGAAGGACTCCATGTCGAGCATCTCGACCAGGTCGCTCAAGAGCCCCGTCGAGAGAACAAGGTTGTACCTGCTGCTGTCTTTCTTGCACGCCGTTGTCCAAGAAAGGTTGCGGTATGCGCCTAATCTGGGCTGGAAGGGTTTCTGGGAGTTCAACGATGCTGATGTAAGTTTCTTCAACTATATCTTTAAAACGATGATGATGCTAACCAAACCAAAACAGTACGAATGCTCCGCCCACGTCATCGACACGTGGATCGACACGGCCGCCCACGGCCGCACCAACATCGCCCCCTCCAACATCCCCTGGGAGATGATCCGCTACCTCGTGGTCGAGACCTACGGCGGCAAGATCGACGACGAGCACGACTTCAAGATGCTCAACCAGCTCGTCCACACCTTTTTGACGCCGTCGGCCTTCGATATCGGCCACAAGCTCGTCGAAGCCAGCCATGGTTCGGATGATGAACCGTCACAAGACGCGGCGGCCGGAGGAGGCGACCTGGTGGTCCCCAGCGGCACGTCGCTGCAGGAGTTCATGAGCTGGATCCAGAAGCTGCCGGAGCGCGAGCCGCCTACGTACTTGGGCTTGCCGGCGAATGCGGAGAAGTTGTTGTTGGTGGGATTGGGTAGGACTTTGATTGGGAACTTGAAGAAGGTGACGGATTTGTTGGATGAGGGGGAGGCGATTATGGCGGAGGCTTCTGAGGCTGCTTGAAGGAAAGGGGGGTGTGTGTTGGGGAGAGAGAGGGGATGGTGAGGGGATCATGATGGGTTATTAGGGGGTGGGATGGGTTGTTGGTGGTGGTAACGTGGGATTTTTAGATCGTGTTGGGCGTTAAGCCGTTTTCTTATTTATTTGTAGAACTTGTGCGTGTATAAAAGAGGCGTTTAGATTTTACTCTTTGCTCAATGATGGGTGGTCCCCACTAATGTCGTGTCATGACGAGACTGGAAATGATGCTTGTGGGATGTGATTATGTACGAGGCTAACCAAGAATTATTAGCAAAACAGAGGTTGGTGATCTAAGATACCTAAGAGATCAATGTGACGATGGCACATCTACAAACATCTACACATCCACCATGACTCCCCATAATATGTTAATGGGGGCAGGAGCGCATACAACTCCTTCCGTCCGTCGATGCTCTTGAGCCCCTCAACCTCTCAATCTCCATTTCGGAAATCCGCGACCAGTTTATCGGGCTGGACAGGATTCCGTTTGGGAGCGCAGGGTTGGGGCTTTTGAGATGGCAGTGATTGCAATTGCTTTCACGGTCCTGTTAGTTGATAGGTGTGTCGTTGGTCACGGTGTAAGTCAACCGGGGAAAGACTCAAGCCACTGAAACTGTCCCTCTCTTTCCTTGACGATCAGCCCGGCGGTAGTGCACCTGCCAGCCTGACTGGGCGCCGCTTTTGATTTTCCTGGCATGTCTGGACTCAGCTATAAAGATAGCAACTGAATGGAGCAATGATTGGTCATTGTCACAGGTCGATCGAAAATACACCCAAGAAGGCTGAGTGGATGGTAGTGTTTGAGCTCAAGACGACACTGGAGCACAGCATGATGCCGCTTGGTTGCCCGGCATAATTCACGTATCAAAACATCGGGATCTTCTATGCGGGCATCGATGGGAAAGTAAACAAACAGAAGCGGTGTCCCGTCCATCTCAGTGGTATCCCGTCCGTAGCGTCTTTTCCATCCACTGCCTATCGTCTCTTCAAGGTAAAGATATTCAACGTTCGTGTAGGAAAATGCCGAGAATAAGCATCCTTTTTTTGAGTTTTTCGTCTTTCAACTTCCATTTGTGAGATGAACAGGCAGATGGACATCGGTACAGGCCGGCTTGGAGACGACGACACTTTGAACAGGGCAAGCAGCACGATGACGACATTGCTCAGTCATTCTATCCAATCAGAATCATGGAAAGACCTCATCTGCCTCCCAGCCCCACCTCTCTCCCCACTCTGTGCATTCCCGTCCTTCAAGGTTCTCAAGTTCGAGACTCTGTCATCGTGTCCTCGCCAGTCTTTCTCCAACTTGACTCTTTTTAGTCATGATAACCATTGCACCGGTGAACGGATTCGTATTGTGCAAATCAAAAGGGCCTGGCAGTCTCGACGCGTGAAACGGTCCGCAAATCATCAGCAGGCGGGCTTGCCCAAGTCTAACAAGCTACCGGCTTCAGCTCCAGGAGCTTGTCCGAGTCCAGAGTCATGTGGTGAAACCGCCGGGGAGATGAACCTGATGATGGTTACCTCTCTGCCTGGGATAAACCGAGCTTTCCATTGAAAGAGCTGCTTGTTTGGGTGGCACGGATCGGATGAACGAACAAAGGCCAAGACAGTGACGCACTTACGCGGCTAGAGAAGTAGAGGTACCTTTTCGCAAGTGGCCTCATTCCCACGCGGGGAAGCGGCCTTCTTGCCTTTCGCCCCCGTTCGGTATTGCATGAAGGAGTTGCTCTTGCTGAATGGGAATTCATGTACCGCAGTCGTGTATCAACGTGCTTGTCCACTTACATCCGTCCACTGCCGCCTCCTTGCTTCCCCGCAAACCGAAACACCCTCCACACCCTCTCCCATTTTCCATCCTAATCTGGCCTTGCCTACCTTGTTTTTGTTTTTCCTCGGCCCTTACATAACGCCCTACATCCGTCCGCCAGGCCTACTTGGTCACCTCTTCTTCCTCGTATTCCCTCTGTCGGAATCTTTTCCAAATACACAACACCATCAACCACAGGTCTGCCCACTGAGCTCACATAGGTTCATCTGCCATTTGCTGCTCAACATGGCGAACTTCAGCGATCGTAGGTGGCTATCCATACTCTCGTCCGTCATCGTCGTACACAGCGCTAACTAGCTTTCAACAGTCAACCCCTTCGCGAAGCGGGAAGCGCATAGCCCGACATCCATCACCACCTACAAGGTCCTGACTCTGCTCTCTTGGGTTCTGTCCGTCGTCACGACCGTTTACTACGATTTCCACTCACCTCACGATGGACACTTCATTCGCCGGACGATTTGGGGCCAGAACTATGCCCATCCTTCGGGCTTCACGCAGAATGCCACCATCACCTCCATCTACTGGTGAGTACTACCACGCACAATTCCACCAGCTGCGGCCATATATCGATGCTGACACTTGGGCAGGCTTGTGTTGTTCATTCTCCAGGGAGGCTACATCGGCCACCTCTTCTCCAACGATTCCTCCACGGTCAACGCTGCCGCCTCTGTCGGTAGCCACTTCATCTTCAACAACCTGCTTCACTTTGGGTGGGTGATGCTCTTCGTTCGCTCGCACTTCGTCTGGTCCGAGATCTTGTTGATCATCAACTTCATCAACCTTACGTCGCTGTACTTCCGCCACAGTGCGTATCCCAAGGGCATCCACATGCCCGCTGTGTCTGGTCCCCTTGCCTGGACCTTCGTGGCTCTGTACTGGAACGGTGCCATCATGGTCCCTGCCCAGCATAGCTTTGTTGCCCGCATCTTTGCCAACGTCTTCATCTGGTCGATTCTGGTCTACGGAATGTTCTTCATTGTCACCTACAAGGTAAGCTTGCCATAGCTCGTTTGTTACAGACACTGTTTACTAACAGCTCGTAGGACTACACTATGGGCTTCAACCTGAGCGTTCTCGCTGCTTCCTTGGGAGTCGCCCAGTTCTTTGACCGCGTCATTGCATTCCAGTGGATCTTTGCCTTCACCATTATGGCAGTGCTGTTCGTCTTCACTGTGGTCGTCGCCGTACCTGCTTGGACCGGTAAGGAGGTCAGCTGGGGCAGACGCCAGACCCAGCCCGATGCCGAGCGTGCTCCTCTTCTCAATGACAACTAAGCATCTTGACAACAAGTGCTTTCATCCCGTATTTCTACGGGCTCCATTCTGGTGAAGGGTAAAACCTTTGAGAGTTGTACGATGTTGAAAATATCCATAACAACTGTCACTCGTTGCTCGGAGTTGCGGCATCGGTCGGCCGTGGTGTAGGAGATTCTTTGCATCGAAAATGGGAAGGGCTTCGTCATAATGATAATCATGTGCCTCAAGAGCACCAAAAAGAGGAAAGGAAATGAAGGAAATCACAACAGAATGAGCGATGTTCTCGGGAAAAGAATGAAGAGTTCAGTGGCATATGGTTCAAGCCTCCTTTACCTTATCGTAGTAGGTAGCTTACCTTATCGATAAGTTATCATTAAGCGATTCATGACGTAGGGTTGTTGCAACCCCGTCTTTTAGCGTCTTAGCCCGTCCTTATAGGGCATTTTAGTGTAATGATTGCTTCAGCGGTTTAGAACCACATCAGATCGTCCATCACAATGCCGTCACTCTCAATGTGTTACTGACCACTCTTCCTCTTCTCAGCTTTACAAACTCGCTAAGCACACCGCTGCTCATATGTTACCATGGCATCTCGACTCGTCCGTTTTCCGTGGCCCATGAATGTTGGGACCGATATCTGCCAGGTATCGCGAATCCAAACCATCTTGTCTTGCCCTACCGGCCGCGGTCGACACTTTATTCGGAGGATCCTGTGTGAAGAGGAGTTGAGACGGCCTAGCTCCAAACTTAAGTCATACCTGCGTGTTGTGCTAAAGTTTGCAAAGGAGCATGACACGCTTAAGGAGCAGGGCAAGGAGACCGAGGGGTTTGGTCATGGTCATAAACGGCTAGAACAGAAGTGGAAGGGTCAGGGTGTTGATCTGGGAGAGGTAGCTGCTTTTATGGCTGGGAGGTAAGCTGTTCTTCTTCGAGTTCCCCATATACCACTCTGGTCCGGGACAGACTAGATAACACTTTCGATACTACAGGTTCGCAGCAAAAGAAGCCGCCATCAAAGCTCATCCGCATCGTCACTTGACCTTTCACGACATCATCATCGCCAAAGCTGTGGAGCTGGACCAGATCGAGAGAGAATTGTTACTCCCTTCCTCCCCCTCTTCCTCTTCATCTTCATCTTCCAAAACTTTCACCGGCTCAACAACCGGCCCCACCACCCCCGTCGACACGCACGACATCATGCCCGAGGACCGCGTCTTCGACTACCAGCTGGAAACCGACAAGCCAAACGGATCCGACAGACCCAAGAGCTTCACCGGTTCCACCAGGGGACCGACCACGCCTGTGGATACAAGGGATATCATGCCTGAGGATCAGGTGTTTGATTACCACCTGGAAACCGACAAGCGGCCATTTGAAGGGTCTACGACCGGCCCGACCACGAAAGTGGACAAAAACGATATAATGCCTGAGGACAGGGTGTTTGACTACCATCTCGAAACAGACAAGCCAGATTCTGCTGAGTCAAAGTCAAATGATACGACGACGCTGGCTGCGAGAAGGACAACAGTACCGCAGGAAGTGCCTGGTAGAGCTAGATTGGGAAGTGGACCGCCTGTTGCTATCATCAGGGGAGGAGCTAAGGGAGAGGGAGAGAAGGGGGGTGACGACGCAAACCATCATCAGGTGGCGCTGATTAGTATCAGTCATGATGGCGATTATGCTACTGCTACTTGTGTGGGGTTTGATGCTGGGAGTATGGTGAAGGGGGGGTTGGGGTGGATGGTTTCTCGGTGAGTAGTTGGTAACGAGGTAGAGACAGGTCACTGACCGTGAGAGGTTGAAATGGCAGTTCAGAGGACTGACTGGCTGGGACTATGGGTGAAAGAATATGGTCATTACGACTTGGAATGGAAGTGTGTTGAAGAGGAATATGCGGTTAGGGTGTATTATTACTGTACTGTATTTGATGGCAATTCAACTCGGAAAAGCAGATCCGTTGATGTGGTGATAACTCCTCTGTATCTGAATGGCACCAAGTGGATCGTACTACTTGTGGATAACAACGGCGTCGCATTTCACAATCGGTAGCTCGAATAGTGTAGTGGTTATCACGTTCGCCTCACACGCGAAAGGTCCCAGGTTCGAAACCTGGTTCGAGCATCGCTTTTTGCTTGATGAGGACATCGTCGATTTTGCTGTGTTCTTTTTTTTTTTTTTTTGTCGTTTTTGTTTTCGTCTGCTTGGGCTTCTAACATATATATATAGTGGGCGTGGAAAGAAAGAGAACATGAATTGCAAGATAAAGATCCCGATCAGGTCCTTCGTAACGTTCAAAATGTAATTACGACGACTCGGCAAGTTCACGGAGTGCACGAAGTGTTTGGGAGCAAGTAGAGGATCAATCTGAACCTGGATTGAAAAAGGATGGGACACGTGCACCAAGTGCAAGACTAACTGAACACTTCAAAACGCTCTAGAACTGCTGACTGCTTTTCGTTCAAAACATTGGGTATCTTTGGTAACTCGATCGTGGTCTTTCATCCATCAAACTTCTCTCTGGTGTCGCTTCTTCAGTCGACCCGCTGTCTTGAATTCCACCATGTTAAACAATGTCGTTCTGGCAGAACACATCAGGAAGCACTGCCCTCAATCTCTGCCATTTTCTCATCCATCCTCCTAGCCATGTCTGCCTCCATATCAACCACCTCTTCAGATCCAACACCAGTGTTCCCACCGTAACCATTCCCAACACTCAACCCCCTCCTCCTTAGTTCACCCTCTATATCCCTCCTAGTAATCATCCCCCCTCTTTTACCACTCTCCGATTCCGCCTTCATCCTCTCCACATCCTCCCTCATCTTCCTCCCCCACCCCTCCACGCTCCTCATCCCCACCACCAAGAACCCGAGCTCCTCCCGATCCACATCAAACACCTCCCACCACTCGCACTCGGGCATCTTGGCGCCCACATCCTTAGCGGCATTGTAGATAGCCGCCACGGCCAGCGCGTTCGGCTGACTGGTAAGGTACAGCATCTGCGGCGACAAGAGCGCCGTGTTGAGATACGCGAGCGTTCGTTTCGATATCGTGGACTTGGAGGTGTTGAGGAAGTCAAGGGCTTGGAGGTACGTTATCGCCAAGGGGTGGGGGAGGGAGACGTGCGTGTCGAAGGAGAGCGCGTACAGGATGCGAGATTCGCAGTGGAGGAGGCGCGTTTGGAAGGAGTTGTAGACGTGTTCGGGGAGGTAGTAGTCGTTTGGGATGTTGGTTGGTGGTGGTGGTGGTGGTGGTGGTGAGTCGTCGGACGCGGATACGGACGGCTGGAAGAAGGTCGAGGAGGGAGAGAGGAGGTAGTTGTAGACGAGGGCGAGGTCGCGCGGGGAGCGAGGGTATGGAGATAGTTTGGCGGTTAGGTAAACGGAGGCGGCTGAGATGTCCTGGGAGAAGGGGAGATGTGTTAGTGGTTATTGTTGGTGAGGCGATCTTGGGGGAAGAGGAGTGTGGGAGGAATGGAAGGACTTACGCTGAATTCGTGGGATACCATGGGTTCAATTAGCCAGTATCGCGCGAGGAGGACGTTCGCCTGGGCTGTGACAGATTGCGGGAGCTGGAGGAGCAGACCGGCTGCTTGGGTGAGGCACTGGGTCGAAAAGAAGATGGCGTCTTGCAGCTCTGTTGGAAGCGCGCTGAAGGAGCGCCGTTGGTAGAGCTGTTCTGGCGTCGCCAGGGGGTTAATCATATGCGACATGATTGTTTGTCGACTGGAGGTCGTCTTTGAAGTTGATTGACTGTTGTCGGTCTGCTTTTGTTGAAAACTGAGTAGCTGGCGCAAGATGAAGCTGGAGGATGGAGAGTCGCGAAGTCAAATCGCGAACTGCATTGGGCAATGAATGATGGCTGTCTTCGGGTTAGGGTTCGGGTTGTACATGCATCACTTACACGACCAAGCGAGCTCCACAGTAAAGTTGAGTTGCTATCAGAAATACTGGCCACCATATATGATTGGGGGTAGCCTATGTAATATATGGGGCTTTTACGCACGCCAAAAGTCTCTTCAAATTACTGAAGCTTCTCATACTATATCAATAACTGCGAGATTATCTCTGAGCCCTCAATGATGGTATGGACTGCTTGAACTTGAAAAGGCCCGTCAATGTACCTCGAAGAGTACCTGCGTTCTGAGTACGGAGCTGCCACTAACAGCACTAACAGGCAAGAACTCCACATTCGCCCAGGAAACCCCACCCATGACCCCCGGCAGGCAAGCATTAGCAGGGTGTGGGCTTAATCAAGGATACCGCGCTAATTGAATCACGGGGTGACGTGAAGTCCAGGTGGGTCCCCGCATTAACACGCGTGCTTATCGAATGTTTAGGGCACAGAAGGCGCGTTTGTCCCCCTCGTTTCGGTTGATGCCGCGCCTGCGAATGATTCGGATTGGACTCGATTTGGACTCGAAGCAGCGCACATCCCCGCACCTTCCCTCCCACTTGTCGAAATTGAACTCGACCAATTTCCATGGGTTCGGTCTCTTGTCTTTCTTCTTCGCCCCATTCGATCGAGTGACTTTCCTGAGACATCCACGACATTCGACATATCCCGTTTTCCCTTTTGGTCTTGAGTATTCCACACAGTCCTTCCAAGATCGTGTAGAATTGTCTACCTACTCTGCCCACCCCACCATCCTCGCAACAACCACTCGTCAGGACTAGACACTTGCCTGATACTTCACCTGAACGTCAAATGACGCGTCGCGTGTTACGTGACTCCGTTCTTTCGCATTCTCCATCACTTTGTTGTTCCGTTCAATCACTCGACATTAACGGAGCGAACCCCTTACACGTCGGCCCTCAAAGAAGTGTGCTCTTATTGATAAGTCAAAGACTGGGACATACAGACAAACCAGAACGGTATTAAAAGGTACGCCCATTCCATTCATTATCCATAACCTTCGCAACAAGGCCCGATGACAACCAATTGGATCCTGCGGACCGCCATCCTGTCTCATGTTCCTGGCCGCAAGCTAACTTAGCCTACAGACTTTCGCCACAGAGAAACCATGACCGCGGTCAAGCCCGAACCCCGCGATGGCAGGGGCCTTGAATGCACCGCCCGCGGCCGCGGCCGCGCCCGCGCCCGCACACGACGACGAGCCTAGGATCGACCTCCAATGGCTTCAACAACTCGTTGACGACAAGGAAAAGCGATCGGCAGATGTCCTCGAGAGGGCTGTCCGTGTCGGCGTCAAGGCTCTTGAGGGCCTCAAAGGTCCCCTCGAAGCCGCCATAAATATTGAGGACACCTCAGCCGCCCAGTGGCTCAAGTTGATCAGTGACGTCCAATCTCGTGCCAAACCGACCCGCACTATTGTTGGTGTTGTAGGCAATACAGGAGCCGGAAAGTCAAGTGTTATCAGTGCCGTCCTTGATGAAGAGCGTCTTCTAGCAACAAACTGCATGAGAGCCTGCACGGCGTCTCCCACAGAGATCTCCTACAACTACTCCAAAGACCCCAATGAACTCTACCGTGCCGAAGTCGAGTTCATCACAACGGCCGAGTGGCTCAAAGAGTTGCAAGAGCTCTACAGCGATCTCATTGACGGGAATGGCGAGGTTTCGCGCGACAGTTCCAACGAAGATAGCGAGGCCGGTATCGCCTATGCCAAGATCAAAGCTGTCTACCCCCGCCTCGTCAAGGAGACCATGCCCAGGCATAACCCTGTGGAACTTGTAAACCAGCCCTCAGTCCGCAATGTGTTGGGCACGACAAGGAAGCTTCAAGCCACCACAGCTGGTGGTCTCTACCGCCAACTGCAGTCGTACGTCGACAGTAAGGAGAAAAACACAGACAAGTCGATTGAGTACTGGCCTTTGATCAAGGTTGTCCGCATCTACACCAAGGCCTCTGTCCTATCCACAGGAGTGTGCCTCGTCGATCTTCCCGGTGTCCAGGATTCGAACGCAGCAAGAGCGGCCGTTGCTGCAAACTACATGAAGGCATGTACCGGTCTTTGGATTGTGGCACCCATCACCCGTGCTGTGGATGACAAAACGGCAAAGTCTCTGCTTGGCGATACCTTCAAACGCCAGCTGAAATACGATGGCGCATATTCAGCTGTGACTTTCATCTGCTCAAAGACCGATGATATATCGGTTACCGAGGCAGTGGAGAGTCTTAATCTTGAAGACCGTGTCTCTCAACACGAGTCGCAGATCCGAAACAAAGAAGACGAGATCAAGAAGCTCAAGAAGAAGCTCGGCGAGCTCAAAGATCAGGAAGCAGCCTGTGACGAGATCCGCGACCATCTTGACGAAGAAGTGGACAAGTGGGATGCGCTTCTCGACAAACTGGACAAGGGAGAGCAGGTCTACGATCCATCTGAAGAGCAACAGACCAAGAAGCGAAAGCGTCGCGGCGGATCACGGGGAAGTCGCAAACGACGCAACAACGACCCCATTGAGAGTGATAGTGGCAGTGGCAGCGATAGCGGCAGCGACAGCGGTAGCGGTAGTGACGGGGACGACTCGGACGCCGAAAGGAGCGACTCGAGCGACAATTATTCCTCCACCTATAATATAGCCTCAGTGCGATATACCCAGCCGCAATACCAAATAGTAGCGCAGTATTGACCCAGTGGCCCGTCGGATACCCCTTTTTCGCCTCCTCGGCCTTGTAAATCCACACGCCAGCAATCTGACCGGGACATGCGCCGACGCCGACGCCTTAACCAAAGCTAGAAACAAAAGTAAATACTCAGTTGCGAGAAGATCCGGCTGTTGACCACCAGTCGTGAATATGCCGACATCAAGCGGGTCATGGCTCCTGTTTCCCTTTCTGTACCCGCCTCACGCGAGGAGGTGGAGAAGGATATTCTAATCTTTGTCGACAAAAGCATCAGTCGAAGCAACAGTTTCAAGCGTTGGCCCCACGATCTAAAGCTTGAGGAACAAAAAAAAGAAGGCTAAAAAGGTCAGTGTTGAAGAGGAGCACGAGATCAGCATGGAGCTTGATGGTACGACGCAAATCGACGATACCATAGTAATTGAGGAGACCACCTAAGTCGAGCTGGAAAGAATAACTCGAATTATATCGAGGAAGGTGCCCCAATGATGCTGATGATGGTGGATGAAGGAGAGAACGAGAGACGGAAAAAACTTCACGTCCATAGGGGAGAAGGACGGGGTGTACCGAAGCCATCATCACTAGGGAAAGAACAACCCGATATTATATCGAGGAAGGTGGGAGTGATATCGGGTTGTTCTTTCCCTAATAATAATAGCTTTAGTACACCCCATCCTTCTCCCCCATAGACGTGAAGTTTTTTCCGTCTCTCGTTCTCTCCTTCATCCATCATCAGCATCGTGGTCCAACATGGCGTCCGAAGTTGCCCTCCCGAGAGAGCTCCACAAATTCATGTGGGAAATCATGAACAATCCGAGGGTAGTGCCTGAAATCCCTACACTCATTCCTTCATACGAGGCTTTGAAAGGACTTCTTACCTCTACCAATGTCAAATTCGCTCGTGGTATTCCTGCTCTCCTCGACAGCCCTACACCCCCAACGATCGAATTCATCAACTCGCTACCTAGCAATTTCTCAAGGCAAAACTGGGGGGTATATATCCTCATCCTCGAAAGACCCGGTTCACCGACAGCAGTTTTCGTCGGCTCCTCTACAAGCTCTGAAGGAGGCACCAGGAAGCGTGTCCTGAAACATCTTTCAGCGCGCCCTAACTCTGGCAAGAAGCCTTCGGCTGAGGCCGTTCAACAGGCCCTCGACCGAGGATATACAATTGTTCATTGTGCGCAAATTGCGAAGGTACCATTGCCAAAGCAACAGAAGAAGAGAATCCGGGTTCTAATTATCAGTAAGAATAACCATATCCTCACACTTGTACCCAAAATACTCGACCAAATATAATAACATATTCCTAACATCGTCGTAGTTATCGAGGCTGCTATGCACTGTCTTTTCTGGTCCATGAAGTCTAACAAGACTTGGGGTTTCTGGAACGCCAATTACGAGGACCTCTACCCCTGGCAAAAGGCCAAATTTCAATATATTGGTCTCAATGGAATAAAAATAAACCCCACGCGTTGCGGAATTCCAGGGCTTAAACGGGGACATGTTGTTGATAGTGAAGAGGAAGATAAGCGTTTTATTTGCAAAGATTGCGGCAACCAAGTTTTCCTAGACATGGGGGATCTAAACAGACACCTCAGATCACAGAGGCACAAGGACCGTGCAGCTGGGAAGTTGGAATTCCATTGCGGGCTATGCAACAGAAATTTCAAGACCGCCAGCCGTTTATTGCGACACGAAAGAGAAGCCAAGGTCCACCAGGATATGCTTGCGGCTCGTGGGGAGGAGGTACAGCCGTGGGTCCCTACCAAGGGCAAGTCCGTCAAGCCACGCTGCCAACGGTGTGTCAAGAGACATCACGCGTGTGACAGGCAACAACATTGCGGCAGATGCAAAGATGACGGCATTCCCGCCGAGGAATGCATCCATTAAGCGCTAGGCGTCGGCGGGCAGGACGGCGGAGGCGAGGAAGCCGGCGGCGCCGATGGGGGAGAGCGTACATTGCGAGCAGAGATGGTGCCATTGTTGCAAAAGACTGATCCTGTGTTCGCGCTTGTTGTTAGGGGCGAGTTTGAAGAGTTTGAAAAGGTGGAAGAATTGGAGCCGAAGGAGGAGAGGGCTACTAGTAAGGGTTTTTTTGTCCCCCGGGTAGAGCGTGCATTGCGAGCAGAGATGGTGCCCTTGTTACAGAAGACTGATCCTGTGTTCGCGCCTGTTGTCAAGGGCGAGCCTGAAGAGCCTGAGAAGGTCGATGAACCAGAGGAGCCGAAGCAGGAGAGGGCTGCTAGCGAGGGCCTTTTTGTCGCTCCGGACGCCGCGGCTAACGAAGCTGACCCCTTCGCCGATGACCATGACACAACCATGGTGGATGCTTCGATTGTGGACACTTCGGTGGTTGACGCATCGATGGTAGATGCCCCTCCGCCGTCTTCGGCGCCAACTGCAACCTCTACCATCAAAGCTGAGCCCGTCGAGTCGGTTCTTCTGCAAAGCGGTAACCAAGCTTCGGTTCCCGCAGTCACCAATGATCACGCCTCACTGGTTCAACCAGCTGTTGAAACCACTCCAGCCCCTGCCGTTGCTGCTCCTCAAGCTGTTGCTGCTCCTCAAGCTGTTGCTCCCACTGAGGCCATTCAACCTGGTACCGCTGCTCCCGAGGCAGCCCAGGCCGTTGGTGTTGCTCATGAGCGCGCTCGAGCTGCTACTGCTGGCCCCGAGGCCGTTGGAACTGCTAATGTTGTTCCTCAGCCTCCGCGAGCTGCTACTGCTGGTCCCGATCCTATCTCTAACATCAAGCGGGAGCCACTGGAAGATCACAGCTTGCTCACCAGCTTCTGCAGTGAGCGCAATCCCAACTCTGACGACGAGGAAGAGGATTCTACCGCGACAGAGGGCGAGGATGACGAGGGCGATGAAGATGAAGATGATGACAATGCTGAATCATCATCAGACGAGGACAGCTCCCGGGCCCCAAGTGTCGACATGGACCTTGTGAAGCCAGAGCCCGCCGAGCAATGAGTGACTCTGACATTCGTGGGTTGCTCGCCAGCTGTTCATATTACGCTGTACATGATTGACATTTGTGGGGCTATGGGTCGTCGATGGTCTGGTCGGAAAAATAATGGAATGGGTCATAAAGGATGTGATGCCACTTAAGGGCGTTCCTGGCGTCATCGGATATGGCAGGAAAATATGGCGGTCTTGTGTGGTTTATATTTGGGCTTAGGTGGTCGGAGTTCATGTTTACGTAGGGTGTCGGATTCACTTCTTTGAGCACATTGATGCATTTGTGCGTTATTGTCATGTCGATCAGTGTTCGAGGTTATCATATCGAAGGCTCGTTGTCATATAAAGGAATGCTAGCTGGGCCTGTGTATATGGACTTATCCATGGCAGATATGTACGTCTCCCAGCAGGTCTTACATATTACAAAGGCTGTATTACGTAGACACAAAGTCGGTCTCGTTTAGCTTATCACAGGTAGTGAAGAGAACTATTGTTTTCGAAGAACATACGTGACCAAGAGGAAAAAAATAATTTGACAAATGACTTGGCGATAGGGCTGACTGTCTACCTGAAAAAAATATGCAACGAAGAGAACCGAGAATAACAGGGAAGGAAGCATGCAGAAAGAGGAAGGTGAACAACAAAAAACAATTCATCACCAAAAAGAGAATTTCAGCAAAAAGTTGATGTTGTCCTGATACCAGGAACATCGGGAATTGAGCCCGACGTGGGGGTCGAACCCACAACCTTGAGATTAAGAGTCTCACGCTCTACCGATTGAGCTAGCCGGGCGGTTGTTAACCGCCATTGGATGTTGAAGCATTAGTCAGGATATTGGGTTTATGTACGCACTTATTTTCTTTCGAGCATGCATGCGTGTGAACGTGGGAGGGAGGATGAAGGTAGCATCACCAGTCGAATTCTTTATGCGATAGAAACTTAGGAAGCTTTCTCGAATTACATGAATTGGAACCTTCCATATGGGTCTAAACATCCCATCCCTACAGCGGAAATCCCATGGTGAAAGGGAAACAGCCGATAGTGGTATAGTATCCATCTCCAATCTCCGCCGACCAGGACCCAGAGAGAGGATTTGTTGTTCGATATCTGATAAAATCATCGTTTTGCTAAGGACTTTTTTTTTTTTGTTTTTTTTTTTGTTTTTTTCCTTCTTGGTGTGCTAAAGACTTCTTTGCTTTCTTTCCTTCTTGGTGAGGCAACACAGGGCAGGAAGAACAAGACAAGACAGGGCAGGCGTCCCTCATGGTTTCCACGACTCCCCTCCATCCCGAGGATCCCGTTCGGCTCCCGCGCCTCCGGCACTCGGCTTCGTTTGGGAAGTTGGGAAGTCGAGAACGTCAATACATATCATTTCAACAGATCAGTTCATCGTTGTGAACTTAGAATTGTCAATAGCCAAACCATATCAGTACTAACGATACATTGTTCTTTCCGTCGTTCTCCATCTTTTCCTAGCTAGGTAGGTAGGTAGCATTCGCATCAACCACTTCATCTTCCTTGTCCGAGTTCCCGCGATGACAAATGCGGGAAAAAGAAGAAACAAACAAACTGCATCTTCTCCATGACTGTATCCCGATGGGATTTCCAAATATCAGAACCCCCCCCCCCCCCTTTTTCCCCTTGCATACGTAGTCAGAGTAGTATGTACCTCGATATGTGCGCTCGGCAAGTGGATATGATATGTGCTTACATGCGCACTCGGTACCGACGGGAGTCGCAGTAAGCACAAACAGCTGCGTCATAGACTTCCACTTACCAATTTCCCATACCTATCTATCTATCTACCACTAGGTAAAAGTCCATCCGAAGGCTCTACAGAAATAACCAAATGCCTACTATTTATTTCCATCCATCCGTTGCACCCTCTTACTGTGTAAATCTCTATGCAGTATGGCAGTCTGGTGGTTGTTGGTTCGAAACAATCGGGCAGGAGGAGAGCAGCCCTGCTTAAAGAAATGAGGATCTTCAACAATTGCATCAGTGCTTCCGTGTGTACCTGCATTTGGCTTGCATCAAATCTGCGGGCTTTTCCCCAAATCCTTGGTTTCCAAGTTTTGAGTTTAAGTTTTTCGCCACACAGTAGAAGACCAATTGGAACCAAATAGATGCTACCCACCACTCTTGTCTTTTTTCTTCACTTCTTCTTCACACAAACCCTGACAGACAACGAGCCGAATGAGCCGTGTCGCTTCTCCATCCCCTATCTTATTTTGTGGATGGTGGATGGAGACCCATTCGGTCGTTCTTGTGTGTGGTTGGCAGCAGGGTTGTTTGGTTCACCAGTAAAAGATGTTTGGGAGAAGTTCCCTATATGTACACTACGGTGTGCACACCATCACTAACCAAATATACGCTCTGACTGGTTCGATGATTTGCATAAGATAAAACGAGGCATATGTGCTGCGAGGGTAGATCAGGAACAGCAAGCAAAACGAGATGAACGCCTCGTTAGGAACAGGAAGTGATCACTGGTTGGTTGGTACCCGCAATGACGAACGACACCCCAATTGACATTGACACTTGGACGTGTTCACAGAGCGTCAATCAATCGCACGCAAAATCATTGTTGGGTTCGATTCAGATAGGTATTCGGTTCCGTATTCCAACTAAGATGTAGGCAGGATTAGGGGGTCCATGGCCACCTATAACCTGACTCTACTATAACCTCCCACAAATACAGCTTTGATCCCATAACCGCCGCAAAAGCCGCTTCCGTAACTCTGATCCAAGCGCGCGCAAGTTCGCAGTCCAACCATTCAGTGTCCAAGTGGTGTATGGTCGTGCTTCCGTAAAGTTGTCCAAAAAGCTGCGATAGCTTGAATTCGAGGTGACGTAAATAATGCTCTCGATTTGTCTTTGGTTTGTCAGGATGAGGTATAGTGTCGTATATGTGAGGTGATCGGTTGTAAGGTCCATTGAGCGAACCGAAGCTATCTGGTGTCGTCCGAAGTTGAGGCGGATTGAGATGAACGGTCGTCCGGTACAGGAAACAAAGATACGCTGCACCCCAAAATCATAAGGAAAAAAAAAGGAAAAGAACATTAGGGCACGTAGATAATCAGCGTTCGGTCGTCTGGTTGTATGTGCGCTTGCAAGTGTGGTTTAACATGAACAAAAAAGCGCTGGAAAACCCTCAAAACCCCCCAAAAAATGATCAGACACAACCAGCAGCACCCCCCTTCCTTTTAGTTTGCCTTTCCCCCAGTCTGGCCCCAAAAAGCAAAACAAGCCCGCCTGCCGCCCAGTTTCGGAAACGATGAAACGCAAAAAACGCCGTGGTATCTCAATGCAGATGCAGAAGACAGTGATGGTAGTGATGATGATGATGAGGGGGATGATGATGATGATGTAATCGCAAGAAACCGTTCGTGTGCGTCGTCGTGAGTGATTGAAACCGTCCGCTCAATCCTCAATCCTCGTTGATTGGATCCGGGTTTACGGCTCTCAGTACCCGCGGCTGACCGACAACCCGTCTCGAGTAGTCTTGGTTGTCCTGGAATGATGTGATACTCTCACGGCTCTTGTTTCGGCCGTTGAACAGAGCGTTGCCGTATGGGTTCAAGCGTGGGTCGACTGGCATCAAAGTGCTCCTCCTCTTGGACCCCGGTCCATCCCCCCATGCTACCAGGTCGGGCGCAAAGCGAGTTTCGGTAACTGTGGCGCCCTTCATTCCCGAAGAGCTTCCGCGTGGCGAGCTGAATGAAGAGCCGCTCTCTTCGTTCTGCTTCCTGCGCCTCATGTACCAGATCCAGAGCAATACGCCGATAATTCCCAGAGCAGCGGCGACACCGATGGCAATTCCGACGGCTGCTCCTATACCGAGTGGCTTCTTTCCATTGGGTTCGGGTTCGGCAAGTTGACCTCCGCTGGTGGCTGTTGGGGTTGGTGTGACGACCACGGTTCGTACTGTTCCGCCAACGGTAACGGTTTGGGTGGTTGGCTGCGTCGGATCTGTTGTAACGGGGCCATTGGTAGTTTGTGTCGTCTATCCACAATGTTAGCCTTACATGCACCCAGGAAGCTACGGTTGAATGCATGGTCTGACGAGAACGGATGAAAGAAGGTGCGAAAAACCATACAGAAGTAACAAGGGTGGTGGAAGAAGAAACCCCAGTTGAGGAGGCCACCGAAGACTTCACCGAGGGAATCACAGTCACTGTTTCTCGAACCGTGCTCTGCACAGTCTTGATTGCAGTGGTCTGCTCAGTCTCAGTCTTGATGATCACCACAGCCTGGGGACCGAGATGTTTAAGCAAGGGTGAACGGGGGGGCGGGTTCATGATATAGGCTCAAGGATAGATATCAAAACGCGCCGGGAACGGGAACGCTGGGGCATCGTGGGAGTAGGGGATTGGATAAGGAGAAACAGAGAGGACACATACCGTAGTCGTGGGCTTAGTCGCGGATGTGGTCGTCTTGGTGGTTTGTTGGGTGGTGGTGCTGATTGACGCTGGCGCCGCCGTGCTGGACGGCTTGACGCCCGTGATCTTGAGATATCCGTAGAGGGAATCGCCTCCACACCAATCTGAAGGATATCCGGGGCAAGGATTTTCGCATTGGTTAGTCGATACGGTGTTGGCTGTGTTTGGCTGTGTGTTGGAGCACCAGCAGGATTTGCCCCAAACCACAGCAAAGGCGTACTCTTCCTGGGCACCAGCACAGGTTTGGTAGCACAAACCCATGGACTGGAAGTCGCTGTCCTCTGCAATGGAGGTTAGTATAGGCTCTGTGGGAACATGACGATGAGGTCTCTAGCTACTCACTCGAGTCCATGTCAGCCGTGTTGACGGTGGCGCAGTAGGCAACATCATGGGACGGGCCCACGGCCAATGCGTTTCCGCAAAGCGAGGCCACTAGGGCGAGACATGCCCACAAACGGGCAGCTCGTTGGCGTGCCATTGGTGATGCAGCAGTTGGAGTGCAGTATCTGGTGATAATTTGTTAGCGACCCGAGGAGTTATTGCATATTTTCTTGGTGGTGTTTGATATTGCTGGGGTCTCCCTTTTGGGTGAGCCAAACAGAATCTCCACTTCGGCTTCCGCGGCGGGAACATACCTCGTATTTCTTGGCTTTCCCCTCTCGGCCACCTATCGAGCGACTACAACAATAACAACGCCAAGTACCCCCAGCAGCCCGTGATCCTTTTTCCAAAACACGCAAAGTTGAGAGACGGAATCTGAAGTTTGTCGATCTAAAAAGCCATTGCAAGCCAGCCAGGCAAGCTAAGGTAGTGCAGCGTAGCGAAGATGGTCCGTGTCCAAGGCAATAACGTGGCGCGAGACTTTTTTTGGTGGATGAAGAAGCGAGGCGGAACAGGACAAAAATCGAAGCAACGTCCAGCTAAAGAGTCACTTGGTCGTCGTCTTTGTCGTCGAGTATGTAGTAGCGAGAAGTGAGATGGGCGTCCGAGGCGATTGGGATTTGGCGATGGCCCAAAACTGGAGTACGGATGGAAGCAAGTAGAGGAGATTCAGGGAGTCGACAGTCCTCTACAGGAGTTTGATGAGCAGGAGCAAGTTGGAGGAAGTCGGGCGGTGGCAGACGGAGACGATGCAGATGAGCGGCGGAAGAGGAGAGTGGGGGGAGAAGGTGGGAAGTGTTTGCATGGAAACGAGACGAGCGACAGAGAGACAGATCGATCGTCTGCAGAGAGGACCAAATGGGAAAGGACTGGACGGAAAGAAAAGGCCGGATGCAGGAGGGGGCTTGCCCAGTAGTGTGTGTACAAGGGGGCAGGCCACACTGCTGCCAACCTTTCCGTCCATCAACAGCAAGACACTTGCCCAACAGCGGAGCCCTTTTGCCCTTGAACTTTGATCGGGGTGGAGTTGGCCGATAGTGGAAGAGGTGACTGGTGGACCAGATACGAGTCCACCCTGACACCGTCTGATAGTGAAGCCGATATCGTGTTGTATCGTGACCGTCACAATAAAATGTCAGCAACTCCTTTCGTGACTTCGTGTTCCTGCACCAGCACAAGAGCTGCACGTATAAAGCTTGAATCCTCCCGCACATGGAGGGTTGCAGCAAGCGCACAAAAAGCACATGTGTGCGTCGACATTGGTCGCATTCGTCCAAGGACATAAAAAAGGGCTGTTCGGAACACACGGCACCATTGGATACTCGTAGGAGGGAGGAGCGGGAAGGCAGATCAGAGGTACCGACCTTCTGCTTCCGTCCTGTCACCAGTCACCACAACCTATGAAATTGACAGCGCGATAAGAACTGATAGTTCGGTACCGCAACGGCAAACATATCCATTGAAAGGTTTCAAAAACATGGACGGAAACAGCGAGAGCGGTGGATAGGCTGGACGGGAGATTTGGGAGAAATTCCAGAGCTTGGCTCACTTGGCGTCGTGTGTTCTTGGGGCTTGGCTGATGGACAATGGCCCTGCAAATGACGACGTCACTTTTTCTCTTGGCACTCACTCGCTTCGTCTCGTATGAAGACGGATTCTCGTGGAGTCGCGGGTACCTTGGAGGTGCTCGCTTCTGTTAGGCGTCGACTTGGCGCTTCGGGATCTACAGTACCAAATGCCCCCTCATTATCTGAGCAATCCACATGCGAAGTACCCGATACTTTGGGCAGTCTTAACTCCCGCGTAGTTTCTGGACTGCCTCAGCGCGCATCCGCGACCACACGGCCGCATCTGCCCCCTGCGAGCCTGCCTCGAGCCTGCCTCGAGCCTGCCTCGAAACAACTTTGGTCGCCCTGGACTGCTGATCTTCGCTTCGGCGCCATGAAGCACCGAGGCAAAAACACACAACTCCAAGGGCAATCAAACAGAAAAGCAATTTCAAAAATCTTGTCGAATTCTTGGCCCGATTGATAAGCCCCTCTCCTCATGCCCCGTTCATCCCCGTGTTGCGCAGGCGACATCCCGACTTCACCCATCCCCCTCCCAGGCACTCCAGATGGCCGCTTGCAGATTCCAACCGCGCCTGCCAGGCCCATCCCTTCAGCACACGCATCTTCCAGTCCGATCTTCGTTTTGTTTTCAGATGGAGGCTTCGCGCCTACCAGGTTGGCTTTTCTGGACTGTCGGTGCTCGGAACATTTCCCCCGCCACCACCGCCCTCTCCAACCTCCGCCTTCCTTCCCTCATGAAATCTGCCCTCTGGCGCCGTCCGTTGATGGCGCCGGCGAACCCCTGCTGGTGTTCCCTAGAGGTATAACGGCCCGGCCCCAACACCTTCAGGGTGTCGCTTGCTGGAAGTGCTCTGCTGCTGCCTCTGTCTGGCGGCTTGAGGTTCTGTTGGCGCCGGCTGTTAGCGACAATGGTCCCTAATGTCAGCCAAGGCGGCCTGATACCTATCCTTTTCGGACACCCTGTAAACAAACAAGTCGCGATGGAGTCTTCGAACCCTCAATCTATCAGCACGTGGGAAACCTCCATTTCCTCAACCGCACAGCGCCGAACTTAGGGCGGCGATGATCCCAGATCCGTCTACACACTACTGCGGCACGGATATTGATGCCCCCCTCGCCGTCCCGGCTTCCTTTCGGCCTTCTTTTCTACACTACAACGAGACAGGGGTACATCTCCCGTCTCTGGCGCCTACGGTATACTAGTTTTATAGGCAAGCCGCAGCATCCAGTCCACACGTGTATTATCAGAGGCTTGTCTGTTCGAATAAAAGAACAAATACATGGGCTGATGGTGTTACCGCCCTATAGGGACCGCCGTTCAAAGACTCCATTTTCCCAACCCTCGGTTTATTGTTTCAACGGTCATCATCTTCCATATCTTGCGTGCTATCCCCGGATCAACAATGAGGGGTTGAGAGACTTTCGTTTCTCACCGGCCATGATCGACAAGAACAAAAACAAGGGGGCGTGATGCACATCAGTGTTACAGATATGACTGACTGAGAAAGTCTCAGCTTGGCCTTGAATGAAGCCAGGAAGTGCTTTCTGTTCTTCGTTGATGATTGCCATCTGACCGGCCTTTTCCTTCTGTATATCTCGTGCTTTCTTCTTCACCAGCCTTTCGACTTTTCGGGATCGGGACACTGCCAGGATACGTAGGTATAAACGCTGTGGGTGAACACGAAGCAGTGACACGCTATTTGAAGTAATACGAAGCACACCTCTACTCAACCTGCGTCACTCATGGTGCACGCTAGAACAAAGTGGTGGTGCGGGGGTCGCGGGTATCTCGAGTTCTCGAACGACCTTCCGGGTCAATCCCACCTATCGTCCATCGTGAAAGTACGGGGTAAAGAAGCTTAGTGCCTTCTATCTTTCGCACCCGTGATTCCCCAGACCGGTCGTGATATCGCTCCGGACTTCCTTTCCGGTCCTATCTCGACCGCTTCTCTACATTGATGGACTAATAAGGGACCGCAGACTTATAAGGTCTGGGCTTCGATGGTGACTTATTCCAAAGGCAGATCATGGCATCTTTGCTACCCGGCCGGCAGGTTGAGGGGGTCGACATGACCGGAGACCGTGATACCAATCCATCTTCATCGTCAGCCGCTCTTTGTTCGGATACGGAGATAAATGGGACCGGTTCCTGTCCGTCCGGTGCTGCTCCCAATGTGTTCCGAGAGGCGGTCTACGCATTTCCAGTCAAAAACACGACAACGACGACTCGGGGAGCCGATAAGGTCATATGTCGGACGCATGGTACTACCATGTAGGATTTCTATCTTCCTTGCGTTGGCTAGGGTACGCGTACCGGGCAGTAGGTTATACCCATATTTCCCTCTTTGAACCCCCTTTTACTTCTCTTCTCCAGCAGTCATCTGTTGCCCAGTGTCTTCTAGTGTAGGTTGTCGCCGTGACACGGCATATAACACTGAGTGCCGTGTGGCCGTGTCTTTTCTGCCGTGTACCCACAGAACCGGAACCGGAAATCCAGACCGCTTCTGCGTTCCGTTTCATCTCCATCTACCGAGAAAGGCTTCTGTATCAAGATGGTTGTTATTCGTTGGTTTCTGACCGAGATACAAGAGGGATACACGGACAAAGGGACAAATGGGGTTCGCTATTCCCTGACTGACCGATTTGCTTGTGCTTTGTGCCTTGTGCTTCGGTCGCGCAAGATGAGCGCGGGAGGCCTCGTCGCATCGCTTTTCTTTTTTTTTTCTTCCGAAGGTTGGCGACAGGATATGGCATGTTGGACTACTGCCTGCGGGTATTGTACTCGTGCTGCCGTTGTTGTCATGTTACTGTTCCCGATCTGTGGTCATTCAGTATATCCCTGTGAAGCACAGGGAACTGGTTGAGTGAATCCCACATGCAAGCTCTTCAACCACTTTACACCTCAACCGGCCAACGTTCGTCGTTATCTTGATATTGGCCTCATCATCATTTACATTGAGCTAGCAAATTTTCGCAAGGTGCTCTGTGAACTCGACGGTTATCACTGAATAGCGACAGAGTGTCATCAGAGACATGCGGTAACAGTCGACGGTAAATCCAATGTCAACTGACTTAGACCTGAGCGACCACATCTAGGCGCCCTGTTCAACCACCATACCCCACTACAAAGGCAACGCAAATGTATGTGGTGGACGAACACAAGGACAAAGTACGCAAATGCCAGCAAATGACAGCAAGGACCGACTCGGCCGTTTGGGCTGAAACAGCAAGACGAGACAAAACAGGGACGACGGGGGGAAGAAACAAAACGAAACAAAAACAAATCTGGGATAGATGTGTTTTTGAAGAGACCTCCATTCATTGATTGTTACTCAAAACTGCCACTCACTCATTCATTCACTCACTCATTCATTCACTCACTCATTCATTCACTCACTCAGCCACTACAACAGAAAAGTTTCGGTAACCGGTCCGTGAATTGTCAAAAGTCGAATATTCCAAGAAGCAAGGTGGCTGACGACACTCCGGATATTAGACGCTGAAGTAAGTTCTTCCTACCATTCTCGTTGGTTTTGCAGCGGCTTACGTACCTAGCTGGCCAGGAACATGTCGTATGAGCTTCCACGTTTCTTTCTCGAAGAGAGGAAATACAGTCCAATACTGGTTTGTTTGTTAGCTCGAGACCTCGGGTCAACTTCCCTAGGCGTTTTCATACTATGAATATGCCTTTTCCAAAATAAATACACCGTAGTGGATCTTATTAGTCCCTTTCGGATCCGTACCTAGCCATTTTCATGCTGTGAATATGCCTTTTCTAAAATAAAATACACCGTATTAAATCTTATTAATGCCTTTCATTTAGTCCTTATAAGGTTTAGGACAATTCGGAAGAGATCTCGTCCAGTGTACTAGGAGTACGTAGGTACCAAGCTTATTTAAAGTTGAGGTCCCGGCCCCCGAGGGTGTTGACGATCCCGAGGGTTTTATGAAGGCCTTCCTGTCCGGTTACTTGAAAGGCCGCCCGTTCATGGTTGTTGAGCAGCTGGATCAGGCGAGAGAGGCTGCGGCTGCTATGGCAGAGCAGGATACTGCCGCTGCTGCCGCTGTCCTCAAGCAGGAGGTCGACATGGTGGACACCCAGATGGATGATGGAACAGACGACCTTGATGTTCCTGCCCCGGCCGACACTACCAAGAAGCATGGCTCTAACATGGTGAAGGGTGGAAAGAAGGCTGCCAAGGTTACTCCCAAGAAGGAGAAAGCCGAGAGTACGTTTGATGTTTTTTTCCCCAATGTTCCTGCCCCCAAAATATGACTAACATATAACTTGAGCAGAACCCATTCACAGATTCGCCCCTACCAAGGAGGAAATCATGGAGCAGCTCGACCAGAGAGATGCGGATGCTGAGATATCGGATGTCTCGAGCAGATGCTCTACCCCGGCCTCAACCTACACCGACGCCCCCGAGCACCGTGAGGCCACCGTTGCTCCCGAGTACATCGCTCCTGAGCACGATGATCCTGAGGCTAACATCCCGCTCGCTCCCGAGCAACACGAGGCCACCGATCCCACATCTCCGAACTAGAAGCAAGAGATGCCGGACACCAAGGTGCCGGACAATGGCGAAGCTGATGATGATGAGCTGGGAGGAGTTTGATGTGTCCGTCCTCTATGATTTCATTGTTTCAGACTGGGAGGTTGAGAGACGGCGCTGGTACCTTATGCCGAGAGGAAGGCAAGACACGATGCCGGCGAGTGGTCTGACTAACAGGCGACCTTATACGCAACTTTGGCCGCCCTGGTTATGGTTTTTTTCACAGTTCTTTATTTTTATCAGTCTTTATGCCAGATACGACGGAGCATCAGCGACATATTGGGCATCATCATTAACACGGACTCAAGAGTTATGCACACTTAGGTTGATAGGGTAATCATTAAACAAGGCAGTCTTTTCACAGTTGATATCTTTATATTTGCGCAAACAATACAAAGAAAGGAACGAGGGAGATCTCAGCCCTTATTCACTCCCAGCCAGCTTGAGAAGCCCAACCTCCAACATCGAGATGCACTACAATATGCGGCCAAAAGGCTTAACAAATGCAACAAGTCAAAGAGTACATCAAGTGTAGTGTCGCACACTATGTTACTTGACAACATTTGCTGCCGAGCATTCCGCATTCCAATGCACACGGTGTTGAGAGTAGACTATGATACTACCTAATATGCCCCTTCTCCCATCAAGCTCTCTGCCCACGCTACGCCAACAAACTTTATGCTTAACCTACTTCCCATCAAGCTCTCTCCCCAACCAGCTTTCTACTTAACCTACCTCACGTCAAGCTTTCGGCCCACACTATCCCGACCAGCTTTCTGCTTGAAGAACCTGCCTCCCGTAGAGCTTTCCGTTGAGCTTTCTGCCTGGAAAAACTAGAATAAAGCAAAACAGCATGCCGTATGAGTTCGATATTGCTTTGACTTTGTTCTATCCCCAACAGAGTCAGCCATGAAGAAGATCTCTACATCTTCGATCTCAAGCACACATTCACCACCATGCTCGGCTCTCGAGTTAGATGACGGGTTTCTATTCCATAGGTATGGATAGGATAGAGTCTCTGGTCTGCCCATTCGTCGCCATCTTAATCGGCGATATGCCACAGCAACAGAAGATATCAGTATGTGCGGGTCATATAACGAGGAGGCCATACAAATCTTGCATAGTTACCAAAGACGAGCGGTCCAATATCAAATTCGACATCGTAAGAATGGGTCGATTCCATTTCCAACATCTACGCAACATCGAAACAACTCGTAAACTAAAGTACCACCATCGAAAATAAAAAACTAAAGTAGGAGAACTCGGACTCTCGCCAAAAGGAGACTTTCGCCTACTCGATTCCCTACGAAACCTATTCCCCGCTCTAAACGTCATTTACTCTCGACCTACGGATACTACTCACACTAAATACTAAAGTTATTCGAAATTTTTTCTACAGCTTATATTCGACGTAGACGATATAGGTTTCCTTTCTACAAAAGCATCGAATAAAACTGCTACGAAATACCGAAAGTTCCCATTTCCTCCTAACTACCTTAGTCACAAATCTCATTAGTACGCAAACACGTAAAGTCTATGAACATGTAACAAGCAGTCAGAGCCATTATCACCACCCCTATTTTCTTATATACGTAGTTACAAGATACAAAGTAAGCACATCAAAGATCGGTTGCGCCCCTTTATCACCAAGCGCGCGACAGCACATTATTTCGATATCAATAACATAAAGAGTTCACTAGAATACTCAGCAAAATCACCAACCGCATCACAAATTTTAATATACCAAAACGCATACTAGACTTTCGCACTATCTATCATCACATCCTACGGCTTTAATAACCAACAAAAGGATCCTAAGCTATTCAACCAAAGAATAATAAATGGGAGAAAGGCCGTCTAATTCATATTTCACGTCCGTACTACATATGCGAAACGAATGGAGAAAGCGGCAGCGGAAAAGGGCATACAGGTGGGCACGTCCAACAACACTCGACAACCTTAACGAACCCCGGCCTCGATAGCCAACCGCCAAATTAAGTTCGCTTCTACTACGATAAGCGGGAATAGAATCGCCAGGAACAGAACTGCCCCGGATCCAGCCCAAGATGCGGGCCGCCCACCATCTGAAGCCGGCAGCACTGCCAGCCGTTGGGGGATATCAACAACTCCGGTCCCGCACCCGCCATACACACCCAATCTACCTCCCAAGCCTCCATCCCAAGCTCCTCATCGAATCTCTACAACTCCGGTCCTGCACCCGCCATACACACCCAATTTACCTCTCCAGACACACCAAGCGCACCAAGCTGAACTCTCGACAACGTCAACTCCTGCTGCGCCCCGATCCTCGACCCTAACAAACAAACCAGCACTAGATTGTATGCCGGTTATATCACAGGGCAAAGAAGCCAAAGTGATGTTTCATCTTTTGAGGGCAAGAGTGGTCTTAACATCTACTTTATCGTATGTCTTTCTATCGAATAATATAGTCATTTTGGCCTGAGCCAAGGTGAGAATGAAGAAGACTTCCACTTCTTAAAAAAAATAAAAAATTAGATACAATATCTCTTATCATACCTAGAGGTACATATATGCATGTTATGCTTTGTCCGCGTTTCCTTTTCAATCCCATTACTTCCATCCGTCTTCTCATCTCTTTGTGCATATCTGACCTATCCAACATCCCCATCTTTAGGTTTTAGTTTAGGTAGGCCCAATTAGATGCCCTGCCCTCCCCTTAAGCAGCAGTAGGAGTCAAATAAACACAACTTCCATCACTCCTCACATCCTTCCCATCCATGCCCGTCGACAAATAAAGCCCATTTCCGCACGACAACATATTGCTCCTTCCATTCGCCGACAGCGTCAGCTGTCCCGTAGCCGCATTTACGCACCCCTTGACGCGCTTCATCGTGCCCGCCGCAACGCCAGCCTCGACATCGGCCTTGAGCTTAGGCCTCACCGACACGGACGCGCCCGTGTCGCTGACCAACACGTAGGCGGCGTACACGGACGTCTGGCCGACGACCGGCTGAGCCAGCTCGAGGTAGCCGTTCGCGTCGAGCGTCCAAGTGGAGGTCAGGGCGCCGGTTGATCCCGGGGCCGGAACGCCGGCGAAGCCTTGCCAGGCGATGAGGCTGCCGCCGTTTGCTATGTTCATCCAGCGCGTCGAGCCGTCGGGGAAGCCCGGATTCGAGGCGCGGAAAGATTGGCCACGGGGCTTGCAGATTAAGGGCACGACGGCGACGGGCGTGGAAGTGGCCTGGACGGTCTCGACGGCTGAGATGGTTTGGATGGCGGTGGCGGTGATCAGGTCCGTGGCGGGGATGGTCTCGGTTTCGGTCTCGGAGACGGTTTCGGTGACAGAGATGATGTCGGTGTAGGTGCTGAAAGCGGTGGCGACGACGGTGGTGAGGGCGTCGGAGACGGTCACGGTCACGGTTTCAACGGCGGCGCTGGCGGTGATGGTGGAGGCGGTCACGCCGACGCACTTGCAGGCTTTGGAGTACTGGGACCAGTCGGCGCAGTCGGCTGTGGCGTAGGTGGGAAGGGGGTTGGCCTCCTCAATCTGAGTCAGAGTGTCGCGAGCCTTCAACTTCAAGGGGGGGTTCTGGTAGGCCGTCGAGGTCGAGGTGACTTCGGGGAGGAGCGAGACCAGGGTCGCGGTGTAGGGCTCGGTGACGGTCTCGGTGATAATGTCCGTCACAGTGGCTGCGGTGACGGTGGTGATCTCGGTGAGGATCTGGGTTTCGGTTGAGGCGATCTCCGTCGTGGTCTCGGTGAAGAGGACGGTGTCCACGGCGCTCTGGACGAGCGTGACCGTTTCGGTGTAGATGCTTGCTGAAGGGGTCACGGTGACGATGAGGTTGGACTCGCAGTCCATTACTCCCTCGAAGTCCGCAAGGGCAACGGCTGTGATTGTTTATCGTCAGCTTATACATTCAACCTTGTAGATGATAATTTTACATACCCTTCAAGCACTTGTTGCTGCGACAGCAAGCAGCAGAAGCCACCTGCAACAGGGCAGCGCCCGAAAGGGCGACAATACCAAAGTTCTTCATGATTCGAACGAGTGACTAGGCTGGAGTAAACGAATGACTGAGGTGGATCCAACCTTGGGCTAGAGAAAGATTGAAAGGCTTGTTGAAGAGACGGGACTCGTTCCCTTTTTGTCGCCACTCATGTTGCCCAATCCATCAGATTCATCATTTAACTTTCAGCTTGTCTGCGGCGCCCTCTTTTGGTCCTAAAAATCGATAGTTCGACCCGTTCTAAATGGGCGCCAAGTCTTCCATTGCCCCCTTACATTCCAAGTAGATTCAATAGCGTCGCGCGCGATGGTTAGCCGCCAATGTTTGCTGGGAGCCGAAATGGGTTATTGCCGGCATCAGGGCAGTTCGAGCGCGACGGTCTAGACTTCTGGACTTTTTAGCCCCTGAACCCATGATCCCATCAACCCAAAAGCAAGATCTAGTCTAACGGCCCATCCAGGCTCACGGGTCCGGTCTAACGCCTTTCTGCATTTGTTAGCGAAGAGTCAATTAACAAAACGAGAAATGTGAAGATGCGCTCGCTCGCTCGCTCGCTGTCCAATTAACGTACAGACATCGCCTGATGACATCTAACTTTCTCTAATACACCGATGACGGACAACCGTTGTCGCTTGATCCCTACACACACAAAAAAAAAAGAACAAAACCCTGAACTCCCCTGCCTTTGGAAATGTAGTGTAGATAGATAGAAGGATGGCACTTATCAAGTGCCTCGGTAAACCATCCCATAGTACCACCCCGTAACCCAGCCAATCCATGGAAACTGAAAAGTCCAAAACCGGCAAACAAAAAGGGGATCATCTTGCAATTCGTACACATTAACCATAAGAGAAGCGACTGGTAATTACCTAGCTCCCAGTCTGCCTCCCCGCTAGCCCCGGCCGTCCACTGACACTGCCACTACTATTCCCCCTCACCACCGACGCCGACGGCGCCGGACTCGACTCCCGGCTCCCTGCCGAACCAACACTCTCAAACTTTTCCACCAAGTCCAACACCCTCGTTCTCGTCCTTCTGGGCATCGCACCCGGACCGGGAGACGGAGTTGGGCGCGGCGGTGGAGGTAGCATTGGCTGTGACTGCGACTGGGAATGAAGCAACTCAGAATCGAGTGACGACGACTCCTGTGCTTGTTGCTGCAGCTGCGGCTGCAGCTCCTCCAACTGCTCAACAGAAGACCGCACCTCCGACACCGAAGAAAGCGAGACCTTCTCCATCTTGATCGCCTCGGCGACGTGCAGCGTCGCGGTGCCGGCGTCGGATACACCGCTTGCTATGCTCCGGAGGGAGTGCACGCTGTAGGTTGAGCGGACGGAGGGGGCGTAGGATTTGGTGTAGGTGTGACCACGGCCGTGGGTTTTCTCGGGAGAGGGCGAAGGTGAAGGGGTGATTTGGGTGTGGGGTTCTCCTGATGGTGTTAAGCCGGATCCCTCAGACGAGGGTGTTGAGGGATTGAGACCGGTTGTGCTTGGTTGATTGCGGATGGTAGTGCGGGATTGGGCCGGAGAGGGACGTTGGAGGGATGAGGAGCCTGAAGAGGGCTGAAGTTGCCGTTGAGGTTGAGATGCTTCTGGCAGATGGAGGGAGAGTGATGGCGAGGTAGAACGCGAAAGGGAGAGAGTTAGTGGAGAGGGGAGGGTCAGATCCAGCAGAGGTAACGGGGAGGGAGTCCGTTTGCGTGATGGGCTCCCAGTTGGGTGAAGGTAGACTTGAGGATGGTCCTGACCGGTGACTTCTGATGCAGGTGTTAGCATCGGGTTGGTCTCTGAGTCTGACTCCGACTTGTGCTCATGCTCGGGCTGGTGTTGGCTACCACCGGAGATCTTCCTCGTGCTCTCACCGGCAATGATTTCGATAGCATCCGGTGTCTGTCCCCCGGCCCGTTCCTTCCCCTTCCCCTTGCCAACACTGCTGGGAGTACCGCTTCTACTGGTCCTGCTCCCCTCGTCATTGACATCACACAGAATGATAGACTCCTCCCGCTCAATCTCCGCATTAACCACCCTCAGGCGCTCCTTGGGCACAGTAAACATCACCTGGACCAACCGCTCCTCAACCGCCTTCTCCACGTCCCACTCATCTCCCTGACCTCCTTCTCCCGCGGCCTCGTTATTCTCTCCTCCAGCGGCTTGTCTAGACGACGATCCCTCTCCATTATTATCCCAGGCCTCACGGCCTTGCTTCCTCCTCACCAGTCCCAGGCCCAACGCGCCGGGATTGAGGCCGATCAGAGAGAGATGATGGTGATCGAAGCCACTAGCTTCGTTACCATGCAACAAGCTCTCCTTGGTCGGACTGCTATCGCCACCTGAGCTGCCAGACCCGCCCGACCCTCCGCTGACGCTGAGCATCCGCTTAAGGCTGCCCAGCCAGCTGCGCGGACGGGAGTCGAGACGGGAGTTCCGACGGGTTTTGGATGGTGAGCTGGGGATTGGTTCCCAATCCTCTTCGGACTCCTGATTTTCTCCACCTTCTTCCGCACCCGGGCGCTCATTGTTGCCTGACCCGGACAGAGGAAAAAGAAGATCAGGGCCCTCGGTCTGGAGGGAGTTGAAGTTTGGAGTAGGCGTGGGGAGGTTGGATCGAGCAGATGCGAAGGCTGTCGAACCGGAGTGCGAGCCACTAGAGGCGGAGGAGGCTGCGAGGGAATGGCTGCTGCCGCTGTTGCCAGACTTGCCGCTGCCAGAACTGCCTGGCTTGGGAATCTCTCCTGCTGCGGCCGCTACCCGGAGTTGGTGATGGGCCGCTTGTTGATGCTCCCCGCCCGAGATGAAACTGAATGCGCTCCGGTCGGAAAGGTTGCTTCCCGTGCGATGGTCGCTGTTTGCGCGGGAGTCGTCCGAGGTATCCACCATGATCTTGCTCAGTGGGTTAGAGGCCCTCCTAGACTTATTGGACTTGTTCGATGCTCGGCGCGGAGGTGATGTTACCACACGAGTTGCTGCACTAGTAGGTAATATAGGCTGGTGCGTGGCAGCCTCGAGCGAAGCAGCGGTGGCTGCACGGTGAGTGGTGGTCACGGATCCATGCCGGCTGATTTTAGCGGCCAGCACGGCGTCCGCCACATCCACATCAGTCTTCCAGCCCCGGACTTCTGGGTCCTGAGCTTGCCCTTGCTTTGGAGAGAAGGACAGAACCTCGGGTGGTGGTAAGCCAGGGCTCGACTTCTCGTCGTTCATGCTTCCTCCGCTTCCACTCCCACTACTAGTTGGCGGATATGACGTGCTAGCCACGGCTCCTGCCCGTAGTATGCTTCCGGCCGGGGTGATGAACGGATCATCGTCATACTCAGGACTGATCAGCCGCCCGGACGCTCCTAGATCCCCTCCATCTTTCTCGTTGTACTCGTCATCTTCGTCTGCCTCCTCGTAGATGGGGTGGATCCCATTAGGATTCGTAATCCCTCTCCCAGGCGGCGGTGAAAAGTCCATACCATTAGTAGGGATATAGAGCCCCCTCGCGTTGCGCAACCTGCCGACTCCGGAACCGGTGCTATTAGCAGCCGGCGGCCCGGATGGCTGGTAGTGACCTAGTTGACCAACAACTTGATACCCACCACTAAGAGACCGGGTGCCCTGCCCGTTCGAGTCGTTATTTGTGTTCCAAGGGAACTGGAAGCCGAACCCGCTGCTTCTTTGCTCGGCCATTTCGTTATCGTAATTGGTGTAACTGGATGGATTCTCGCCCCAGTCACTGATGCTGTGCCTGATACTACCACCAAAACCAGTACCGTAGACACTGGGGGCCATGCCCATGGACAAGCTGCGAAGGGTTTGATCGCGTTGAGCCCGGCGGCGTTGTCGTCGGCGCCACAGGAAGAAAAGCACTGCGAAGATAATGGCTACTAGAGGAACTCCAAGACCGAGTGCCAACCCAAGTGTAAGTCCGAGATTTTGGCTAACTTTGGTGGAATCAGATGGACCGTTTGTAGTAGGAGGGATATCGACGGTCGGATTGCCATTCGCATCCGGTCGCGGGTTAGTATAGGTTATCGACCAGGACTGAGACGTCATGTTGAAGAATCTCGGGGTACTCGTGGCAGTCGTCGACTGTCGTTTCTCAAGGTTGCTGCTATCAGCGATACCCAGAAAGGAGTTGAGCCACCTCTTGACCTTCGTCTCGGAAGATGCTGCCTTGGGTGGTTTGATTTCCCACCCTCCGTAGACCATCATCACATTCCCTGGAAGGACCACAGCACCATGACCGTAGAGCCCCTCTCCCTCACCAAATATTTGTGCGTGGTTTTCCTCCGGGATCTCCCAGCTCCAATCATCGTAACTTGCCCCGATCTTGATTACCACAAGCTGTGGCTCCGCCGGTTGGGACACATCCCCTACCCAACCTCCTAAGATGACCAAGCTGCCTCCATCCTCACTCAACACGGTCGTATGCCCTGACCTGCTATCCACAGTCGTTACTCCCCTCTTTTGCTTCAACTTGGGCCGCTTTTGGTGTACGTTCAAGACAACCAGATCCGCCTGCCCGCTGCCAGGTGACGACCCAGCTGGTTCTTCCGCAGGTGGATTAATCGACACGAAGCTCCACGTCTCTTCCGGCAGGCTCCAGATAGCCGCAGTGCTCATGTTAACAAACGCATGCTGCGTGTGTCCGCCCAGCAGCACATGGGAGGTCTGCTGCGTTACGATGCCTGATCGGTTCGTGATACTCGGTGTCAGAGCGGTGAAGGTGAAGCCGGCTTCCGGAATGGGAGGACCGCCCAATTGGGGGTTGGAGATTGTGAAATCGGCTCCGTCGGTGTTGGTGTTTCCCGGTTCCACAACGTCATCCTCATCACCGCCGGTCTGAGTTGAAGGTGTTGCTACAGAAGAGTCCGAGGAAAGAGAAGAGATCTTGAGCATGCGATTCGAGTAGTGCGCTGATGCCTGCCATGTCGAAGCCGTCGAGTTGGGAAATGGGCACATGCCGCCATAGATGTAGATGACGGGATCGGAGATGGTGGGGTAGATTTGTGATGAGAAGGAGAGCGAAGAGCCGAGGAGATAAGGGATTCCTAGTCCTGTCCCTATACTGCCCTTGAGGTTCTGTTGGGTACTGTGTTTCGTCCAGACGCCTTTGGCATCACCGTCTTTTTCGAAAGAGGGAGCGTAACTCCATACCGAGGGAGTAGAATCTTCATCTCCATACCCTGACGCGCCTCCAGCGGCACAATCGCCTGCCAGTACTGCCAAAGTACCATTCTCTAACAACGTTGGTGCAAATCCACTCGTTTTCGACTTGGTAACGAAGGGCAACCCGGAGGTGAGTGTTATCGGCTTGAAGGAATCAGCATCCAGCGTCGACGACGTGTTGATGGCGAGCAAGTCAACGCCGTTGTTGTCTGCATTAGGGGTGAAGATGTATGCGAGTCCATGATTGGCCGAGTTAGTGGAGAGAAGTGACTGAGATCCGGAAAGGAGGATGGTCGTTGGCGTGTAGGGAAGCGTGATGGCGGCCACGGGGGTTGCTGCTGCTGCTGCTGCTGCTGCCAGGGTAGCCAAGCAGAAGGTTGTGGTGAGTGAAGTCCGGTGTCGTCGATGTCCGGTATGTGATGTTGTTAATGTTTCGGACCTGCTTGGCGGTGACGGCGCTAGTCGAGACCCGGATCGGTGTCGGGACTGGGGCCGGGGCCGGGGCCGGGCCATGGTTTGGGTGCCCCGAAAGATGATGATTGGCGGGGAAGGAAGTGCCCGGACGCTGCAGTGTTCAACTGGAATGTGTCCCCCTCCCGTTTGCTCTTTCCTCGTCGTGGACGTCGCTCTCAAAACCGTTAGGGAAAGGACGCCTTGACCATTGTTTCCTCCGTCCTTTCTTTCCTTTCTTTCGTTGGTTGCGGTTTCACCTTCCGTGTTTCCAGACGATGGGGATCAATAATTGCGGTTTTGGTTCTCGACTGCTTCCTTCCTTCGTCAACTCGACCGATTATGACGGAATACTGTCTCTGGTCTCCAAGTATGAGAGTTGAATTGCTCCGCCGAATGGAAAAGTAGTCCCCACTTCTTTTCCCCTTCTCGAAGGCAGCGACCGAAAAGCTGGAATGCAGAGACGGGGAGTTGGGAGGGAGATAAGCGCAGACTAAAATCGGGCTCGCTGTAGGTACAGAATTTCCCCGCAGAGGGTAGCTAGCAGCTGCAGAATGCGGCAGCTTGCTTGCTTTCCCGCGTTGCTTGATGTGCTGGTAGTGATGATGGGACGAAAAGGAGTTTTGCAGTTGGTGTTTCGTAAGGCTGAATGTCCAGTCAAAGTGAAGTCAACAGTCGATGATACATTCACTGAACCGACGAACCAGTTAGAAATGAAGAGGACCCTTGCCTGCCTCGACCGATTGCACTGCAACGATGGCCAAAGATCCAGACCGCACAACGAGGCCCCAAAAGAACAAGCGGCGGCAATTGGAGTGGAATGTTACGGTGTGAAGAAAATAGAACTGATGGAACTGTCCACCAAAAGATCCGGTCAACAATTCCTCTCAGGCCCCTTGGCCGCCCTTCGTCGACGGACTTTCTCTCACCACCTGGGAGGAAGCCAGCCAGGTTCCAGTGGAGCTGGACCGTTGCAGTGAAAGAAGGGAGGCTGGTAGAGCCGGGCTGGTACGTAATCCAATGGGGGGTGTGGTTCTAGCTCCGCTGCAAGTGCGTGTGCGCGCCCAGAATTCAGAAATCATGATCCTGCTAAATCAACAATAGCCGATGTGACCTTCTCATTGGTCAGTTCCGCGACGGGAGGAGGGAGGGGCTGCGCAAGATGTCCAGTCCATTGATGCGCGCGCGGTGGGGTTGTTTTTCTACACGGGCGGTTGGGAGGGAGATAGTTGGCAGGGAAACAAACAGTGGGACAAGGTGAGCTTATCGTTGGGAATCACCAACCGGAGAATAAACAAAGAAAACAATTGGGGGTGGGTGGAAATACGGGACCAGAAGGGGTGTGTAAATGGTAGTGATTATGCAGAAGATAAAAAACTCATGTACCTTCTCGCCCTCTGGTGGCCAAACTGTATCTTGGCGCCAAGTCCTGCGTCCATCCTAAAGTCACTTTTTTTCAACGCTTTTATTACAACTTTACAAAAAGTTACTACATTGAAAAACTGATAGCACTAGTAAATTTAGCGCACCCAAAAGGGGGCTTTTTATTCAGGGTAGTTTTATATTAGGTTGTAGTGAAGTTAATATGGTAGTTGGAAAAAAGATTGGCAAAAATATCCAGGACTTAGGTTTTTTACCTAGGCGTGTGAAGGTACATATCGTTTTGTCTTCTGCATAAGCATTTCCGTATAAATAGTGGGAGTGGGGCCAAGAAAACGAACGTTCGTTGGATGATTGATGGTGTGCGTTGCGGTCAGCGACCAACGCCAGGGCAAGGCAAGATCGAGGTTAGAGAGGGCGGACACCTTGTCGATCTTCCGCTTTCATCCTCGTCACTCCCATGTTGACTAGACCAGCCGGATCGGGACTGTCAGTGTCAGTGTCAGTGTCAGTGTCAGTCAGGGTCAGGGTCGAACTGTCGAGAGCATCACATCGACTTGCGATGATCCAAGCTGTCAGCTGCCCGCGCAACACTAAGCCCGACTCTCCAGTGACACACGAGACAAAACCGACGGCCGTTCTTAAACCGAGTAAAATGAGGAAAAGTACGATTCATCTCTTTATGAGACAGGTCTTTCGCCCGTGGGGAGATGATGGCAGCGTACGAGACCACAACTGTGGTTCTGACAAGTGTTACACCTCCCAGATGATGACCTGGGACAAGGAAGTGGAAGAAACACAAAATGATTTCAGCTCGTCTTACGTCTAAACAAAACAGAAACAGTTCCCATCAGCCAGAAAGATACAATCACCGTGTTCAAGGTAAATCCGTTGTTACATGCTTAATCGATAATACAGACGTACACTTTACCCTTTGACCGAGCCAAACACCAGACAGGAAAACAAATACCGAAAAAGTCAACAAAAAATAACAACCTCCGGCACCATTACAATAGTCAACGAAAGCCATCTACGCATCCCAGTCCAAATCCATCTCATCCTCCCCATCCGACACATCATCCACACCCATCATCAAGCTATCCCTCTGCTTCGTCAACTTCGACACCTTACTCTTCATCTCCCTCTTCCTCTCCTTCAACTCCCTCGCCAACCTCTCCGCCTTCTCCGCCCTTTTCCTCAACGTCTCCGCCTCCTTCTTAGCCTCCACCTCACTTTTACCCACCCCATTCAGCAACGCATCCCTCGTGTGCGACAACCTCTCCACCTCCGCCTTCAGCGTGCGGATCTGTTCTTTCTGGGATCCCATCTCGGAGTGCAGGTCCAAATTCTCCTGCTGGATCTTGCCCGCCTCGCGCAGCTTGCGGTTGTACTTCATCTCCAGTTCGGACGCGCGCGGCGGGTAGCGCGGCTGCACGGTGGCCATGATGGTCGGCTGGGTTTCCAGCAGGCGCGTGTGCTCGACGCCCGGGTGGACGGCGTGGGCGGGCACGACGAAGAGCACGCCCTTGCCTGAGTTGGCGAGCCGGTAGTACCGCGTTGTGACGTCCACTTGCACGATGCCCCGGCTGAAGTAGGCGCCGATGAGGTCTCCGTCGACCTTTTCCATCTGGTCGAAGAGGCTGTTGTCAGTGCCGTCGTCAGCGCTGGCACCAGTCTGTGGGTTCTTGTGCCACATTTCTTCTCCGACCGCGCCGTTTTTGCGCCAGACTCTCTCCTTGGCCTGCAGAACCGCCTCGCGCTTGTCGAGGAGACTGTGGATGTACTCATAGACGTCCTCGCCTGAGTTGACGAGGATGTACTGATCCTGTGGGTAGGCCACCACCCGGCCTGTCCGGCCGTCGGGGCCCAGCTTGCTGAGCACCTGGTGCGGAATGGCTGCTTCGCCGGCCAGCGCGTCGAGCGCGTTGCCGTAGCTGCGCTCGAGCTCGTGCATGCGCGCGACGAGGTGCTGCGTGAAGAGAAGCCATTGGCCGAGCAAGGTGGTGCGCGCGTGCTGGAGTTCTTCGGTGTCGTGGTCCGCGTCAGTAGGGAGGACGCTCAGTAGGCCGCCGGTGGCGGTGTACTCGTGGTCGAGGCGCTCCAGGCAGGAGTTGGTGTGGATAAGCAGGTTTTGGAGATTGGAGTAGGGGCGAAGTTCCCTTGGCTGGTCTTCCTGGCCGGTGGTGGTGTTGGAAGTTACCGGGGGCGAATGGTGCTGGATCTGGGTCAGGGGGCAGTGGTAATCGGTGCCGTAAACCTCATTGCGCCCACGGACTTCGTTGATCAGCGAGACAAGGGGCTTGTGGTGGTAAACATTGTCGGTGTGGTAAGGCGTGCGAAGGTCGTTGAGGAAATCGAAAGCTGAGTTGAGTTCGAACTTCATGGCTAAACCGTCGTCGGCCGATGAGGCACTGTTCTTGCCCTTACCCATGGAACCTCCCTGGGTCAAGTCGTTGCTGGCGGAAGTAGCGCCATCAACTTGAACCTCGGCGACCTTGACATCTGGCTGCAGCATTTGGATGAGGGCACAGAGAGATTGGGCATGTTGCTTCAATGCAAGGAGCGTGGGCGGAATACCATGCGTGGAGAGATAACCACAGTTGATATGGCGGAGTAGCTCGCTCTTGACGTCCTCATTGTTGATTCGTGACCACTGCGACATGTAGGGAAGCGCATAGTCCGTTGCTTTGACGTAGCCCTTTAGTCCTCGGTTTTCATCTTCTTCATGGTCCACCAAATGAGCGGCCACGATCTTTCGGCCTGGTAGTGTCATGGTTTTGGAAGGTTGGTGATGTTAATTCTGGTGGCGATGAGAATTGGCTCTCCTTGCTCGGCAGTCTAAATGGTGATAAAGTTGAAGTTGAACAACATGTTTCTTCTGAAAAGGCGATCACCTCTCACCATAAGTTGTGCCTTTTCTCCCAATGCTATTGGGATGGTTCATTGTCTCCCCGGCCATTGCAGCCCAACAAAGAGCCGCTGTTCTTTGCGACGTGAACGAGGCATTGTCAGACAGAGCTATCCGATGCCAAATGCAGCTGTAACAAAGAAGTAGAAATGGAGCTGCATAGAATAAAGACGACGGAAACAGCAGAGAAGCTTGCCATCATATGCTTTGTTAGTGTTCAAAAGGAGCCGGATCTGTGAGTAATATAAGGGATACACTCGAACCCCGTGAGGCGCCCAGGCCCGTTACCAAATAACCACATCATTATCCCGGACAACTTCCACGATGTGATTCCAAAGACTCTCTGGTTGTGGTTTCCTCGGTATCTCAGCGACCCGTTTTTCCATATTGTAGTGCGTTAAGTCACTCGGGAAGTTGAGACACTTGTGCCAACTTCACTCTGCCGTTGTTTAACTGCAATTCCAAACGCCGTTTGACATTTGTTGAGACATCTTTTCATAGTCATCCATCTCGGTGTAACCCATAATCGAATCTTGAGAGATGCTGGTCCTCAAGTGTTATCGACCGCGAGCTTTGGGGGACTGCAACCCAGTCATGAGGCCTCCTCAACACTGACAGAACTGTTCAGCAGTCTGACCAGTCTGGCTCGAATCTCGATCCCTGAGCACCAAGGCGATGTGAGACATTCCATAATAGTGGCATAGCCGCAGGCTGCTGTCGTGAAGCACTCGTCGTCGAAGGTCTTTTCGAAACCGCCCGTGTGGCTTCAGGACCTTGGGTGTGTTGATGGCGATGATGGCTTCAAGTCACCCATGCGTGTGATGCATGAAGGGCCCAGACATCCGCGACATGTCATTACCTCGACCTCTGATAGCTGAAGATCCATGAACTGCTGAACGGGTGCATTTGAACCATGAGCAGTATGTGTCTTCTGTCTGCAACCAACAACGAACCGAGTGCCGCGGATATGTCGCCGGCCTTGTTCGCAAAAAAGGAATCGTTTCCATTTGTGAAGTGTTGCGATGAGAGCTCCCGGGCCATCTGGTCCGAAAGCGGGGCCCACAACCACGAGGTAATCTCTGCCAGTCAGGGTCTGTGGATCCAAAAACTGTGGAGCTTGGATTTGCGCACCCTTCTGGCCTGACCGGTTCACTTTGTCGCAATTTGTCGCAGGCCACGTCATGGACAGGAAAAGGAGTGGAAGTTCGGAAAGGAAAACACAAGATGGCAAATCTGTCGCATCCAAAATAAAAAGTCGAATGTCCCTTCAGCTACCATGCGCAAGCTGTTCTCGCGGTCCATCGTAGTCTGGAATTCTATCGCGATGCGGACAAATCACGAGACCGGAAAAGATTCAATATCCAATTTCCTACCGTTTCATCCAGTGGCTTTCGACGCGGTCGTGCCTGCTCCCAATGGACCATCACAGCTGAAAGCTGCAGTAGCGCGGGGTGCGAAAGCGGAGCTCTCCACCCACAATTGAGTGACATGTCGTGGCCAATCACGAGTCGGCATCTCACAATTCACATTGACCATCCCCCCTTTGGATTTTCATCAGATGCAGATGGTAGATAATGACGGTGACCGATGGCAACGGCAGCGGCGGGTGATACTTCATTTTCTAGGGTATCGGTGAGTGGGTTGTGGCCTTGTCCCGGATGATTGCCCTTCAGATTGACAAGATTGACAGAGCCGAGCCCAGACGGTCGGTTATGAAACAAATGGTCGTCGACATGGTCACTGGCGCACCCTGTTTCGGAAATACTGGTTGCACATCGCTCTTTCACGATGGTTCCAACGTAATTGGCTAGCGGTGACAAGAGGTTGATGAGGCTCGAGTGAGGGAAGCGCTCACGGCTTTCGGCACCCCGGTAATGAGAGCCAATCTTGGAATGATAGAAAGCGCCGCCCGTTTCCATGTCGGTCGAGCGCTATCATTTCTGCTCTCATCCGTCAGTGTCGTTGGGTTATTCGCCTTCGTCCGAAAGTATTCGGTAGTTGGATGCAGGTATCCTACGCGGTTGAGTTGTTTGCTGCTTTTTACTCCGTCAGAGGCTGAAAAGACGGGCGCAGGCTCAGGCTGGCATGGGTCAGTGGGAGTGCGATGGCAGTGAATTTGCATGGCTGGCAAGTGGCAGGATCTCGAGGTCGGGTTCACGATTGCGGTGATCTAGACCGTGTCTGCCATCCCTGCTCAATAGCTCCAAGTACCGGGGTTGCTGTTGGCCAATGATGAGCGTTCCTTGCGCCATACGCCCCACATGCACCGAGCTTGATCAAATCGTCGGGAAGGAATGAAAGCAACACTATGTGCAGATTTCCAGGCGTGTTGCGTCATTGGAGATGTCACCCTCTCCTTCCTCTTGGGATTTTCTTTGCGATTGAAACTTAATCATGGCAGGAGCTCGATGCTATGACAGAAGGCGCACACAAAAGAAGAAACGGGAAAATATGGAGGAAGCTTGAAGATCAAAGCTTGGCCTCATCATTGGGCGTCCGACATGATATCAAATGCCAATTCCTTTAACATGAACCACTGCTTGGTGATTCTGACCCTCGATTGGCATCGATATTGCTTCCCGTTTTATTTTACCGTGTGTTGATTGATAGGGTCCAACGGAAGCTCCTTTGCTCCCTTGGATCATTATTTGCGCTTGCGTGTGCAAAAGTTGCGCGCCCGTCACCCAATTCTTCCTCAATCAACAAGTCACAAACCTAAAGTGAAGCCAAGCACGGCAGTCCCCGTTTCAGCAATAGCGTGAGTCCATTCCGCAGTCCACTATCTACCCTAGCGATTTCCACCTGGTCATGGAGAGCCGGGGTCGTTGCACTTATCCACATGGCCTCCCCCCTCCCCTCTCCCGTTTCTTCTTCCCTTTTTTTTTCATTCTCTGTTGTGAACCCTCAAAAGGGGAAACTCGAAAGCTGATCTCTGGAATCTGGAATCTGGGTAGTACCACTACCAGAGGCAACCAGAGAGATACACGGGTGCAACCTTCTTGACCACCCAGAAGCTGCCCTGTCCTGGTTCCTTGCTTCTTCTGCCGTGGCCTGCAACCTAACGACGTAAATGCCCAGCCCTCCCTTCTCCTCCTCCCTGGTCCCATCACTATCCCGTCACTCCCACTTTTTTGGTCTATTAGTCTTTTCTTTCCCCTACCCTCGTCTTCACTTCTTCAAACAACTCCTGAGCTGCAGTGGCCTAACCCTACCTAGTCCCAGCTCCCTCTGCTGGTGAGCTTCACGTCAACAACAACTAACTACACCGAACTCAAAACACTGGAACATCAACCACCAGATCGAGACAACAAAATACCTACATTTAATATCTAAAGCGGGTTATCCTGCGAAACCGCCAAAATGAGCGACATACCTAATGACACCGCCAAAACGGAAGAGGCCCAGACACCGGTATCGCTGTCGGGTAGGTCTTAAAAAAAAAACGCCGTCTAAAGGGCAACGAAACTAACTATGAACCAATGTAGGCATGGTCTCGACCTTGGTCCCGGTCCTCATCACATCCGCAATCTACATAGCGGTCTTCTTGGTTTTGCGCAAGAGCAACCGAAGATACTATGCTCCCAGAACCTACCTAGGCAGTTTGCGAGAGAACGAACGATCACCAAGCTTGTCAAGTGGCCTATTCAGCTGGTTCAAGGATTTCTGGAAGATACCCGATGTTTACGCCCTTCAGCACCAGTCGCTCGACGCGTACCTTTACCTCCGCTACTTGCGCATGGCATTTACCATCTGCTTCGTCGGTTGTTGCATCACCTGGCCCGTCCTTTTCCCCGTCAATGCTACCGGCGGTAATAAATTGCAACAGCTGGATATTTTGACTTACGGCAACATCCACCGCGACACTCAATACAGCCGCTATTATGCCCACGTCTTTATTGGCTGGATCTTTTTCGGTTTCGTCATGTACCTCATCATGCGAGAGTGCATCTTCTATATCAACCTTCGCCAGGCCTTTCTGCTCAGCCCTCTATACTCTCAGCGCATCTCATCCCGTACTGTACTCTTTACTGCGGTCCCAGAACCCTATCTCGACGAGCAAAAGCTGCGCAAGATCTTTGGTACCTCTGTCAAAAATGTGTGGATCACAAGCGAAACCAAGGAGGTCGACGAACTGGTCAAGGAGCGCGACAAGGTTGCCTTGCGCCTCGAAAAGGCTGAGGTCAAGCTGATCAAGCTTGCCAACAAGATCCGTCGCAAGGCCATGAACAAAGGTGCTGTCGACGACATTGACAAGCAAGCCCCCCTGGATGCCGAGTCTGGCAGCATTGCGGCCCGCTGGGTTCCTAGGAAGAAGCGCCCAACTCATCGTCTTGGACCCTTGGGCCTGATCGGCAAGAAGGTCGACACGATCGACTGGTGCCGTGAGGAGCTTATGCGTCTCATTCCTGAGGCTGAGGCAGCTCAGGACAAGTACCGTGAGGGAGCTTTCAAGAAGGTCCCTGGCGTTTTTATCGAGTTCAAGACCCAGGCCGATGCTGAAGGAGCTGCCCAGATCCTGGCCCACCACCAGGGACTCCATATGACTCCCAAGTACATCGGTATCCGCCCCAGCGAGATTGTCTGGTCTTCACTTGCCATTCCCTGGTGGCAGCGTGTCATTCGTCGCTACGCCGTCTACGCCTTCATTACCGCTATGATTGTCTTTTGGGCTATTCCGGTTGGTGTTGTTGGTATTATCAGCAACGTCAACTTCCTCGAGACTATCTCATTCCTGACATGGCTCAAAAAAATTCCCAGCGTCATCATGGGCGTTGTCACCGGCTTGCTGCCCTCCGTCGCTCTTTCCATCCTCATGTCTTTGGTTCCGGTCGTCATCCGTATCTGTGCCAAGCTCGCCGGCGAGCCCTCGCTCTCCCGAGTCGAGCTGTTCACTCAGAACGCTTACTTCGCTTTCCAGGTGATCCAGGTGTTTTTGGTCGCTACTGTCGCCTCATCTGCCACTGCCGTCGCGAAGAAGATTGCTGACAATCCGGGTTCAGTGACGAGTCTCCTTGCCGAGAACTTGCCAAAGTCCTCCAACTTCTACATCTCCTATTTCATTGTACAGGGCTTGAGCATTGCGACTTCGGTCTTGACTCAGGTAGTCGGATTCTTCGTCTTCAACCTTCTGTACAAGTTCCTCGCCTCTACCCCTCGCGCTATGTACGCCAAGTGGGCGAACCTGAGTGCCATTTCTTGGGGTAGCACCTTGCCAGTCTATACCAACATTGTGGTCATCGGTGAGTTTTCCCTGCCCCTCCTACCATACATGCATTCCACTAACTTATTCATAGCCATTGCGTACGCGACTATTGCTCCTCTTATGCTGGGCTGGGCTGCACTTGCTATGGGCTTGTTTTATCTCGCCTGGCGCTACAATGTCCTGTTTGTCACTGACACTCAGATCGACACCCGTGGCCTCATTTACCCTCGTGCCATCAAGCAACTCTACACTGGCATCTACTTGGCTGAAATCTGCATGATTGGCCTTTTCGGTGCCTCTGTCGCCCCCGGTCCGCTTGTCCTCATGGTCATCTTCCTCATCTTTACTATCCTCTTCCACATCAGCATGAACTCCGCCCTCAACCCGTTGATGTATAACCTTCCCCTCGATCTTCTTGCGGAGGAGGAGGGCCCTCTGCTTGACACTCCCACCGACTTGCATGCCGCAGAGAATGAACACGGCGGCGGTCCGACCAATGGCAATAGCCCGACAACCTACACCGAGAAGGTTCCGACAAACGGTACCAACGGTGCTCAGAGCCGCGCGGAAGATCCAATCCTTGGTGCGAAAGAAGCTTCTGATGCCTCGAAGCATCAGCCCAACCACATGACGGGCAAGAAACCCAACTTCTTGATCAAATTCCTCAAGCCTTGGATCTACTCCGACTACAACGCCCTGCGCGCTTTCCTGCCCAAGGGTGTCCAGCTCGATCCGTACGCCGCAGAGGTCGAAAGAGATGCGTACTGCCCGCCTAGTGTCACTTCCGATGTACCGCTTCTTTGGATCCCCAACGATGCCAACGGTGCCGGCGTGTCTCGCCAGGAGGTGGAGCACACGAGCCGGGCCATCCCCATCACAGATGAGGGCTGCGAGTTGGATGAGAAGGGACACTTGGTTTGGGACCAGGAGGGGACTAGGCCTCCTATTTGGGAAGAGAAGATCTACTACTAAACGGAGATCCATCTTGACTAACGTCTTTTGTATTGTTTCTTGTTTGAGTCTTGTATCCAGGCTCTCTTCACATTGGGATGTGTGTGTGGAGGCACTGGCAACCTAATACCCTGACGTTGCCTATGGTTCGGATTGGAATCTTGGTCTTTTGAACTCTTTATACCCGGCATTCTGGCCTCCTTACCTAACGAGAAGCATTTGTTTTTTCAACCAACCGTCTGTCCTATCCTTTGTCTTAATCACTACCTCTGAGATTCTGTTTGTTGCGCTTGGAGTAAAACGATGGGCGGTGTCTGTCGCTGAGAAGGGATGATGTTTGAAGTTGTGTAATGACATGTCATGACCCGGGGGTAGATACACCTACTTGGTATAGGCGGAAAATAAGAGGAGACGTTATAGGATAGCACTAATCAGAAAAGGAGTGGTTAACAACTTGTCGTTTCCATTTTCTCAAGTGTTACAATGTAAATTGATACCCCGCTGCAAAGTGGTATATAACATAAAATGCAATTGCTCATGAATGATTCCTCCTCCACCTAAGCCAAGGCCCCTCCTTAAGGGCCTATCGATGGCCATTCTGACTTCCATACGGATATGGTGCATGTCTAACCAGTCCAACACTATCATCCTCCTCTCGTGGCGCTGGCAGAGGATCATAGTACCCGCTGCTCTGGTTTCTGTATACGGTTGGTCGCATACCATGATCTCCTCCATGATAAGTCGTAATACCACCACCACCGCCAGTGTTACGGCCCTCGTAATAATGATGCTCATCAACGGAAGCAGCAGAGCCGCTTCTCCCTCGTCGTTCGTACTCAGCCCTCGGCATCCCTCCCCCCGCCAAATCCAAGCTATCAAAGCTTTCACTCCTCCCTGCCGCATACGCGCCTCTGTAGCTCGTATCGAGTGCACGCCCATGCCCATCATGTCCATACACCACCCCATGCGCATAATGGTGCTGATGCGCCTGCGCCGGCGCTTCTAAGTCTCCTCCTCCCATCACTCCCGTCGCCTGTTGATGTTGATGCTCAACCACCTCCATCGTCGGCGAGTCGCTGCTGCTCTTTTGTCTCCCTCTGGTGCTGGCGCCCCGCAGCGGAATGCTGTTACCCAGCGGGTGAGTATCCTTGTCGAGATGCAAGTAACTCACATCCCTCTCCCTCTTCTTCACGCCCACAAACAACCACCTGATCCCTCTTCCAAAGCCCTTGACCACGTCCCAGAGGTTGATGGCGTCCCAGAGGGCTAGGATGCCCATCGGTCCACCTTGTTTTTTGGCGTGGCCGTGGAAATCCATGCCGCGGTTGCTGTTGCGGGGGGTGTACGGTTTGTAGGGGAAAGCCCAGAGATGCAGGAAGGCGAAGCAGGCCATTTCGAAGCATAGCAGTAAAGAGGGGATGCCGACTTTGATGTCGGGGTAGGCGAGAACGGAATTGGGTTCTACGATGTGGATGGTTTCGGAGGTGGCCACTGAGATGGCGATGGATTGCCAGAAGGAGAGGAAGATGACGAGTTTGATGGCGAGGACTTTGAGGAAGGGTTGGTGCGGGGAGAGTTGGGGCGTGGCGTTCAGTTGGATGTAGAATTGGATGAGGGCGTACATGGCGATGGTGACGGCGAGGGATTGGATTGCTACTATCTGTTTTTGGGTGGGCGGGGGGTTAGTATGGGGGGTTGATGGGGGGAAGGGGAAGGTCAAGGAGGGGAGAATAAGGGGTGAGATAAACAATGGGAGTGGAAGAATATGAAGAAGGGGAGAGGGAGGGACACATACCCAAATATGCCCAAACATGGGCGAATTACTACTCTCGCAATACCGTCCATGATACTGCGACACCACCGCCGCGACTGTCATAGCCACTCTCACAAAGCAGTAATGATAAACCCCAATCCAGATGATGTTAAACCACGTCAGCCCGCTCCTCGGCGTCCTCCAGGGACCCTTCCTGTGCCCGCCACAGCACTTGGCCATCCAGTTCACCGGCCACACCCAATCCTTGATGGGCTGCATCTCGCGAAAGTACTCCTTTTGCAAATGCAAGTCGGGCGCGATGTAGTGGCACATCAGACTAAAAAAGGAGCTGATGGCAAAGGCCTCGTAGCAGTCGCTCAAAACTTGGAAGTAGATGGCATGGTAGTAGAAGCGCAGGCTCAGGAAGGAGGAGCAGGTGTAGACGGGCACCATGAACAGGATGCGGATGATCTGCTTTTGCTGTTCAGGCACGGTATAGTTGGTCGCGTGCCGCATGATCAGGTAGAAGCTCGTAAGTATGGCTACCAGCGTCGAGGCGGCGGCGATTATGAGGGCGAGGGAGTGGAAGGTCAGGGGCCCGGCTATGGGACGTTCATCGCCGGGGTGGACTGTGACGTAGATAGGTCAGTGACTTAGTCTGAGAAAAGACTCGGGACAGAACCTACTTCGCATATCATCCAACGTGGTGTTGCAGAATGGGGTACCCATGATGGGCGATAGAATACTCTTGGTTTCTGTTGATCGGAAAGTGGTGGTTTGCGATTTCGTAAGGCCGCAAGATGGTTGGATACGTAGACCAGAGGAAGGCGAATCGCAATCGTTGTGAATATACTTCCAGAAAGTTCCGTTAAGCCTTCTTCAACAGATTCGTCCCATCAAACGTCTCGTATAATCGGATGTTTCCAGCTTATTATGCGCGCCAGAGTTGCCGTGCGCAATGCGATGTCCGTAATGACCAGCACCTATAAATCGGTACGATAGGATGCAGAAGTATGCGAGTAACAATCCTCCCCTAACAAATTCCAACTCGTCCCGTCGGATTCGTCCTTTGAAAAATCCGTCATTCAACAGCGCATTCCGCGCTGTCAGACTTAAAGTTGACACTTGCGTAGAAGCGTTGAGGTGACGCACTACACCGCTGAATGGCGCAGCCGAAATTGAGCGTTCGGAAGGGAGGGGCCGGAGGAGGTTGTTTGGCACGCGCACCACGGACGCTGCGGGCGTCTTCGTTGGTATCCAATCTAGAATCGCGCGGCGCTGAAAAGCTGGAATCTCAAATTCTGTCGTCGTTTCGTTTCTTCCACCAAAAAAAGTTGAAGAGGAAAAGCAGTCGGGCAAGAAAACAAGTCAAGAACGGCACATTTCGTTTCGTTCTTTCCGCTGCTTCTAGTTCGTGTTCGCTTGGTGAAATTTGGTTTGTTTCGCGGGGCGCTCTCGGAAGCCGGAAAGAGGCCGAGCTGAGCACGCAACAATCGATAAGGGAACTTAAGTGGAAGAAACCTGAAGCAAGAAAGAAAAGAAGAAACAAAACGACGAAAAGATCGATGATGGTGAATGAGCGAGAAAGTGAAAGAATCAAGTGAAGTGGGAGTGGAAAGTGTTTTGAACATCTGAACCCTGCGCTCCACAAACACCGCCCTATCTAGCGCCGTCATAGCCGTGGAACGCGAATCCCATTCTCTAGCGTTGTTACTGTACTGCCATGGTGCCCTCAGCCCAACACCACTACGTACCTAAAAATGAAATGGACTGCGCCTCATCCCTCCAAACAACCCGACGGAAATGTTCGGGAAGCTTTCCATCCTCAGTGAGGTTGGGATAATCAAGAAGCGCGCTTATCACTTCCATGCTCGGATGGCGTAGTGCGAACATCCTCATTCGCTTTCTTTTCTCACACCCAAACCTCAGATGAAACCCGTGTCAAGTCAAAATGTCCATCCATCCTTTCCGGTTCCCGTCCTCTGGCTGCATCATGCAACCCCACCCGCTGCCTCGGATGAGGCGGGGATGCCCTCTGGCGGCAGAAGCCAGAAAGAAGCTTGGTTGATCATGAACTGGAAATGGGTGTGAACTGAAAGACTGACACACCCCTAAAACCCTATGCAAGGGTCCATCTTGGCCCCTGAAATTCCCCTTGCTGATCCCTGTCCCCGTCCCTGAATTGCATCGCCAAGAAAACGCCTCAACTGCAAAAGGGTCGGGTTGCCTGGTTGAGAGAACCTTGAGGCTCTCTCGGCGCGAACTACACATGACGAAGCGCGTGAGAGGAAAACAAATTTGACGGATTACGGATGAACCATTTTCGTTTATGAACTCTACTGACTAGTAATCTTCGCTTCACTCCTCTATATCAAGTAAACCTCTCCCTACGCTGCTCAGTTGGAGCTTCGCTGTTATGCTTCACATCCTCATGGACCTTCACCCAACCCAAGCACCTGCAGCGGCAGCCGCTGCAGACACAATGCGTACCGTGTTGCTGAGTTGCAGACCAACGTCACCCTGGCCAGACCGAATGTCATTTAATGGTACCCGGGTCACAGGTATAGGATTTTGATCCCTGCGTCTGTGAAATAGCCTGGTGAGCCGGTGCGGGCGTTGCTCACCACCTCCACCACCCTCACCATCTTCACGACCCTGACCATCTTCGTCATTCCCGTCACCCCTACTATTCTGGCCTTCACGGTCTCTATTGGATCGAGGAGTCCGTCCAAATAGCTTTAGAAGTCTACTACCTCTGTTCGAAGCCTCCGGTGGTGGTGGTGGCGGTGGCGCCCCAGCTGAAGTTCTTGATGACTGGGCGGTCATTGAATTACCAGAGGATTCACCATCCTCACCACCCTCACCATCCTCACCACCCTCACCATCCTTACCATCCTCACCATCCTTACCATCCTCACCATCCTCACCATCCTCACCATCCTCACCACCCTCACCATCCTTACCACCCTCACCATCCTCCCCACCCTTACCATCCTCACCACCCTCACCATCCTGACCATCTTCGCCACCCCCATCACCCCTACTATTCTGGCCTTCCAGGTATCTGTTGTAATACTGTCGCTGAAAATAGTCCCGAGAATTCTCTTCGATTTGGTCTCGCCTTATAGCTGCGGCTCTGATATTGGCCTCCTGTGGTAACAGTGACGTCCGAGCTGCAGATCTTGATGACTGAGCGGTCATTGAATCACCAGAGGATGCTTGGCCTTGAAGCGATTGACCCTGTGTCGGCCTCGCCAGTTCGTCTCTCGACAATTCTGGCGGCGGAAAGACATGGCCTGGCGGCGGAAAGAAATGGCGTGGTGAGTTTAGCGGCGTCGGCCTTGTCAGATAGATCCTTGGTAACCTGGGTGACAAACCGTAGACTTGTGTTTCTGTTTGCTGAGCACCTTGTTCAGAGGCGGCATGTGGTGTAGAGGCAGCGCGCTCAACTCCACCAGAAATGGATTGAGATAAAGCAGCCTGAGATGATGAACCGGCTTCGGAGAAACCAGTCTGAAATAAACCAGCCTGAGATGAGCCAGCCTGAGATGTACCGGCTTCAGAGAAGCCAGTCTGAAATAAACCAGCCTGAGATGAGCCAGCCTGAGACTCCCCAACCTCCTGATCTGTTATCCGGACGTACCAGTCTGGGCGGTCTGGGAACAGTTTCTTGACAGCCCGCACCATACTGTGTCGCTTTGATTCACGCCTAGGTGATTCACGCCTAAGAAGAAGCGAAAAACCGGGAAGAGGCGGAGGAGCGTGAGGGTGCGGAGGATCGGGCAGGACCAGTTCTTCTCTGTTGCGCAACTTGTCGAACGGCTTGCGGATGAATTTCATGATTTTGCGTTTCATTGAGCGTTTCTTGGCTCCCTCAGGCGGCGGCTGGTCGTTGTCCCCCGAACCTCGTGCCTCGCTCAACACAGATTCCAACTCATCCTCAAGCTCGTTGTCCTCCGAACCTCGTGCCTCTCTCAACATAGGTTCCAACTCATTCTCAGGCTCGTTGTCCTCCGAACTTCGCGCCTCTCTCAACAGAGGTTCCAACTCATCCTCAGGCTCGTTGTCCTCCGAACTTCGTGGCTCTCTCAACCGAGATCTCGACCCCTCCTCCCGCTGAGATCTGTTTCGAAACATGACTGCTGATAGACCGCCCCTGAGTTCGCAAACAGGAGTGGAGTGCCCATCCATGGTCACCATCCGATGATGCCTTTCTAACATCTTCTGAGCCGAGAGCCTCTTCTAGTAGCTGTAGCCACCTTTCTTACCGTGTCCACCATCTTCATCACCTTCCATCACCCCATCTAGGCTGCCGCCACCTTGGTCCCCTCCACCTGAGAACCATCCGCCAAAGACGAGCTTGACCAACAGTCTGTCCACCCCGCCCACTCGTCTAGGCACATATTCTCCCGCCTCTTTGATCTTTCCCTTACCATCTTCTTGTTCTGCCCTCCAACCCCTCTTCCTCTTCCGTCCAGCTTGGACTGTATCAGGTGCGTCGTCGACAAGGAGATAATCATCGGCGCCGTCATCCTCCTCTTCCTCTCCCTCATCGAGGCCGCTCGCACGGTCAGAGGCATCTGATGACGAGAAGGGCGAGGTCTCGATCCTCTTGAGCTCCTGTACAACTTCCATGATGCCGTTCTTAACTTTGCTGGCAATGGTTTGGAGTTGTGCAGTGAGATCACGTTCCTCCTTTTTCAGATCGACAAAGGCATCGACGACACCCACATCTTCCTCAAGATCGGCGGCTGCCCAGACTTGTTGCAAGCGATGCATTAGCGCGACCAGGTGGTCAATGTTGACGAGTAGTTCGTATAGAGGTTGGGTAAAGGATTCGAGGGTAAGCAGAAGGCGTCTAAGTAAGGCGCGGAGGTAAACCCGGTGGGCGGTAGCAAGGGTCTGGGGGTCACGGGGTTGGCGGTTAGGGTCATCAGAATTGGTAGGTGCAGGAGGAGGGTTGGCAGCGGTGTTGAGCCAAACATCGGACTCTTCCAAATCCCTCTCGGCGTGAAACTCATCTTCAACCATGTCAACGTCGTCGTCGTCATCACCGTCGTCGTCATAGCCACCCATGGAGACATCGTCATCCCATGTCCTCTTTGAGCCGAAGCTGCGTTTGGATAGCCTCGACTCTCTTCCTCTCCCCCTGGTCAGACTCCTGCCAGTAGAGGCTCGGCTTCTTAGTCCAGTAGAAGCGCTGCTTCTCCTCCCATCAACCCCATCCTTCTTCTTCTCATTCGAAGTCCTGTTGCCGCTGCCGCCGTGCAGCCAGTCCTCGAAGCCGTCGGTCAGGCCTTCCACCACTTCGCCCTGAAAATATGCTTCCGTCTCGCCTAGGAAGAAAATGGCTGCGCTGGCGGTAGCCCATGCGGTACGTAGTGTCTTCTCGCGCTTCTCAACTCGTTCTCTGAGCGCCTTGACACGCATTCTACTCCTACCTATGCGCGGAGGTGCGGGATGATGCCGTCTCAGACTAGTAATCTTCCACAGATCTGTCAACCGTAGATGTGCCCTGCGCAGCGATAGGAGATAGCTGTTGATAGCCGTGTATGTCTGGACATCCTGAGGACTGAGGAATAAGTCCAGTGGGGAGGGTATGTTCATTGTCAAGATGGTTGGGGCCGAGAACAAGAGGTTGCGGAAGGGTGTCTTCGCAATCTTCAACGACCCGATTTCTTCAGCTACGGCAGCAGCTGTGGGCGTCATCGTGGGAAGAACTCTGGAGGAGTTATCCGTGACGTTCTTCGGGATCGTCAACCGGACATGATCCCTGGCAAGTTCCAATCCCTCATCCTCTTCGGACTGAAATTCCCCTTGAAGAGCACCCATTGCTTGCCATACGCGCGTGAGCACACCGGCCACTTCGCCCTCCTTGACAACAACGATGCCGAGACTCCCACCCGCTGCACCACCGCCGCTATCGCGGGACTTCTCGTAAGCAGACAAGTTTTCGGCTCGCCGCCACCGACTGCGCATCTTCTCATCAGCTTGCTGGGTGAGTGCCATGGCAAATTCTCCCCGGCGAAGGAGGAAAAAGTCTCGAAGCAGCTGGAGGTATTTCTCCACATCGCTGAGTGGGAGCAGCTGCGCCAGAGTGGTTCTTGAGAGATACTGCCTGATCTCGGTAATAGTATTCGAAAAAGTTGCCGGGTCAATCGGATGAGAAAGGGTCGAAAGTTTGGTAAGTTGCGTTGAGAGGTGATCCGTCCCCCTGAGGCTCGAGTCTTCCACACTCTTGGCGCGGATCTGGCGCAGAGACCTCCCGATGAAGAGCATAGAGGCTGCCGTAGATCGCGTGACAAACTTGGGAAGAAGCTCTTGCACGCACAGGAACTGTTCTTCGCCATCTTCATCCTCCTCCCTCCACACAAAGAAGTCATCAGCCCCAAAGTCTGGCAACCGCCCATACAACACCCACGCAGAGACTTGCTTCAACCACGCTGTCTCGGCCACCTTGACCAGGCTCTTGACCACTTCTTCAATATCCTTGTACCCGGTCTGTATCAACTCCCTCAGCCGGTTGATTACCATAGGACCTGAATGCACTGGCGGCTCACGTCTCCTAGTCGCCGAGCTACTTTGCCCCTTCTGAGCGGGCCGATGAGTCAAGTCATGAGGTTGACTCCCTTCCCACTCCATCTGGTCGACACTCTCCGCATTCTCCTTCATCCCCTTCATCAACAGGTCCACAAAGCTCCATAGCCATTCCATGCGCCTGTTCCACTCATCAAACTCGCCAACCACCGCCGTCAGCGGCACAATGTTGTAGGCACCCACAAGTGCGGCATCTTTCTTCAGTATTGTCTCCTCCACTTGAAGCACCTTGCGCTGAAAGGCAGCAAGGTGTTCATTTCGAATGGCGGTGGCAATAGCACGGCAGATTATGGAGGGATGGGACGTGCTAATGCGAGCCGTATGAGAGAGTAGGTTGATGTGGAGCTCTGAAAGATTGGCAAGCTTGGAGAGGAGTGCGCGTTCGGGCGGGGTGAGGGCTGACTTTAGCGGGGAGTCATTGGGAGTTGTGGAGGTGGCTGCAGCTTGTTGTAGGAGAGGTGAAGGGTGTCCTGAGAGGGAGAGAAGAATTTCGTGGAGCATGGTGGCAGATTTGATGTCGGTGTTGACGTTGATGGTGAGGGAGAGGAGGGTGGTGTCGAAAAGAGGGACGGCAGGGGACTAAAGTGGTAGAGCGACGGTTGTTAGTGTCTATGACCCCAGGAAGAGAGAAACTGGTGGTTTTGCTACTCACGGTTTCTCAGCCAGGTATGGAGATTCGTCGTCCTGCGACTGTGATTGCCGTCTAACAAAGGCTTGATAGAGAAGTATAAGAGTCCCGAGGATCTCGAACCTGCAGCACATGGGGTGTGGTGCTTGAGCCAGCTAGAATCGGTAGTCTAGACTGCTAAAAGTAGGTGCTGCAGCGGGGTGTTGACACTACTTGTAGAACCCAAAAAGGTACGTAAGTGGGGACAATGTGTAGTAGTCAAGCGACAGTGAAAGAGTTCCAAAAATGGGAAATTCGGAGCTCGAAGATATAAACGATGGTGAATGCTCAGTAGTAGAAGCTTGGTGGTGGGATTTTGTCTTTCTCGGATTCAAAGGCGGATCAAGGGCACTTTTGTACCCAACAGCCAGACGGATGGACAGGTCGTGCCTGTTCGTCTGTAAGATGTTGCCCGTGGAAGCTGCTGTTAAGGTAGACGGAAGCCTCAATCGGATTGAGAGTGGTTTAGGCCCACGTGCAGGGGATCGCGATCCAGACGCGTTGTTCGGTTGGAGAAACCACGACAGGGGATGTCGCGGTCACATGACATCATGGCTCTGGAAGCTGCCAGGGCTGCCCCGGGAATCCACTCTTCATGGGAACCTTGAGGGTTAGATAAGAAAACAGTGGCAGATAAGAGGTTATCAAACTCATCATAGAGGAACTTCAACACAGAATTGTCGGTCGATGTAGTCGGCCAAAATCTTGGAAATAAAAATAGGTATAGCGGATATTAGCAGGAAAGACCTAACCGAACATCACCAATCAACCCCATGTCTCAGACCTCCCGTTCATCCCAACCGGTTGCTTCCCACTTCTAATGCTCCCCGGCGAGGTCCTTCCTGCACGGTTCATCGGATCGCTGTTCATTCCTCCTTCGCCCGGACTCAGCACTCCTCCATCACCTCCTCCGACCGTTACTACTCCTCCGTCTGCCGTCCGACCAACAACCATACCCTTTGCGACGCTCTTGAGAATTGCGCGTCTCGAAACACCGGTAACATCAATATAGACCAAACTGACGTTTTTCACCCCACCACCAACACTCCTCGATATCTCGCCCGCTTCGGGGCCCCACTTGTGCGCAACCACCGTGGTCGCAGCCTCCGACGTTGACGCAAGCAAGTGTCGGCCTGCCTGCTCCACACCATCCATGACCGTCGAGAACGCCATGAAGCTCTTGTTCAGCAGTCCCGGCTTGTAGTTATCCAGGGGCTGCCCATCCGGCCCGAAACCCTTGGTCCCCGTCTTTCTAGGTCCGCGACCGCCGAGGTTGGCACCAAAGTTCTGTGCAAACTTGCCAATCTGTCCTACGGTTTTGGCTGACAGAACAGCTGCGTTTCCGGTAAAGTGGCTGATACGGCGAATGTGTTCGCGGGTGGCTGGCTTGAATTTCATGGGCTCAGCGGCCGGTTGCGACCTTCTAGTGTAGTTATCGGCTTGGTTCTGTAAGAGCTTGGCAAGCATGTCGGAGCCGGTAATGATGAAGCGCGAGGCGGCGGATGCGTTCGAAACAAGGAAGGACTTCTTATACGCAGGGTGAAGTTCGGCATCGAATAGTTCTGGCGAGGCGGGAGCAACATTGATCTTTCCGTTGGGCGTAGTCGGGAGCGTAATCTCAACCGGGTCTGGTGGACATTGAAAGTTAGCCAAAGCAATTTGGACGATATTAGACATGGGATGAGGAACGGCAGTACTAACCTTTCGATCCAGGCTTCAACGCGCTATCTTCGTGAACTTGGTAGCCCTCAGCCAACTCGCCAATGACGCTACCGTCGTCCTCATCCACAAGCACAATCTGTCCTGGCGTGGGGTTGCTTCGGCTTCCCTGGGCATATGCCTCACCAGGCCTATAGTCACCAGGGTTGTATGCCGGCAAGTCCTCCGTCACTCCACCCTTAGACCTTGTTGATGTTGCTGTGCCACCCTTCTCACCACTACTCTCGTTGCTCCTTTGACTAAGTGTCGGAGGTGGTGCCCGTTCAAGGAACGCAGTGCATTGCGCAAGAATCGTCTCAAAGGTGTCCACGTCCTCCTGAATGCCCTTCCTGTTTTCGACCGAGGGGAACTCGATTCTTGTAAAAGCACCGCTATCGGGTCCGAGGTCCCATCTAGGAATCAGGTAGCTCGTAGGAGATTGGTGGTAGATCTGGGTAGTCGCGGGAAGAGGAAGATCGAGCTCGGGCGGGAGGTGAAGATGTAAGTAGAAGTCCTGTTCCGCGTTTTCTGTGCCCAGTGCCGGGTCTGCAAAAGCAGAGCTTGTTGGCACCATTAGCAAGGAGAGGGTCTGTGGCCCGGCGGGCGTTAACGATTCCTCCTTGCCATTGGCAATGTGGTAGGCTGATACGCCGTTGATGGCGTAGAGCAGCTTGGGGTCCTGTCGGGCGGTTGTCATGTTAGTTCCGGTTTAACGAGCGAACAGTGGATTGCGCCGTGATGGTCGTTGGTGGTGCTGTTGCTGGTCTGGCACTGCTTCAAAGATTGCTGAGTGATGGTCTTACGTTGTGACTTGATGCCATTCTCGAAGGAAACTGTAGGTGGTGTGACAATCTGATTGCTTTTATTGCGTCGAGCTAGGAAAGGTGACACGGGACGGCTTGAAGAAGTGTTGGATGATGGATGGCCTTGAACAGGAAACGACGTAACCGTCTGTCGATCGCTCAGCAGCAGTCGGCGGGCAATGTGCTGCTTCCCTGCCCGACTGATTGGTGCAGCTGCGGGGTATCTTGCTGTAAGTGTTAGGTATTATAGCACACCCTCTTGATAATAAGTCGTGCGATTGGCGGGCGCAAAGTCGTGTTGAACCGAGAAATGTCCAAGGGAAGTGTTAGATAGATTAGGACCACAAGCAGTTGAGGTTTATGAGGATTAAAAGAAGATAAAAAAGCATGAAATCGATGTTCTAACTCAGATACCTTGCGTTCCTAAGCAAGCGGGGTCAACTTTTTGTCCGTGGAGATTCGAGTTCAAAATAGCAACAGCGACACTTCTAGCCCACCATCTTCCCGCGGTTCCTGGGCAAAGAGCTGGGGTTTGGTTGCCTCCAGGCGCTTAGAGCTCCCTCCTGTGTGGAGCATGCAACAAGAGGCCTCTCGTGGAGCGTGATTGTGAAGCACCTGCGGCCGACGTCATTGGACCCCCCCACTAACATCATTTTGCCTTTGTGCCTTCGTGCCTTCATGTTACCTCCTTTACTTCGCAGTTTTGCCCATTTGCCACGGCAAGGAAAGAAGGCAAGAACCTTTTATGTGGCTCATATGTCGCCCGTTATGCTGGCTGTGCGCCGTCGATTCAGGGTTGAAAGGCAATTTGGAGGCATGTTGAGAACATGGACCGATGTGCCTGCGTTCCTTGGCGTGGGAAAGCTTATCGCCATTTGGGTCAGCGGATGGGGTTGCCAAGCATCATGCCGCTACCGTTGGGGATCTCCAGTCTCGAACGTCGGCTAGGATTCGGTGCTTGTCACAGCCTCGTGTGGCTGCCAAAGGGTAACGAAAGTGCCACCACGACCGAGTGGCTGCACCAAGTCCCGTCCCGGCCGCTACCGAACAGCCATACAGGGTAACCTGATCGTCCACCGTTCAACGGCTCAAAAAAAGAAGTTGCTGTCGAGTCCCGGTGCGGTCACTCGCAGAGCCCAATTGTTGCGGTTCGTGATCCGGCAGCTCGAGGACCCTGATAATCTGTGTAAGGGTGGCAGAAGGGGAAGATGCTGAAGTGGTGACGGGAACCCCCCAGCCCCCGAACAAATTCAGGTAGTTAGTCGGCTATCGAATGTTGTACGCCATCACCCTCCCATGAAGCGGATAAGATCATAAGGGTCTCAAGCACCAGGCCGAGGAGCCGGGTGGCATCAGGTATTTCTGCAGGCCAGCGTGCCTCGACACTGTCCAGAGGGTGTGGCGCTCAGTGTCAGGTCTCCTGAACACCCGTATTTTTCTATAGAGATGACTGGTGACCCATAACGTCGGGGTTGGGTGTGGCATATGTTGGGGGTCAAATACTGTGTACGCGGTAGACTCATCTAACTCGTCATGACCAGTAGCATCCTTGGCGAATTTTGACAGATACCGGAAATGTATACGCAGTTCAATAATTGTTGATGATTTGCGCGGGAGGCTAGTCGAGTGATGGCCGGACGGGATCCTATTCAACGGTTTAGCAGCCCCTTTCTGTCAACATGGCCCTAAATGCTGGTTGTCACACTGCAGGATGGTTACAACTGTGAGCCCGGCGGACCTGGCAGGCGGCCGGGAGGGGAATGTGAATGTGAGATATGAGCAGTTGAGAACCTCGCTCGCACATGCAAGCCTCTGGACGCCATGCCGAAAACTGTGGTCTGGATGATGCCGTTCTGGCCCGGCCTTGAGCCCTCTTTCGCCATGTTCTTTTCTTTTTCCTCGCCAGAGTCAAGCAAGGCAGTTGGATATGCAAACATTGCGAATGCTACCAAGCAGAGATGACTACTTGGCCTCGCAGGGGAGGAAATAGAGTCAAATCTGGGCATCCCTAGAAGAAGTAAGAAGTAGTCTATAGTTCAGGTTGCTATTTTGAGCCCGCTGCTTCCTTCCTAACCGTCGTGGTGTACGGACTGTGTTCCAAAAGATGAGAGCAAATGAGAAAGGAGAGGGAAGGTGAAGCAAGAAAGGAAATCGGCAAGACTGAAACACTGCGTTGAATAAAACCGAGAACGAGGAGAAAGAGAAAGCGCGGGAAGCAGCAAGGGTGGGCCTGGCTGTTAGTTGTAGTTATCGGGGTAATCGGGGGAGCCGGCCGTTATCGTGCTTATTGTGTGGATTCCATTAGCGGGCTAGTGGAGATATTGGCCTTATCCGATCCGGGGGCGGAGAGGGAAGGGTCCACTGAATGGACAAGGGCAGTCACTCAGCTGCCCCGACCAAGCTGTCCGTTTACGGTCTCATCCGTCATCGTCAATGCCGGTCCGTTCCTCTTTCATCTGAATCTTCCTCCGACATCACCTCCGACGTCGTCTTCCACGTCCAGACTGTCAACGACTGATCACCGCTTGACTTTGTTTTCATCTCATCTACAGTCGATACTTCTCACCGTCGAGCTGATATCCATGTTGAGGCGCATCCAAGATTGAGCTCTTTATACATCTCCCCACGTACACGCACGGTACCCGGCGCATCATCACCTGTCACGGCAGGTTCTCGGCCAACAAGACTTTCCCGTTGCGGAACCTTCAATTTTGTGCGCATTAGAAGAAACGCCAGGCGCCTTCGTCTACTTCATTGTATATTCAATTTCTTCATGTCAAGCTGTCAACTACCTGCTTGCCCCGGTCTTCTCAGTGGTCACTCACAACCTCGTCCCCTACCTCAGTCCTCAACGGGTCAACACCACTATCAAAGAACATACTGAAGCTGTAAACTTCACAGTACATTGCATACGCAGGCCATACTTACGGTGGCCCAAGTGTTGGCTATGATCAATTGAAAGTTGGTCCGAGCTCTCAACTGCAGGCAGCTGCCAGCCCTTTTATATCAACGCCTCCATATCACTTACATACTCAAAGACTCATACCCATCCACTCATCCAAAGGCATCACATTACTCATCACAACTCTTATCAACTCCCATCAACTCATATACCTCTCATCAAATTCTATTCATTCCCATTAACTTTCATTAACTATTAACTTCCAATTCCTATAAGCTCCCATTGCCCAGGGAGAACAAGAGGAGTAAGGGGATCCATTTACATTAATACCCTACCCTAAAGTCCAAAATTTGAAAAAGAACCGGGAGATCCATTTACACTACTACACTAAATCTTAACAAACCTCAAAGCTCCCAAGTCTCATTAACTCTCAGAGTCTTAACTCATTACACCCCTTCGACTTCAATTGACTTCCATTAATTCTAGTTAACTTTCATTATCTTTAGTTTTTTCATTGCCTCTAGTTATTGCTTCATTGCTTCATTAGTTCAATATACACGAAGAAGCAGGGTTATAGAGTATAATATAAGATGGACTTAATTACTAAACTAAATCTACGCTAACGCGCCTAGGCGCGTACCTAGTGCCTGCAGCTGACACGGGCCATTTTCTAACCAAACTTTTTCAATTGATCATAGCCAACACTTGGGCCACCGTACATACTACCGAGCACCTGTCCCCTCAGACGGCAGTCCTGGACCCAATCGTCTTAATTCGAGACGGATTGACGCTGTCAAACATCTCTGCAGCCTGGATCAGCTAAGTCGACCGGCCGCACATCATTCAGCACCACCACTTTCGATACCACCTTGATCCTCTCCCCTCGCCGTTGTCGCCTCCACTCGTTGCGCTCCACCTTCCACAACCATCGTAACAATCACCACCATCAGCACCACCAGCCTCCGGCTGACACTTACCGGCGCCGCGACCATTGATGTTTTTTTTTCTTTGACATCCGGCCCCCAACCGCACGGAGTACACGGTACACGGTACACGTTCTAACGCATCATCGGTCCCCCCGCCTTCGACCTTGAGGTTCCTTGTGCTTGGCTCCAATTGCAACACCTGTCTGGCATCATCGCGCTATTAGAGTGACCCTGCAAGATACAGACCTCTTGATCAACTCGTGCCAGTCCGTATCTCGCCTCGCTTCCACTCCTCTTCTCGGACACATTACCTAGCCCTTTGCTGTTACAATTTACGCGGCAACGCTCAGGAGGTTGACGGCTAGTTGCATCCACGCTGGATGCTGTCATACATTGCGCAAACGCCCGCCTGCTTCTGTTCCCGTTGTTGCTCCCGTGCTTCGTCTGAGCCTTTGGCCTAGTCCAAAGACCATCAGCCTACGAGGACGACCTTTTCCCCTGGGCCAGCCATCATCGCCGCCGCAAGTCTACCACCATTGGCACCTTGCCAACTCGCCTGCTGCTTATCCGAACCGTTACTACCAAGCCTTTTCCTCCTGCCGTTCCGGACGCGAAGCACCAACACTATCCTGCCGTGCCCGTTGTGTACTGCCCTGTCGTGTCGTGTCGTGTCGTGTCGTGCCCATACGCCTTCTGCCGAGCAATTCGACCTTTGATATTTAGTTGCTTTACTCGCAAGCAAGACGTCGACCGTTTCGCATTCGTTCCTGCATCCGGTCGCTACCACCCCGCGGCCGCTTTGACCGGCGTCTGCACTGTGGAGTCGGCTCCGAGGACATCTTGCTTGCTTGCCGAGCTTGCCCGACTTCTTCTCCGCAGACTGCTCTTCGTTCACGGTCCATTCTGTGGGCATCTTATCCTACTTCCGTCTTAGAGGGTCCCCTTGAGAGACCCAACCGCCGGCACGATAGCGTCCCAACTACGTATCCAGTCTATCCTCTCCCCCGCCGATCCGCCGGACGCCGATGAAGCTTCGGCTATCTCTACAGCGCCAACCGATTCTACTCCAAAACGAAAGTTTAACGACGCCTTTGCCGTGCCGGTCTCCGGCGAACCGTCTTCTATACACCCCGCCGAGTCGGCTATAGCACCCAGGCTTTATCCCCACAACCGTTTACCAAACATTCGCCAGCCGCTGCCTCATAGCTCACCGCTCGCTACCGGGGGCGGCGGGCTTCGCAGGCACGGCCAAACACCTGAGGATGCCAACAAGGTCTTGATGACCTCCGCGAGTATGGCGCCCACCCCCGAGAGCCCTGCGAGCCCTGGCAAGCATGATCTTAAAAAGGGAGCCAAACGTGCCCCTTTGCGCTCGAGTATCGCCTGTCAACGCTGCCGAAAATCCAAAATCAAGTGCAACAACACGGGCGGTGACGCGCCTTGCGATACCTGCATTCGAAATGGCAAAGAATGCATCTACCCTGACGTGGCGCCAGCTCCCCCAAAGCGGGCCGAGCCCCCCGCTGGTGTCAAGTCGGAGCAGGGTTCCGAGCGGAAGCGGCCGAGGAGAATCGATGATATTGCCAAGTTGGAGAGCGCCGTTCCGCCTGCCGCGTTTGCCGAGGAAGTTCTCACGGCTCCTTATCTTACCGAGAGTGTGTGGTCAGAGATCTTTGACCTGTACAAACTTCACTTTGCAACTGAGTTGCCCTTCCTCCACTTGGCAACCCTCAAGGAGAAAATGGGAAACAGGTTCAGAGCCAAGCAGAGTGACACATCTCCCGAGATCAACCTCGTGCTCCTAGGCGTCTTAACCCTGACAGTACGCTTTAACCCCACGCTGGTATCTTACGTTACAACGCTCAGGACTGCTTCTACTGTTTCGAGTGGTCCAAAGTCGCGCCAGCTTGGCATCAGTAACGATGCGACAGCCGCCTCCGAGTTCTATGCTGATGTTCTAACAAAGGCTTTGGGTGGGCTTCGAGCAAGCATGACCATGGCATCCGTCGAAAGGGTTCAGGCCTTCCTGATGCTAGGGCTGTACGAATGGGGGCAGGCTCGACCCAAGGTGGGAGGCATGGCGGCATGGATGTATGTCGGGATGGCTATTCGCATGGCTCAAGCTCTAGGTTTGGGCGATGGCGATAAAGAGGACAGCAAGACTTTCAGGTCCAGACCTATGGATGCTTCAAAATTGTCCATGTCAAAATCGCAACTTATCATCGCTAAGGAAATCAGGCGACGCACCATGTTTAGCTGCTTGATATTGGATCGCTTGTTGGGCTGTGGCAAGGGGCGTGCATCAACAATACGCTCTGAGGACTTGCGGATCCAGCTTCCCTGTTCCGAGATGTCGTTCGACCTATCCGAAGATGTCTATACTGGGTTCCTCAATCCTACAGCCCAGGAGATAGCGAGAGGCCCTATTTCCGACAGTGCCGACAGCGTCCTATGTCGCTTCATTCGACTGGTTGATATTTGGGGCGAAATATCAAAATGGAGCTTTGCCGGCGGGCGCTTTACAGAACAACATGCTCCTTGGAAGCGTGAGACAACATTCCATCAGCTCCGGGTGAAGCTCGAGACATTTTATAGCGAACTACCGGAGCGGTTTTGCTGGTCGAGGAGCAACTATTACAAGCACGAGAACCACCATGCCAGCAGTGTCTACGTCTCCTTGCACATGCTTGGCGCGGTATGTAAGATTATGCTTCATCGCGAGTACATACCGTTTATTGCAATTCGATGCAAGAAGCCAGTCGGTCCTCTCGATGAGCCTACTTTTGCCGAGGGCGATGAACCGCCTGGATTCTGGGACGAGAGCGCTGAAGAGATCTTCAAAGCCGCTAGAGACATTGTTGATCTTATCGATATCTCCCAACAGAAACTTCCCATGTCGACGCTCGTCTTGTTTGCCGTTTGGACGGCTGCCTTTGTCGGAATATATGCTGTTTACTTCCCGCATATCGATGTCGAACGCCACATGCTGCTGCCAGCAGAGGAAGACTCGGGGGTTGAATTGGAAGAGATCAAAAAGGGGCCAACAGGTCTGACATACAAAACACTACAGCAAATGGGCAAATGGCTCAAAATGGCGGACACATACGTCCAATACTTTCACGATATGGTACGGTACTATGACACGGTAAAGAAGGACTACGAAGCTGCGACAAAGGCAGCGGGCGGGCCAGGTGGTGAGAATAAGATCAACGTTCGCCTTCTTGGTGGCGGCCTGGAGGAGTGGAAATACCAAGGACTGAAGGTGGTCAACAATGGCGAAATTCTGGCGGTTGATGATGACCGACACAGTATCTCTCGGGATAGCACGCTCGAACCAACATCCAGCAGACACGACGGCCATCATACGGACCACACCAAAACCCCAAGGTCAACATCACTCTCATTCACGCCCATCAACACCACACATCACCACCAGCACCATCCATCGCTGGATTCATCGGCAGACACCACCCGGACGCCAGACGGTGAAAACATCTCTTGGCATCATCCCCAATATCAACGCCCAGTCACCGGCGGTATCCCAAGCACCAGCAGTCAACACCAGTCCCCATCTCAATCATCATTTGCCGTTCCGAGTCCGCAGTTGGCGACGCTCAAACAAGCACTAGGCCCACCGCCGCCGCCAGCGCCTGCTGTCTCAGGCCCTGGTGCAGCAGGCTCGATATCGACGTTACCCAACATACCGGTGTATAACTCGTCAAATGAGGTGATGCAGTATATCCAGGAAAACCAGAGCATACCGTGGAATCAGTTGCCGGGCGGTGTCGACCACTTTGCGCACGGGACCGATGATTTCTGTTTTAGTGAGACGGGCAACGGGTTCTGGGGTTCGATGCCTGATGTTGTTATGGGCGCCGGTACACAAGGTTATGTGCCGCAGCCGATTGTTGGGGTGGGTGGACAGCAGGGAGCTGGGTGGAGTGGGTTTATGTGAAGAGGCAAAAAAGGAGATTTGAGGCCGGAGTGGTGTAGTGACGGAAGCCCAGTGCCCCTTTTCTTTTCTATTTTAGTCCGGATCTGATATGGATCAAGTCCGCATGGCTTGTTGTCATCATCATCCATTGCGGTGTCTTATTTGGTTTTTCATTTTTCATCTTGTTGGAGCGGTTTAACGATATCCTACATATGTTGGTCCGGTGTTCGGTGGTCACCTTGAACCATATATGGCCTTGTTTCTTGTCTTTGTTTTGGTGTTTGTATGTATTTCTGTACTCATGCTCAACTTCATGAAGGTACGACGGGGATATTTTTGGGAGCAGTTTCTGGACGATAATATGATATCTCTTGACCAGGTCTCCGGAGTAACAGTAAAACTAGCCTTTCGCGTCTACTCCTGCTTCGGTTGCAGTATACCCATGGAGTTTTAGATGCTACAGAGAGCTCCAAAGCAAAATAAAGTAATTGTCAGCTTGATCACGCCGGAAGAAAGTCTCCGTGATCAAAATTTCCCACCACCTCGTTCTTATTATGCGAAGAGAGGAGTTGTGGACTGAGGAGTTGGGTATGTGATAACATGAAAGGTGAAGGAAAGAAGGATGAGGCATGTTAGTCTTTCCTGAAAGACGAGGAGTATACGGGTATGCGCATATAGAGTTGAAATAAAGCAATCAAAATGCAGGAACCAAACGCGCCTAAACCCCGTAAGACAGATAAATATGCCAACTGGCAGGCACACCCGTCAGATTAGGTACCATAACACTTACCCTCGTCACAGCGTCAGTTCAGCTGCCTCTTTCCAATTTCATCCAAGTCCCAATCTCTCTTCACTTCCAGGTTCCCATCATCTCATCCACTCTTTCCCAATTGTTGCAACAAACATCAACATGACCAGCTCCGGCTCCGGTTTCGGTTCCGGCTCCAACAACACTTTCCACATCTTCCCCCACCTCCCCTGGGAGCTCCGCGCCCGCATGTGGGAACTGACCATCTCGGGGCGCACGATCTACATCTATCCCCGTCTCCTTTCCAACGAAAAGAACCATCTTCACAGTCGGGTTTATGGGGGGTCGATCTGAGGCGCATTGTCCTCTGACTTCTCAACGAGTCATTGTGATGGACACTCACTCATCTTTACCTGTTCGAAAGAACATTAAGGGACCAAATATTTATTTATGTACGACTGAAACTTGCGACTGAAACATGTTCTTATTTGGGGGGTATCTTCTCATTAAAATGAAACGGGGTATCTATCTTGCTATCTTCCTATCGATAGCCTCTCTCACAAAAGTAGGCATCGCCTTCTTTCTTCAAAATCGGAGCGTCATCATCCGTCCTGCTTGGACTCCTGACCACGCCAAGGGGTGTCGTTGCCGTCTGCAAGTGCATGTGTTCTTGTTTCCCGTTTCCCCCATCATAGCTCCCCTGACTCCTGTGACCTCCGTGGCCTCCGTGACCTCCGTGCCCATGCCCGGCCTCAAGATCAATCTCACTACCAGTAGGACTCGGCGTGGCGCTACGTATAAAGTTCGTGTACTGCCCGGTCCTCGGATACTCATGTCCGTTGATAGTCGTCAGGGTCGTCTGCACCCCTTTAAAGTCGTCGCCGGCAGCAGGGTTTGCAGGGCCGTGGCTGCTTTGTTTGACGCCGACTTGAATGGTCGACAAGACCACTGGTGGCGCCATCGTTTTGCCTTCGCTTTTCGACGATTTTTGTCTCTTTCGTGCCTTCCTATTTGCGGCCATGTCCTGTAACGGTTTCGGTACAAATTTGGTCCAGAGGTAGTCGCGAAAAGTCCGAGTTGTTCCGAAGACGATGAAGATCAGGAGACAAGCTGAGACGCCGGGGACGAATAGAGCAAAGTCGCCCTGGGCTCGGGCGGCACTTAGATCAGGTTCGGGTGGGATGTTTTCCTTGGTGTTGGTGTTGGCGGCGCGATGTTGGAAGAATACGACGACTAGTTCGAAGAGCCTGTGGTGTGATGAAGGGTTAGCTTGGGACAAGATACCGGCGAGAGACAAGGATCGTGATAGAGACATACCCTAATGCCACAAATGCGACAGTGAAGCGCACAGCAAGCCAGCTATCGTAGATGTTTCTGCGCGGTATAGCAGGAGGCCTGGGACCTGACGGCATGCTCCCATTACCCGAGTATGGGTTGGTAGTCTGTGTCGAATCCTGGCCATAGCGAACATTCCACGACATCAGGGCGGCCCTTGAGTGGATGTACTTGATAAGGACGGCGAGCAGAAGCAGGCTACCGATACCAAAGCTTACGATCACTATCATAGAGAAAAATCATGTTAGTTTGGACGATAATGTTTCGGATGATATTTTGGAACCGCATACTGATAGAGTCGGCCAAGACCATGTAGCCCAAGACACTGCGTTGAACAACATCGAGTCTGAGCAGGTTCATCTGGACGACAGGCAGGAATATGGCGCTCGCCTTTGCCCACAAACTTCCCCTCAGGCGGTTGAGCTTGGAACTCCGAAGCTGGAGGATAGAGTTTGCCAGCTCAACGGACCTATTCTGGTCAGCTGCGTGATTCTCTTCAACTTGTGTTGGGCGGCTCACCAGAAAGCCACCAGCATGGCGTCCACATTGTAGGTATAATACTCTGTCGCTAATCAGAACAGGATCGGAAGTCTGACAGAAGAGAGGAGACATACGGATGTAAAAGAGAACGAGGTCCAAGCCTGTAGAGGCGCCGGTGACGTTCAACTCTGGCCTCCCAACATTTTCTACCACGTTGTTGTACTGCGATGTCTTGACATCGTTCCAGTTGACTATTGTGTTGAATTGTTGGACAATCGATGCCAGTGTGCCCAAGGACATGGAAAATGAGAGCATAGCCACATCTTGCTCGTGTTAGACGGAGTACTACAATATGATGAGAAGGGCATAGGAATCATGACTTACAACTTTTTCGCTCATGGTGAACCCAGGCCAGCCAAAGCAGAAGCAGGCTCAAAAACAGACAAAAGAAGCTATAGATGAGAACACCAGCGGCAGTGCCGATGGCCTCGGATGGGAGCTGGACGGCCATCTCATGGCACTAGGATAGAGTTGTACATTTTACAATAAGATCTGAACTATATGTAGCTGGGGAAGCGTGATGTGCGAGACGGGGTGTTTAAAGCGGCTTCCTCCAAGAGTTCTGATGCTAGTCTAATGCTACTAGTCCCCTTCCAACCATTCAGCCTAGTGTACTCTAGCTGAGTCTAGTTCCTCATGGCTTCTCTGGCTCTGCCGATCTGGCAGACTTCGGACTCTCTAACCGACATCACCTGCCATGCCAAGCGAGCGCTCGGACGGCCCAGATTCCAGACTTTTTTTCACATCAAGCGCTACTATGTACATCGTGCCTGGACTTCGGTCACCATGTGTCAACAGGGCCAGAGGTTTCAATCTGGCACTCGCTTGGGCGAAACCGATGCGGGTGAAGAACCTGCATAAGTCCCATTCCATCTCTGTGATAGTGGTTCGGACTTCGGAAGAGGGCGAATGAGACCCGATGGAACATGCTATGTTACCCATGTTGCTTCCAGCTTCCAAATAGTGAAGCATACCCGACCCTCCCCGACGAACGGGGTCAAGCTCTCACTTGGACGCACTCGGGCAAGATGACCGAGCAATTCGCCGAGACCGAGAATGGAAAAATCATGATTCCAAAGAGAGAGCTCACCGTGGATGAGCAGTGGTTACGCCAAGAGCCGGTCACCGATCGATCTTCAATTGCATTCCATTCTCCAGACCTCAGAACTCTGCAGGAACTGGAGATCTGGCGATCAATCAACTCCGAGGCCATGGGGTCGTCGCTTACACCTACCTAGCAGAGGAAGGACGGCTTCCTTCGTGTTGGAGAGGACACTATTGGCGGCGATTGGTAATGGTACTCTGCAAAATAGCGTGGATTCCACGTGGAGAATAAGCAAAAAGGGGCAAGGTGAACTCAAGGTCAAAGCGCAAAGGCTGATCATGATAAGCTTCTTTTGGTGTTGAGGACTGAAGGAAAAGGAGATGCCGAAGGGAAGCTGAGCCTAGACAGGAACCAATTCGGCATGTGTGATCCGAAGTGTCGTGACAGATCCATTAGTAACCGGCAGGACGGAACCCGGAGTGGCCTATGACGTGCACGGCCCCACAGCATATAGCACATCATCTCCACCCACACCATCCACCTGAATGTCAGGGACCAGGCCGCTGGATGGCGTGAGCTCCGGCCCTAACTGCAGCCGCAGTGGACCTGTTGGTGTTTACCCCACCTGTCGAACGTCTCCAAACTTCCTTCTGCCCGCAACCAATTCGTTCACCTGAGTGGGCAGCACAGACAGCTACTTCGTCAAGGTACCTCTACCATCTCATCTTTCTGGACGCGATCAGCACGCGTGTCAGTCAACCGTATCCATTTCGAAATTCGGTTTCAAGGTTTATTGATATCCGTGCTCGTCACACATCACCCATCACCCCATCCAGCACCATGGAGGACGAATGGGAACCACCAGTACCGGCAGGGTACAACGACGCCAACCGTGCCTTCATCCAAAGCTTCATGGCACGAGGCACCCTCACCTTTCCCGAGGGACAGAAGCTCGTCGCCGCCATTCTCTCGGCTACCGAAGGCGAGACCGTGGACCCGGAGTCTATCACCCAGGATACATTCGCCAGCTTTGTCCGCACCGCCCGCGAGGCCGTCGAGCCTCTCGACTACGACATCCGCAGCTCTCGGGACCAGGTCCGCAATGGAGAGCGCATCTGGGCCTTCATCAACGCCCACAGCGACCCTGCCACCCAGATGGCCACCACCCACACCCCGGAGGAGGTAGCCTACATTAAGCGTCTAATGGACCTCCTGTTCGACGAGTACAACACCGTGCGAATGGAGGTCATGGCCGTCGACGAGGGACAAGCCCTCAAAGCGTCTCGTCCCAGCAAGCGGCGCGAGAGTCAACATGTGAACGGCGAAGACGAGGAAGGCCAACCATCAACCACCGCATCCGACCGTGGTCTTAAGCATTCCGAGGTTCTGTCTCTCCTCTCCAGCCTCGTGGCCGAAGGCTGGCTGGAGAAGAGCCGTGCCGGGTTTTACAGCCTCAGCCCGCGCGCGCTGATTGAGATGTGGAGCTGGCTGGTTGCCACTTACAACGATGATTCGGCGTCGGCTAAGGACTGGCAGCGCATCAAGTTCTGTGAGTCGTGTAAGGAGATCGTCACGTACGGCCAGCGCTGCTCGGAGAGGGACTGCACCGTTCGGCTGCACGACATCTGCCAGGACCGCTACTGGCGCACTAGGAAGGGCGACAAGAAGTGCCCCAAGTGCGAGACAGAGTGGACTGGGGACCACTTCGTCGGTGAGCGAGCTATTACCTCGCGCCAAGGCTACCAGAGGGGCAGAGGCGGTTGTGCTAATGGCAATGGCAGTGGCAGTGGCAATAGCAGACGGAGTGATTTGGAGAAGGCAGTTGCCGCTCAGCAATAGGCTGCTGGTGAAGATGAGGACATGGGGGAGGCTTGAGAATGTGCTGTTGCGAAGTTTGCTCAGCAGTAGTCCAGCGGTGTTGTCATAACACTTGTCTTTTTTTCGAACCTCTGCAAAACATCGGACGTCGATCCAGCACACACGAACATTCATCAGTTGGTAGCAATGGTTGGGTTTGTATACGGAATACCCGTGGTGTCTGGGACGGATGGTTACGAAACTCCATGGGTTCAGCGTCCCAGCTCCGCGAAACACGAAAGTATTATACATATACGAGCGTTCCTGGAAGACGGAAGACGCTTTGGCTTTTATTACAGGCCCATCACTCACCTTACCCTTTCAGCACGAAAGGGCCGGCGATCTTGTTATCCCTGACTGTCCCCGGCACAGCCAGCCATCCGCCCTCCGTGTTGCAATTTCCGGCGAAGATCAGCCTTGACCCTGTTACACTACTGTCGGTCAGATTTAAAGCGACTAGCATGGACTAAGTATCGACAACATGATACCTTGACAGTCAAGTCGACACTACTGCGATACACAGGGGCGCAAGACAACTAAGCCGAAAGTGCTACAAAGCTGAAAAAAAAGGCAGCTGTTGTAGCTGGCACTCCGCCTTGGAGAGTTTACTGTAAACTTCATGTGTCAGGAGGGATAGACTGTCATTACTCGCCGCGAGGCTATCGAGACCGAGATCGAGTGGCCAGCCGCTGTGATGGAAGGAGAACATTCGCCGAGCTTTGATGTTTTGTCTTTGTTTCACTACTTTCCGTTGAGGAGAGAACAGCATGGCAATACACGTTAGATGCGAATCGCCAAGCGAAGATTCTTCCTGGATTGCGGACAGGGTGTATACACGATATGAAGGTTAGAAGAGAGACCCGAAACGGTTGGTTGAGGTTCGCAAAGATGCCATCCATCTGGTTTGGAAAATTCTTGGGAAGGTGGAGGATAAACGGGAAGGGAAATAAGCTGTGTTTGAATTACCGCCGGCGGGTACCTACTCTTGTGATGTTAGAGGGTTAGCAAAAGGAGAACATGGCGTGCTAAGAGTATCATCGGATAATATAATATAACTCGGTTGGTCATCTGGGTTGGCTTCGCTATCGTACACGGACAAAACTCTTGGATGGGGTCTTCTTGTTGTTCTTGGAGGTAAAAATCCCAATGATGCCCCCAGTAATATTCAGTATGTCAGTCTGCTACTCTTGCGTTTGTTGGTCTGCCCAAGTGCCCTATGAGTGGTGAACACATCATTGCCCTCGATGCTCCTATCAATTTCGAAGAACTAACCCATTCATCCGTAAGTCATAGTTTCCCACACCTTGAATGGCCTACCAGTTCTACCACATCTTTGGGCATTGTCCCTTGTTTGCCTTACCAAAGATGAATTTCGCATGCATGTCTACAATCAGATTGCCAGCTGGCTTGCACCCGCGTCAGGCAGGCACCATCACAACACTTCGTTACCCTTATATCTTAGTTTACTGCATTTTTCCTTTAAAGTCCGTCGGTCCATTTCATGTCCTCAACTCACTCCCTTCCCTAGGGGCATCAATTCATTCACCCTTTCCTCAGCTACCGTACCTAGCAACACAAACATGACCACCTCTACCTCTACCTCCAACAAAAACAACACCTTCCACCTCTTCCCCTACCTCCCCTGGGAGCTCCGCGCCCGCATCTGGGAACTAACCATCTCGCCACGCACCGTCTCCCTCAACATCAGACACCGCCTCCTTCAAAGGGACTACGACGATAAAAAAAACTGGGTCCTGCCGAAACTACTATTCACATCCACTCCCATCCCAGCAGCGCTCCATGCCTGTCAAGAAGCCCGCAATCACCTAACCCACCCCTTAACCGCATGCGGCGGCGCAAACGGATACGGATACGGATACTACGAGAAGATGTCCTCATCCGACCTCATGAACGCGCAGCAGCAGCAGCAGCCGTGGTCGTGGGAAGAAGAAGAGAGAATCCCTTCAATTTCCCCCTACATCTGGGTGAACTTTGAGGTCGACATGATTGACATAGGCGTTAAACGTTTTGGTTTTTCTGGACGGCACTCAAAAAACTACGCTTCCAAGATTAGACGGGTCAGATTTAAGCCTATGGCGGCTTGTCTGGCCTTTGAAGTCCTGACGCCGGGTGGTGTGTATAGCTTTCCGAATGTGAAGGAAGCCGAGATAGACTGCCCTGCTGGTACCTCTATAGCCGGATGGGCCGATCATCTGCCGTGGAATATGGTGGGAGATTTGGTTTGCGGGGTGAAGGATGTGGTGTTTAGAGATCCCCTGGGGAAGATGATGACGCTTGCGGAGATTATTGGGGAGTTTCCGGAGGGCCGCCCGCCCGGGTATGCTCCTTCTAATAACTGATCAGTTGACTACGCTGTCGCGTATGAATACAAGTTATCCCTATGTGTGTTTGTTGCTCCGTCCAGGAATCTTACGAACCATCCTCGATGCGCATGTATGCCTATCGCAGGACCGGCTGACGCTCATCCTCAAGTCAAAGATTCCAACACCTTGGACGATCTACCAGTTCTACCACTTGGGTATCTCTCAAAAACTCCATCCGAGGCGCACCTAACCCTGTTTTAGCCTACCGACCCTTGGTGTGTAAACCCTCATCATTCGCTGAATGTCGATACCAGATATGCAAAAATAATAAAAAGCAAAAAGAATTCTCGGAACCCAGACATAACGAAACCGTGTTACGCTTCTGTCCCCAACCCAAAGCATCCAACCGAAACCGAAACCTCTCTCGCCTCCATATCCATGAGCGACTGACTCTAGGTAGATTTCCATCTACGTGACAGAACGTTCACGTGGACCGCCGCCATCTGAGTCCGTCCCAAACGAGTCCGTAACGGGATACCTAATCGTCCTGGACAAGCTCCTTGATCTCCTCCCTCCCGCCAGGCAACAACTGCGCCCCACCAGCACCCGTCGCCAGCAACTTCTCGGCGTCCTTCGCTGTGAGATTGAACCGGTCAATCACCTTACCGCCGTCCTGGGCCCAGAACCCGACTTCGTCAATGATGTCGTAGACGATATCTTCGAATATCTGTTCCTCGTAGCGGTCCGACACCGGACGTAGAGGCTTTTGATTCGGAACACTACCGTCGTCAAGCATGTCCACGTCGTCCTCATCGCCTACCCCGTTCTGCTGCTTCTGCGGGAGACCAGACCCGGGCGGTGGGAACCAGAAGTCTGGGCCAAAGTTCACCTCGACGGCGCCGCCGCGGAAGACACTTACGGCTGGGTAGTAACCCACGGTTCCGTCGTCGAGAGCTTCCCTGCCGGCGTGTGCCCCTGACTGCGTGCTCAGTTTCGATGCGGGTGGCAAGAAGGCGAAGAGGTCTGTCCATGGCGTGCCCATGTCTTTTCCGTTTTTGTAGATCTTGATGTACGAGTTCGGCAGCGTCCGTAGTGACGGCAACGGGTGATTTGGGTTCGGCGGCTCCGGCGAGCTTGAGCCTGCCGATGCTACCGGCGCGGGGCTGAAAAGATCTTCCAGCTCTTTGGTTGTGTGGTAGTCGATCTTCTCAAAGTAGATGTGCTGCTTGAACCGAATGGGAATCCGGTCCCGGATGATGTTGGGTGCCTCCAGCGATGGTTCGTCGTCTGCCAAGTCGACCGCAGGGTTATAATGCCCTGTTACGATCTTCCTGTGTAGGTGCTCGGAAGGGAGCTGGATCTCCAGTCCGATCACATCGCCTTCTTTGATCTCCTCGCCAGGCGGGAAGAAGTCTTTCGGCCGCGACATGTGCACCTTTTGTCCAGCCACGTCTCGAATACCATAACTGTAGCAATCGAACCCGACGGGGGCGTCGAGAGAGGCCTCGCGCCGCGCCCAACCTAAGCGAACGTGCCCATGCGCCTTGTTGTCACCTTCAGAACCTGGCTCGCGCAGAGTGCCTCGGGTGACCTTGCACTCCCAATACCACCTGCCCTCGCGCACGGCTACGTTGGCTCGAGACATACGGAAGCCTTTGTCGGTTGTGACATGACGACCCTGTCGGTCACAATATACGTGAGAGGCAGAGTCCTCGAAGGCCATGTGGGCAGCGTAGGGCTCGGTCTCGGTCTGGCGGTAGTAGAACATCGAGGGAAATGTCGGGTCCGCTATACAGTGGGTGTAATGAAACGCTCTCTTGTTAAAGACGCTGTAGAGAAAGGCCAATTAGCGTATGTTCCCGTTTCATAACGAAGGGTAAACGGTAGGGTAAATAATGCATACTGTTCCGTTGCATCAAAGAACTCAATGGTCTCGCCCTCAGGCCCTTGAACCTCATGATGGCTGGTGAAGACAGGACCGCGAGCAGGCTCGAAATCAGTAAGCTTGGGCGGAGCTAGCTTGTAACGCGCAGGGAGCAATTCGTTGATCGAGGGCTCCTTGTGTTGCTGCTTGGGGTCGGGAGTTGCTCTAGAACTATCGGAACCGCCTGCCGCCGCCTTGGCCTCCCTCTTCTTAAAGGAATCCTTCTTTGTTCTCTTCTCGCGGTTCAGAACCGCTGCTTGCTGGGTGTCCTCGGGTGCTTGTATTTGAACTCTTGAAGCGGCCTTGTTCTCGGGGTTTAGGGGTGATGGAACTGCTGGACTGTGGTCGTCTTCGAGTGCGCGCTTCTGAGGGACCGTCGTGGCAGCTCCGGAAGGTGTTTGCTCCCTTCGGGGAGAACCTACGTCGCTGGCCATATTCGACCCGGCAGACGTCGCGCAAGCAGTAACGTCGGCAGATGATTAAGTGAGTGGTATGCTTTGCGCTCGTGGGTTGTCCTTGTCCTGAAGTTGAAGTCGTGTTTCTCCAAGTCCAAAGTACCGGCGGGACCTCTTCTGATCGACGACAGCTATGGATGGTAAGGATTAATCCAAGAGAATTGGTAGTGGACCTGCGAGTAAATGCTTTGGTATTCGGAGTTGACGCGTGCTTTGGGAGGGCGGGATTGGGTTCTCGAGTTCAGGTTCGGGGTAGATTACTGGAAAGAGTTCGGAGATGCAAGAAGAAAGAACGACATGTGAAGCAGAAATGATGGAAGCTTCATCCGCATTGCGACTGACAGCAGCGTGTCGCGACAAAAAAGGGTGGGGCATCCTTCCTCTGTTAGTGGGCTCCATTGCTAACGGCAGGCAGGGGTCCCGGAGCTTGTCCTCCAGGTTGTTAGTCGCCAGCCGTCTGGGCCACTCAATCGCTAACAGCGAGCCAACTGCCTGCCGCAAGGATTCCTTTTGCTAGCGGTCGACACTTGGAAGGACGCCAAGACAGTTGCGTCGCCGGTGATTCCATTGTTCGCCTTGACGCCAGCGGTTTGAATTTCTGGATTTCTTCCCCATCAACAACATTCCATCCACGACAACAACCCCGATTATTCTCCCACCTACCAAAACGGCTTTGGCATCTCCACAACGCCCGACGAATAGACATAACGGCCGAGCGACAAGATGCCCGTCGTCAAGGGAGGAGTGTGGACCAACATCGAGGATGAAATCCTCAAGGCGTCGGTCAGCAAGTATGGCCTGAACCAGTGGGCCCGCGTCTCATCGCTGCTGGCCCGCAAGACCCCCAAGCAGTGCAAGGCAAGATGGAACGAATGGCTGGATCCCAGCATCAAGAAGATCGAATGGAGTAAGGAGGAGGATGAAAAACTACTACATCTCGCCAAGCTGATGCCGACCCAATGGCGTACCATTGCCCCCATTGTTGGAAGAACCGCAAACCAGTGCCTGGAAAGATACCAGAGACTTCTCGACGAAGCCGAGCAGAGAGAGACATCCGCTCTTGGGTTGACGGGCCCTGATGGAGGCGAAGCTCACGCGCCCAGCGCCGACGATGTTCGCAAACTACGACCTGGCGAGGTCGACCCCGATCCGGAGACGAAACCGGCCCGTCCCGACACCATCGATCTCGATGAAGATGAGAAGGAGATGTTGAGCGAGGCTCGCGCGCGTCTGGCCAACACACAGGGTAAAAAGGCCAAGCGAAAGGCCCGTGAGCGACAGCAAGAGGAGTCTCGCCGGCTGGCCGCTCTTCAGAAGCGCCGCGAGTTGAAGACGGCCGGCATCAACATCAAGGTTACGACAAAGAAGACGGGCCAGATGGACTACAATGCCGATATTCCATTCGAAAAGAAGCCTGTTCCTGGATTCTATGACACAACCGAGGAGATGTCTCGCAACGAGTACCAGCGTGCCCATTTCGACCCCAAGAAGCAGCAGGTCGGGAACAAGCGCAAGGGTGAAGAGGATGAGAGAGACGGCAAGAGGAGAAAGGGCGACAAGGACCCATCTGTGCAGGCCGCTCTCAAGGCTGGTCAGCTGCAGAAGATGCGGGAGGCAGAACAGAGCAGCAAGCGGAGGGCTTTGGTCCTGCCAGCACCACAGGTCGGCGAAGGCGAGTTGGAGGAAATTGTGAAGATGGGCATGATTGGCGAGCGGGCGAACATGTTGGCACGCGAAAGCGACAATGATGCAACTCGCGGCCTGATCAACAACTATTCGACACTCAACACCAATGCGCCAATCCGAACACCGATGGCCCCTGCTCAGGAAGACCACATCGCAAACGAGATTCGCAACATCCGGGCGCTAACAGAGACACAATCCTCGCTGCTCGGCGGAGAGAATACACCTCTACACCAGGGGGCGGGCTCTACCGGCTTCGAGTCGGTTGCGCCGCGGAAGCAGGTCATGGCGACTCCTAACCCCTTGGCCACTCCCTTGCGGGCTGCTGGAGCTGGTCCTGGCGCAACGCCCCTCCGTGTCGGCCAAACACCGCTGCGCACTCCCCGTGATACCTTTGCTCTCAATGATGCTGGTGATGAAATGTCGCTAGTAGGTGGCACACCCCGGGATGTTAAGATGCGCGAGATGTCTATCCGGCATCAGCTGAAGCAGGGCCTCGCGTCTCTTCCCAAGCCCAAAGAGACCGAGTGGGAGCTCGAACTACCGGATGATCAGCAAGAACCAAAGACAGCTGAGCAGCTGGAGGAGGATGCTGCTGAGCGTGACCGTCGAGAAAGGGAGATCAAGGAGGCGCGCGAGCTGTTGGAGCGCAAGAGACGTACGCAGGTTATGCAGCGGGATCTGCCTCGGCCTGTCCAAGTCGATTACCAGTCTCTCTTGAAGGAGGCCTCGCAGGCCGAGGACCCTGTGAAGGTCCTCATTGCTCGTGAGGCGGCCTTGCTTGTAGCTCATGATGCCACTAAATATCCTCTACCTGGAGCTCAGCCAACTGCCCGGGCACTGGAGATCCAGAAAATCGATGACGCCGCGTTGCAAGAGGCCAAGCTTCAGGTTCTGATGGAAATCAAGGATAAGCCAAAGCCGGAAGAAGTTCAAGCGGCGTGGGAAAAGAGCAACAGCAGCTCCCTATTGCTTGGGTTGGGATGCTACGAGGACGATGAAGAGGAAGAGCAGATTTCGACCATGCAAATTGCGCTTGAGGTATGTTCAACTACTAACCCCTTTTCTGCCTTTCTGAAAGCTTGCCGGCTAACCCTACCTTCAGGAGGTCATTGACCAAATCGTCGCCTCGGCGGAGAAAGGCAACAAGCTCGAGAAGAAGCTCAACTTGCATCTGGGCGGTTACAAGAACCGGGCTGAGATGCTGCGGAAGAAGATCAGTGAGGCTCACGAGGCGTTGGAAAAGGCGAATAATGCTCTGGGTGCTTTCAAGGTTCTTCAGTCCTCGGAGCAGGCCGCTATTCGAAACAGGCTGGCGGCGCTGCGTGGAGAGGTGGGCTTTGTCAGCACGAGGGAGAGAGAGGCGCAGGAGTTGTACAGGAGGACAAGGGAGGAGTTGGATGCTTTGACGCTTAATGGGCCAAAGACCAATGGGTTCCGCTGACTGATGTGTTGAAGGAGTATGGTCAGGTTGTGAATAATGAGTGTTGGTTGTTTTCTGGCATGGCATGGCATGTCTGGCAATTGTCTATAGAATGGTTACTGACGTCGAGGAGCAAAAGATTAGAAGCATTAAACAATATCCATACTTAGAGGACATCCCTAAGATGCCAAGTGCCAAGGCATGCCTGTATATAGCTGAGCGATCAAGTTCCCTCTCCATGTAGGTCATTTTCCCACCCTGAGGCTCTGATGGGCCTATCGTGTCTAGAACGGTGGCAGGAACGGTGGCAGGGGCGGCGCGCCGCTCAACTGTAGAGGTACGTCGAAAACACGCTCTCACGACGGCTGGCGGGCCACCCTCCCCTACGCCATCGACATGTACGTCAGGAACGCGAGACCACCATCACCAGCGAGCGTGTCTCCTTCTGGTACCGCAAGCACCGCTTCAAGGCCTCAACAGCTGCGGCGGCGGCGGGTGTGGGTGTGGGTGCGCCCGAGGGCGGAACAACGGTCAACGGGCCTCCCAGTTCCAGATCGATTTACCTCCCCCCACAAGCGCTCTCGGACACAGGATCTTCTTCGCACGCGGTCTTTGCCCAGCCCGCCAACGTCTCCGTCACCATTCGCGGCGGCGTTTCTGTTCCGGACTGAGTACGGTGATGGGGCGTGGCGGTTGGGGGTTGTGTGGGTATACGTGCGCTGGGGCATATGTTGTCCGGAGAGGGCGCGCAAGATGATGAAGACCTAGCAAGTGGAAGGGCTTGGAGGAGGGGATGTTGGATAAGTTGCCGGTGACTGGTTCAATGGGATGAATACCTCTAACGACGGTGATGATGATAATGAACTGGGCGTTTCAGATCCTCGGTCGGGGCTTGCTGAGCGGAAGACGATGGATGAGGTAAAGGTCGGATGCCGAACGGTTACACCACAAAGAGCTTGCCGGGGCAGCGCGAGGGCGGACATTAGCTTCTCACAAGCTTGACTTGTCTTCATTGGCAATGAGTCTGTTAGCTGTCCATTTAACCTCTCCTATTTCTGCATCTTGTCTTTTTCTCCTCTGGGAATGCAATAGAGGTAGGTACCTTACAAAACCTGAACCAAAACAAGACGCCCCCAAGTTCGTAGTAATCCGAGATCTCACCCCAGCTAAAATATATGAAATTTTGCCATCCATCCATCCATCCATCCATCCATCCATCCAACGCCTATATCCTCTCTATCCCGTTTACCCTCATAACTTTTCGTTGCCAGTAGTATTCACTCTTCCTTCCTCTCACCTGACGCAGGCGGCCTCATCATAACCACCAGCAAAACACTGGCCACCACTGTCCCAGCCAAGCACAAGATAATCAAGCGGAAGAGGAGCCGAGAGCGGTGATGGGGTAGACTGGCCAGAGATGGGTCGTTGCCTGCGTCGGGTAAGGAAGAAACCAAGTTATTTTCGACATCATCGGCTGCTATTAGGGGTGTTGTCTCGTCAGGCTTGGGCATGATGAACTGGTGCTGGGAGAAAAGATCGACGGCGGCATCTTGTTCTTGTTCTTGTTCTTGTTGTTGTTGTTGTTGATGTTGTTCGTGCCGGCTACCATGCATGGTTGACGCGTCCCCGTCCTCGTCCTCCTCGCTATCGGTTGTCGTTGTGTAGGACCCCGTCGTCGTAGAATCTTTTCGTCTTCGCCATGGCTGGGCAAGAGAGACGCTGTTCCGGACACCCTGAAACCGTCCGATTTGGCTGTAGAAGGATGAGTCAGGCGCTATTGACGAATTTCGTCCGAAGGATGGAAAGGGGCGGGTGTCGAGTTCTGAGCGGACTGAGCCTTCGTCGTCCGTCTCAGTGAGCCATGAGGATGGTGGTCGCGCTGCTGTAGGACTGTGCAAGCCGGATTCGACGTCGCTTGTTCTTCGGTCCCACCGGCCTCGAGTTCGAGGGCTGATCATGGATGAAGCCATGGATTCGGTTGCGTTGCCGATGCTGACGCTGAGGAGTGACCGTGATGTTAGGGGAGTTTCTATACCGAGGCCATCGTTCCGCGATTGTCCGGTGTTTGCGAGAATGGCGGTAGCGACAGAATTTGGGGAACTCATTGTGAGGTTATTGCTGGTTTTTCATTGAGGTACCGTCGTATGAAGCGCCTTGTCAAATAATGTGAGAATACGGTCAATGGTGAGAGTCGGGAAAAGAAAAGTGAGAAAGAAGTTGGGATAGGATCCGAGCTGACAGTTACATCGAAACAACAATGCGATTGATGCCTGTTTGACCTTCAATATCCACTTTAAAGATCCCTAATCTCCCCCATTCTTTTTCTTGCTTATTTTCTCGTTTTTTTTCACCGGATATTTTCCGCTTCACTTTCTTGAACTAGCACCAAATCCTCTGCAGATCCAGGCCTTCGCGGTTGGAAACTCGATGAGCACGCGTGGTTGACCGGGTCGTCCCGCGTAAAACCAAGACAATGACCATCGTCAATGTCGGGTGACCAAGGAGCCAAGTTCGCCAAATTCATCCCCCCCGCAGGCTCCGATGCTCGGGCTCCGCAGTGGTGATCCCCTCTGGCAGGGCTTGTGTGGGAGGGGACAGTTGAAAGCGGTCTAGCGGGTCCAGTGGGCTAGAATCCTGGTCTCTCGGTGCATGACAATGGCTCCTAGCCCGGGGTGTCAGAAAGTGGGTGCGGAGGCTGAGATGGGACGTTACCACGAGGTTTGTTTTATTGGTCATTGGTTTTTTTATCCTTTGCAAAGAGCGTTCTTCAGCTCATGTAACACTTCTTTGCCTGAAATGTTGAAGTGTGGGAGCCGGCTACCGAGGATGTCAATGGTACACTAGTGTATATCGGAGTGCGGTGGTGTAGTTGCTGCGTTCTGCCATAACATAATATTTGAGGCACCTACCTAATCAGGTCACGCTCCTCTCCGGAGATAATTAACACTTCTCTCAAATCCGGTGGGCGGATATAACCACTCGGTCGAGTGAAATAATTATGGCTCTTTCTAGCATATGCCATCCTTCTATGGCCTCGAACGCCGGCTACTGAGCTTTCCCTCCACATCGAACCATGTCCCATCCATTATCAGAACCGATAGCCTACGCCTGGGTGCTAGCCAAAGCAGCGGGCACCAAGATTCCCGCACCGGTGATTCCTCCATCATGACAGGGCTCTAAAGTTACCCGTATCTGTTTCCCTTGGGCGGCGAACTCTTCTTGCGTGATAAAATCCAAGAAGGCTTGCGTGTCTTTCAAGTAATCTTGGAAGTGCTGGATACAGCCGCCAGTGTACCCTACCACAAGCTCTTCAACGCTGTCCCCGTTAGCGACGCTGTCTTGGACTGTTTCTGACGGGTCAGGAATCTCGTCAGCGCAGCGCAAAAGTCCAATGGTGGCTGCCGCAACAATGCCTGCTGCTCGTGTTTGGATAGCCTTGGCTATCTGATGTAGGGCTTCCGCATGGGTCGATGTCCATGTGAATGTCGTATCTGCGGCCAAGTCGAACTCTTTCTGTAACTGCTCCAGGATGTCGCCCTTGTGGCTTTCCGGGTAAAAGTGGCTGAGGAAGGTTGTGGAAAGACCAAAGCGCTGGTGAAGCCTCTGCGGCAGATCGTCGGGCGAGACGCCATGAACCGTCGTCAAAAAGTCCACAAATATCAGCCTAGCCAACTCGCCCAGATAACGACCAGCGGTCATGTACTCTAATGGCTGGAAACCGGGGGTTTCGCCTGCCTTGTCTAGCTCCTCGTCCCAGCGACTGATCAACCCAAGCATGCGCAGCGGCGCTGCTGACCCGTTGATGCTCCATTCTGTGTTTACCGCAATCCCGACGTCCAAAAGATCCTGGTCCTGCTGAACACTGATCAGATCCGGGAATTTGTTTTGGTGCAGACTGCTGAGCTTGAGGGGTATCGTAGCATTACATCCAGTACCGACGATGAGGCCCATGGCTGCTTTCTGGTTCGGCGCGGCTGGGTATTGGTATACAAATGATACCAATGTAGCCACAGCATCGTTGGTGATGGCGGCAATCTTTATAGGAGGTAGGTCGGCTGTCCTGTGCTGTTCGTACCCCTTGAGAAGGTGACCACCGAGGTCAAGGTCTGATGTGATGGCGAAGCCCTTGCCCATAACCATCAGAGTAGCTTCGGAAAGTGAGGTCTGCTTCATGGGGAAGCTGAAGGTGACGCCCATGGGCAGCTCTTCCTCCGAAGATAACCCCCATGTTTCACATCCTTCACGAACCACCTGTGCAATGTGCTCTCCAACCCACCCAAATAGACGCTCGGAGTTCTCGTTTTTTAGGTGATCCAGAATAGGCCATGACTGCTCGAGGAGACGATTTAGGCGACGAGCTTGGCCGTCGGGTAGGAGCTCCACGAAGCCCACTCTCAAATTTGAACCACCACTAAGTCGCAAGTCAATATCAAGTACCGGTTTACCAGGAAAACTTTGGGGGCATCCTACATGTCCATGGCAAGGAAGCTATTTGTCACATTGTCAGCAAGCTACCACCACGAATTCTCAAGTGCCGAGATGTCGGATAAGCGCCATTAATACCCCTGAGATACTTGCATGATCCCATGCATTTATAGCATACCGATGGGTAGATGTGAAGAACTTACCGACCGGTACTTTGGCGTCCCTCGGGCCTCAAGATGGACATGGAAATGGGAGTCGGTAGGAACTGGTCCAAGGATTCGGAAGACAGGTATTTGAAGTTGGAGTAGAATTCCCTGGAGAGTTTCAAAGCAACGGCATTGTCCAGAGCCAAGGGCTCCAGAAACTGGCTGATGGTGGTCACAGCCGAGGGGGACATGGTTGCCAAATTCTTTTTTGGTGGTTGAAGGTGAGGTCTAGGGAGGTCTGGTTGCTAGTTGGCGATATCGCGTATTCATGTCTTGTCGGAATTGAGATGGTCGCTCTGGAAGCTTGAGGCGAGGTTGAGGGGAGGCTGAGGCATGTGGTTTTATAGAACCGCTTGATTCAATAGTCTGAGGCTGGGCAGACTTAGAGGGAGGAGCCGTTGTCCATGAATCACGAGCGCTTACTCGGGCTTTAGGTTGAATCAAGTAAAGTCCATGGCCCAGGGAGGAGTAAGTTGGATGGGATTGTAGAGGATGTTGTGGATTGTCGCGGAGGACGGAGGACCCTCCACTGCCATTGACAGGCCAGGCGGTCGATGTCACGTATCATCGGAAACATCCATCGGAGTTTATGGGTACTGAGGGTACCAACCGTTACTTACCAACCAACAACCAGCAATTAGCAACTGGCCACAAAGACCCGGGAGCAATCAGCATGCCGCTTTCCATCCCAACACAATGGCAGGCAAGGCTGATATGATTGACGATGTTGCGGAGTTTGGGATGACAAGTTGCGATTGGTTGCGGTTGGTCGCATGTAGTAGATAGATTAGGTACCGGCATCTCAGAACGTACAGGTTGAGGATGTCCCTGAATTAATTGTTAGCACACCCGTCTCCATTCGGGACGAAGCAATCGAGGGTACCTGCGTGAGACCTCTCATCAACCGGGCCATGTGGCCAGAGGGCAAATGATTTTCGATAAGAGTGCTTTTCAATAATAATCTAACTCGGAAACATATCTCGTGGTGATCTTTCTAATAACAGCTCTTGCGTCTGATGACTGAAAGACACGAAGCCATGGCCCGGGAAACCTAGTAGGTAACTGCTCGCCTGATAGCGGGCAACTGCTACATTGCCTCGCTTGTCTGGCAGGATATGTGAGAAATAAATGCAACGGACTTCCGTAGTCCTTCGGCGTATGTGCATTGCATTTTATTTTCACACAACCTGTCTGGAAGGCGTGGCCCGTGTACTACGGTGGATAAAAGGTGCATTTCGCTTGGGATTCCTGTACTTCTTCTTCTTAACCATCAATACCACACTACCGTAGTGGGAAAATGCTGAACAGGACAAGTCTTGGAGAGCTTGTTAAGCGTTCCAAGAGATGTGTGGGTTATAAGTCTTGTCGATATAATAAGCCTTGTAGACTCTAGGCGGCTACCTCCTCATATATTGAATTTAATTAGTATAAAATATAGTACGTAAATGTGGGTCCGTTAAAGGTATTGTAATAAAGTCAGTTGTAGGGGATTATGTTGCTAATAATATGATTTGTTTAGAGGGTAGCGAAAAGATTCTATTTTTTATAGTTTGTGCAACTCGAATGTATAGATAATTTTAGAGGTATATATTAGCCGTATAGGCTACTTTTAATGTTTATTGTTACGAAATACCGTTAAATACTATACGTATGGATTACCTAACCCTATGTTAGGGGGGAAATATTAAAGACCTGATTAAACCCAATACTAATAAGAAGAAAAAAAGGAGTAAGAAAAAAGAAAGAAAAAAAAAGAAAATTTAATGACGGTTATGACGATAGATAGTTATATAGTCCTTTTATTGTATTAGAGAGGTAATACTACCGTTATTAGTAGTAGAGATAACGTCCTTAATTGCGTTAGTTAAATTATTATTTTCGTTATATAAATTATTTATTTAATTAGTACTAATATTATTATTATTACTACTAGTATTATTAGTACTACCGTTAGTACTGCTAATATTACTCCGAATACTACTTTGAGTAGTACAAGTAGTAGGAATTTTACTTCCCCGATTATTCGGCCCCTTAATTGGCCGATTACCCTTACTCCCACGAGTAGCAGGAATAGGGGAGCCGGAAGTAAAGGCGGAGGTAGTAAGGGAAATAAAGGTGGAAGTAGTAAGTGTCCGGGCTATAAAGTAATTAGGTAGGGGGATGGGAATTTATTTAGCGGGAGTAATTTGCGTAGCCGGAGTAGGATTAGTAGCCGGGTTAGAAATAGGGTTAAAAGTTGGAATAGGAGTGGGAGTAGTAGCAGGAATAGTAGTGGTAGGAGTAATAGTGGTAGGAGTAGTAGCGGTAGGAGTAGTAGAAGTAGCGGGAGAGGAGGTAGATTACTATTATTATTATTATTAATATTACTATTATTATTCTTACTGCCTTTTTTTACGAGCCTTATTATTCGTACCCTTTAAGAATCTGGATGTAGAAGTCTTTATACGTTTACGTATATATATATTGTATATAAATTATAGTAAATCGGTACTCTATCTATTCTTAAAGACCTCCGTCATTTTATTTGTAATTATAATATTAAAGAGTATATATACTTAAAGAATTTATAGTAAATTTATTCCGAATTATATAAAAGAGTGTATATTTAATTAAAGAGCTTCGTTAATATAGACCACTTCTAACTAATATTTATCGGAGTGATGTTCGTTACTCCGATGGATACTTGCTACCGCTGCTATATATACGTAAATTTTTTAATATTCTTGACGCTTATGTAATAATTACGATTAATATTTTATTATTTGTAGTGAGTATACGGCGAGCGATTTCCTAAAACGCGTAAAAATTATTGATCGATTAATTAGAGGAGGAGTAGCAGTGTAAATATAGTAATATACAGTAGTAGTATTAGAATTTTGTTATTTTTGGATTTGGTCACTTAGTGCGTAGTGTGGGTGTGTATAAGGCGGGTAGCTAAGGGGTAGAAGTACGTACATTGGTAGTCTGAGCGTGGAAGGGGAGTAAAAAAAGGGGTATAAGGAGTGTGTGGAGTAGGGCTGGGGCCAGGGTAGAGTAGGGCCGGGGTGGAGTAGGGCTGGGGTGGGCGGGTAGGTACGCGGCCGAATAGGGGTATGTATAAAATACTAGATACCAAATTTAAAATAACTCCTATTATAAAATTAGATTCTAGTACCAGTTTGTGTGTGAACTTTGACCCAAACCCTGACTAGATTCTTGACTAGGTCCTAGCCCAGCCTAGCTTTCTGCGTGCAATAAGACTTGTAGATTCAATAAGGCTTGTGATTGACTTAAGCCTTCCCTAGGCGCTAAGCGTTTTAAACCACTAAAGTCTTACAGGCCTACAAGTCTTGTTCCCCCCTATAATGTGCCCCTTTGGTACCTAAAATCTACTATCTTTGTTCTTGGACTGTCTGGTACTGATAGAGCCTCTTCTCGGTGTAACGCCCCAGTTAAGCGCCATCACAGGGATCCGATTGCTCCTTGGCACTCCACGTTATCGCGCCTGTCTCCACTGTGGATGGCCGTGACGAATGTCTTTTGGACCCCAACATCAGATCTGCCGCCTCTTTCTCTTTTCCCCCAGACTTCAAACTCTTGACCTTGTCCACCATTTCGAAATTTTGTATTACATCAAGCAGCAGTGACACACGGTATCTTTATACGGCAAGGAAACAATATTTATAGCATAATATCGCAAACATGGACGAAAAAACCTTATTGCCAACGACAACACCAACCACCACCAACCCACCACCTATTCCGTCCAAACCCAACAACAACCACCAAAATGGCCGCGATAAACACGCCCTCCGTCGCTTCCTTATCGCCGTCTGCCTGATGGTAATGGTATGGACCCTGTGCGGACTCGATATGGGCCTTGACGACAACGACGCCCTATCGGAATGGTCGCTCGAGCAAATGCCATTAACACCCATCAACACCATCACCATACCGACCACCGATGCCGACGTCGGCGGTGACGCTGGCCACGAACTGGTAGCCCTCGAGGCGCACATCATGAGCAAATGCCCCGACGCGCGAGACTGTCTTAGGGAGCTGGTGCTGCCTGCTATGCAGAGGGTTTATACCAAGGTCAACTTTACCTTGTCGTTTATCGGAACGTACGTACTAGCAACAAACAATCCAGAGACATAGGATGAAATGGGATGCTGACGGTGTTTTTCTTGTCGATTGCAGACCGACCAACGGCGATGATGGAGTTGCTTGCAAGCATGGCCCAGAAGAGTGTAAGTGGAAGATTCCCGTTCTGGGAAATAGACGGATGTGTCACGAGTGGAGACTGATATGACCGATTTGTTCTTTAGGCCTGGGAAACATCATTGAGCTTTGCGCCCAGAAGCTATACCCCGATCCCAAGAGCTTCCTTGGCTTCACTATGTGTTTGACCAAGAACTACGATGAGATCCCCCAGCGCAGCTTGATCGAAGACTGCGCGCTCGAGCACGCCATCGATTTTGACGAGCTCAACAAGTGTGCTACCCAGGACGATGGTGCCCTGGGCATCGGTTTGCTCAGGGACAGCGTCAAGAGAAGTGCCGATGTATGTCTTCCTTCTTCCCCTCTACCCCAAATCACACCGTCGTATGGTATTATGTGGTATCTAACATACTTCTTCTCTCCCCTTCAGGCCGGCGTAACAAAAAGCTGCACCGTCCGCCTAGACAACGAGATCTTTTGCATCCGCGACGGCGGCCAGTGGTCTGACTGCCCTCACGGCTCCAGCGTTAATGACCTAGTCCTGGCGGTAGAGAAGCTGTACGGACGTGAGCTCTAGAACATCTATCTAAATAGTCCTCTTAATTTAATTCTTCAGTTCCTCTCCCACCTGTTTTTGCTCCTGCTGCTGCTGCTGCTCCTTCTCCTTCTTCTTCAACGGCCCAAAGACCTCCTTCCACAAATCACTCTCCTCCCCAAGCGTATAACACATAGTCAACCTCTCCATTCCCGCCTCCCCATCCCCTTCCATGGCCTCCAACGTCTCAATAATGCTATCCAACCCCACCGCCTTGCCCACCGCCTGCGTCGCCCCGGCCTCCAGCTGCACATGCACAATGTGAATGTGAAAGTGATAATACGTCGGCTGGTAGTGCACATAAAGCTTCAACTGGTCCTCCTCAATGGTCGGGTAAACCTGTGTCGTGATCTCGACAAATTTCTTCTTCATATGCCTCAAAAACGGCACATGTTTTTTCTTTAGGTCCCTCAAGCTCCAGAGATCCCTCCGTTCCACAAGACCCAAAAGGTGCAGCGCGTCCAGCGTCTTGCGGTCCCAGTTCAGATCCTGCAACAGCAGAAACCCTTCCCCGTTCGGGTCCTGCCCGTAGGGGGTCCGGTAGATCACGTCCTCGACTTCCGAGAGGCTCTCGATGATGTTGAAGACCCAGTTCAGCCGGCCGGATTCGCGCTGCGCTTGCATGTAGGGGCGCACGTGGTCCCGGTAGATGGAGGGGGTTTCGGATACGTAGCGGACTGCTTGGCGCGAGTACTTGGCGATGTGTTTGGGCGTGCAGGGGTAGATTAGGTTGATTTTGAGGTCGGAGAAGTCATCTTCTTCTTTGTTTGTAGGAATGGCGCCGCTGCTGGCCATGTACCAGTTGTAGACGTCGTTGGCGCCGAGGTTCTTGATCGTGCGGAGGGTCAGGGGCGCGGCGGAGAGGTAGTCGGTTGAGGTCGGGAAGGGAGCGCGCTCAAGGATTAGGAGGGCGGGGGAGGAGTCGATGGTGCCCAGGAGGGTGGTACGGCGGCCGGCTTGGTCTGTTTAGGTGGAGGATGGGATGTTAGTTTACGCCGCAGTTCTTTATCTTGGTGAAGCTTCCCAGATGGCTTTCTCAGCGTTTCCCCCCTTTGATGTAGTCGGATCCTCGGGTGTGAAATCGTCGTGTAAGAGAGGGAAAGTGGAACGGTTACGCACCTTGGTTCAACTGGCGCTCGAACTTGAACTTGGGCACAAGGGCCTCGGCGTTGGCCTTGACGTCGGACATTGTCGGGGCTCGGGTGTTGTTTGGCTCTGTGTGGTGGTCGTACGTATTCTGAAGTTGTTTATTCGTGCTATCTGGAATGTTTATATGGGGACCTCGAAGTGGTGTTTCTTCTGGTGGGAGCTTGTCGAAGCAAAAGTTGTTTGAAACTCGGTAAAAAAAAAAAGTTGAGACGAACGAACGCCCTGATCAGCGCCTGAAGCGCCCTCCCCGCAGCGGGGTCAAGCTACATCTGCGGGATTCCTCCTAGCGAGGCGGGAGGGGCGTGGAGCAAACACTCGGCCAGCCGGCGAGCCAAATGGGGGTTGCCGGGAGACCCCGAGAGCCTTCACGATGTTTTGTTCCCCGTCCAGGCCCGGACTGTGAGAGGAGCCATCCCAAACATGAAGCTATCCCAAACATGAAGCTTTCCTCATGTTTGGTCGAGATGGATTTGGCTATACTTGCCAAAGAAGAATGGGAGTACGTGTCTATTGACGTAGATGTCTTTTGAGAAAGAAAACATCATAGCTCACTACCCATACTTCTTCCCACATGCCCCCTGTTCTCCCAATCCACTAATTCTTTACCTGGTGAAGCATTGCTGTCATCCGTTAGTAGTTTTCATCCTGACGCCATCACTGGATGAGCTCGAACTTCACCGAGTCTAGCAGACATTGTTCACTTCTTTTCTCATCCCAGGCCTTGGATGCTCCGGCATCATGTCGAATACTCTCTCCGAAACCCGAATCTGAAGCCCTCTCGAGCGGGAGGATGTCTAGCGTAGAGCCTCCCGTCATAGTGGAGAGTTGCGATTTCGGGATGTGTTAAAGGGGAATGTTGGTTCATGGAGGTCCATTCTCTTACACCGAGACCAACACCAGGCGGATGATGTAGCATGTGTCCCTTTAGTAACCCCTTAGTATACAGTCATTGCTTCAAAGAGGCGACGAAAAACAGTTAGGCAACAAAATAAAAAATACTATGAATTGAGCTCAAAAGCGTCGTGGGCAGCTTCGGGTGTCCTGCCATAAGCTAGTAGTGTAGAAAAGATATGCTCAACAAAGAAATGTTTGTCCGTAAGGTATGCAATGTGTGTAAATAAACGTCAGTGTCCCTCCCATCCATGGGTTGGGATGTCATCCTGAAGGACGAAAATTTTCATGTCCAAAGAACCTCCTTCCTCCCGGCCCTGGGAATGAAAAGATTAAGAAAAAAATAACAGCGCCTTCTCTTGTGGTTAGCGATCGAGCTCTCACTTAAGCTCATCGACCTTTTCAGCATTCCTTTCCACAACCGCCTTCAAAACTTTCAGCCTCTCCTCGGTAACCCTGATGGCCTCTTGGACCTCTCGTTCGTTCATCTTCTCCTCCCTCAACTTTTCTTCCGCGGTCCTGTACTCCGCCTCTCCCTTTTTCCTCCCATTGGCGGGCTTTCTGACGCCCATTCCGCCTCTTTCCTCACTTCCACCGAGGCCGACTCCACCACCGCCATGCAACCTGTCTAGTCCTGCCCTGTCTTCAATCCAGTCCCAAAGATCGCTCTCTTCTCTCTTCCACATCTCCTCGTACGCTGCGACTCTCTGCGGATAGTTCGCGTATCCCATTAGATCTCCGCGGCCTGGGACTATGACTGCACCGGAGCGAGCATTGTTCATTCCAAGTCGAAGCCATGTTGAGACCAAAAGTCCTACCAACACGCCGTAGAGAATATTTCCAGTGAGGATTGGACGCAGAATATCCACGATAGGACCCAAGAACGGACGAAGAGGTTCCAGCAGTCCCCAGTCCTGCTTCTTGGCTGGCGTATGCTTGACGCTTTCTGCATCACTGGTTGGCACAGACGCAGCCTTGCTCTTGCGGCCACGCTTCTTGCCGCCTTTGGGTGCTACACCATTGGTTAGGGTAGTCGAGCGAGGACGAGATGAGACGGCAGCCTTGAGCGCTACGAAGAGGTCTTTGGCGTATTGTGCTTGGCCTTCGTTTGCACCACGTTCAATTGCGCCTGTGAAGCGTTAGCAAGGACCAAGTTTATTTAGGAGCAGAGAGAGTAGAACGTACCTTTAAGCCAGCTCTTGCCGGACCATTCGATGGTGCAGTTGATTTGAACTCTTGTGGCGTTATTTTCGGCCCAAGAGAGACAGTACTTGGTCTTGACCACGAAGATGTTGCCGTTTGGCACATCCGGATTCTGCGTCGAGACTGTAACATTGACAGACTTTTCGAAATCGAGATTGTCAAGTTGTTCGGTAACCATGCACTTTGTCTGCTTAGGTCCAATGGAAGCATTCAAAGGCTTGATATAGTTGTATGTCCTTGTCTTTTGCTCGTCGTTGAGGCCCTTCTTATCATCCATGTTGATCTCAAAGCACTTCTGGTCGTTAAGAAGCCACTTTGCCATCCAGGCTGACGATGGTGCGCCGAAGAGGAGGTTGTAAACCTTACCCAGTGGTGCGGGAACGACATCGTCTCCTATAACTCTTTCGTAATGGGTTCCGACGTCTCCGCACTCGGTGGGTGAATGTGTAGTCGGGCCAGGGAAGTCATCCGCGGCTGTAGGTTGCGCTGTCTCGTCCTTGTTTTCCGTACTGCCGGCACCCATCATTCCCGACGGCTTCCGTGAAACTGCTTGTTCTCCGGAGGCATCTGCTGCGCCAGCGTCTGATGCCTGTGTTCCATCTTGATCGTCTCCGTTGTCCTCATCCTCGTCGTAAACGTCGTCCTCGCCATCACTGCCGCTTTCGTCGTCGGATCCGGAATCGCTGCCGCCTTCCGGTGCCGACACGACTTCCGCTTCGGCGTCGATCTTTTCGGTCCTGTCACCGCCAGTACCCTCCAGCCGAACACCGTTGAGCGAGCTCTGCAAGTGAGGATGACCCAGTTTCCAAATCTTGACAATCAGGTCGTAAGTGCTATCACGGCCAGTAAATGAGGCGAAAATGTGCTTGGCATGAAGCGTGGAGATTTCCAAGCCGTTCTTGAAGACAAGGGCTGTCATTCTTTTTTCAACGGCAACGATCTCATCGAAACTCATGACCAGGGTTGTGACCCATCCGAAAATGTTACTGCTGAAGCACAGGTGGCCCTCAGACACGTACAGCCTACCGTGGACAAGAATATCACGCTGAAGGGCACAGCTGTAGTCTTCGATCAGGTAATCATCGTCCGGAACACTCTTGAAGAGGGTGTGGAAGTCCCGGTTGCGCCTCTTATTGGCAACTGCGAATCCCGTGAGCTTGGGGGCATTTGCAGGAGGCGCCGAGCCATTAGCAGCGGCGATTGCTGCAGCGACTGATTTCCCGCTTGTGCCCGAAACGGCACTGGCGGCACGTTTCCTTCGCCTGCTAATGGCGCTCCGAATGCTACCGCTTCGGTGAACGCCCGATCCTGTCTTGCCTTCGTATACGCTCCCGTTCGGTGTTGTGCTGCGTTCCCCGCCGGGGGACGGTTCATAGAGCGATCGGGTCCGGTAGAAATTCGCGTCTTCAGGCAGCGTAAGCTCGGCATTGCCATTGGCGTCGACAGGAGCAGACTCGGATCTGCCTCGAGCTTCGTGTTCGGTGACTTTTATAGTTGCCGGAGCGGGGGCTGTAGGTGGCGGGTCAACTATGCCGAGATGGCTGAGACTGAGGTCGCCATTCCCAAGCGTCTTGACCGCAGGCTCCTTGGACCCCATATCTGCGCCGGGAAAGGCTTCCGTAGCTGACTCAACTTCCACGTTATTCACGTCGTTGTTACTGCCTCCTTGTTGACTTGTGAAACTCGACACAGATCTGTTCTTGCCGTTCCCGGGTGCCAAGTTCGCGCTTGAGATTGTGCTGCTTAATGTGTTTACTGTGTTCTGAGCAGCCGAGAACATGGAGGAAAAGAAGTTTGCAGTTGGGTTGCTCGGGTTCTCGGGAGTCGGCGTTAGGGGCGCTGAGGTGATGTTGGACAGTTTGCTCGGACCAATACTACCGGAGCCGGCCCTGCTTCTTCCTCGTGGCGAACTCATGTTCCCTATCAGCGCATGCGGATTTCTGCGCGGGCTCGGTGGAGCTGTAGCTACTGGGCTATTCTTCGCTGAAAGAGCAGGCGCACTATGATCTGTTGGCGTAGGAGGGGTGTTCACGATAGCCGGGGTTGCTGAATCGGTGGTCGACTTTGGTGGCGTTTGCGGAGGAACAAGAGGGTTGAGTTTCTGGCTTTGTGAGAGTCGGCGGATTCGGTCCGTTGCCTTGTTCACGGTATCCGTTACAAGTCCAGAGGTGTTTTGGAAATCGCCCGTATCGGTAACAGTGATGTTGGGAAACTGCTCTGTGCTGCCTTCTCTCGATCGCAAGATGTCCTTTACTCGGCTAGCGGAGGGCACCCTTTGGGGCAGGGCGTCGTTGGTTGGTGCGATTGGTGTGTCAGCGCGCTTGGCAGAATATGCGGACTCGAGACTGTCGGTGCTAGCTGCAGGCAAGGTCGAGGAGCGAATCGATAAGTCGGAGAGGTTTGAATCGGAAGTTTGGACTTCTGGAAGATGGGCGGCCTGCACGAGCGGTGACGACGTCGTCAAATGTCCGATTTGGGAAGGATGGGTCGAGATTGGGGTGGGGCGGGCTGACGCGCTGGCACTGAAATAGAAACCGGACTGTCAGTTCTGTAACGGGAGATTGGGGCCAGCCAAGATGACGATATACAAAGAAACCTGGAAAGGGAGGGATGGGGGATAAAACAAAAGGAAGAAGGAATGTTGGGCCGAGGATAATGTTGAGGAAGAGGGTTTGTGAGGCTGTAACCGTGAGATGGATGGGAAGCCAGTGTTATTGTAGAGGTATCCTTCTGCAGCGAGCACGGGGGAGGCGCAGAGCCATGAGTGGGGGAGACGGTTCCCAATGTCTTTGTGGTGGAGACGTCCAATGTTGCTCCATTACGGCTCCGTGATCCTGGAATCTTGGATACCCTGTCGTCGCCTAAAGGCTCTCCATTTCGCTCGGACTCTAGCGCCTAGAGAGCCACTGGACTGGGACGCTTTTGGGGGAGATGGACGTAATAGACTGGAGACTGGAGGAGACTGTTCACTTACTATTCAGGGTCCGGTGTCGACTCGTATGGCACCGGCGTGGAGAGCGGTTGGGAGTCGGGGTACTCTGGATTGCTGTTGATGTTATCGTTGTCGTCAATATTATCCTCCTCAGGCGACCTCGACGACCTCGACCGCGACCTGGATGACCTGTTGGATCTCTCGTCGGACTCGGCCGTCGAGGTGGCTTGGCTGACGAGAGAGCCTGCTCTTCGTGTCTGCGCCTGCGCCTGCGTGGATCTGGTGGACTGCAGCAGGAATCCGGGGACGGGTACTGGGACTGGAACTGCATCATCGGTCCCAATCGAGCCAGTGCTACTACGACTCGCTGATTCTGCCAATGATGACCGTCTTCTGCGGCGGTCGCGCCGCTTAGCTGCTATGGCTTTGGGCAGAAGCTTCTGTAGGCCGGTGGGAGCGTTATCCATGTTTCAGACAGACTGTTGTTTGCGCCGTGATGGTATCAAAGAAAGTGTGTTCGGGTGATAAAGACGAGGTCGCAGGGTGGTCGGTCGTTTGTTGAAAAGGGCAGGGTGTTCATTCCAGTCGACGTGATGTTGTTGTAAAACTTGTAGGTGATGAAGGGCTACAACAGTCTGTTAGTGATATGGAAGCTTCGAATGGCTCCTTTGAAACCATTGGCGCTATGACATCGTCATTCATCCAGGGCGCAGCGAACCTTGATGGCAACCCTGAACCAGGCATTCAGCGAATCCGAATCCTCCAAAGTTCAACAAGCAAAACCAACCTCAGTCTTGAAGTCGTGGCTTGATGTAGGTAGTATTCGCTTCCACTTGTGTTGCAAACTGTCGTCCATGTAGGAACTCACATAACCTGAGGTGCTGTCTTGGTTGTACGGACTGACAGAAAGACTTGTGTGAAACTGCCTTCGGATCTTTTTTTTTTTTTTCTTTTTTTTTTTTCTTCCGTTTGAGTACTTGTTTCCCTGTGACGGAAAGCCCCTCTTGACGATACCGTGTGCGACGTCTTGTGCAACGGCAGCGGCGAGAGACCTCTAGATGTAAAGTCTTGAGGTTCCTTTCAGTTTGCTTCTCAATTCGCGAATCCGAATGTCCCAAAGAGATCTGCAACCGTGAACAGCCTCAAAAAGAAACCCGCCAACTGTACCTGCTGTACCTGCTGCTGTAGTGGTACCCCGAACTTACTGATAAGATAAGGCGAACCCCTCGTGGCCCATCAGCCCCGTCAAGCTGAGGTCAACTCCACCTCACTCCCCGCTGCTCGTCCTCGATGACATGTCATCACGAACATCAACTCGGAATGTCCTCCTTGATTGCCATTGTCTTTGACGCCCAAGCATATCCGACAAAACATCTTCTCTGATGACGAACTTCATGTGTCTCCAAGGCTTCAACTACCGTATAATCTCGGGAAATTGACTTTCGGGAAAGCACATACGGGTAGGGTTAAAGGTGTCTTTTTACCACATACATGCGTTTTTTCTGCTTTTTCCTACATTTGACACCTTTAACCCTACCCGTATGTGCTTTCCCGAAAGTCGATTTCCCGAGATTATACGGTATTTACTATTGCTTCTATCAGTCAGGCCCTCCTCGGCACCTGGACAGTAACCCTCCTTATCCCCCCTTATTGTTCCCGTCCATGTACAACAACAAACACGAAACATTCGCTCGATTACCCTCTTTCGCCAACCATCAATTCCGACCTTGCCTGCAAAACTTAATGTTTCGACTTGGAGAAACATGGTGTTTCCCTGGGGGCATATCAAGGCGAACTCGCAGTGTATATCCCAACGGGTTTCCTTTCCCTGCTCTCATACTATGCCGCCGTACCTATACACGGATACAGAACCGCTAACAGATCCCAGACGAATGTCGCAGGTCCATCCACGGAAACAACGAACTTCCTCAACTATTTAATAATATGAGCTCGGCAGTTTCAGCATCCTTGACGAAGATCCGACATGTGCGCGCCCCTGGATGCCGCAATGCTGGAAGAGCCACGCGATGCCAGGTCCGTGAAGGAGTCGTGGTTCCCATTTATAAATGCAATGTCCGTTGAAAGTTTTCAACAATTGGCGGTTAACAACCGCCCGGCTAGCTCAATCGGTAGAGCGTGAGACTCTTAATCTCAAGGTTGTGGGTTCGACCCCCACGTCGGGCTCAATTCCCGATGTTCCCGGTTTACCAGGACAACATCTCCCTTCTTCGCGGGAAAGGGTTTCTTTCTCTCATTTTTTTTTTTCGTTTTGGTCACTGCCGATCTCGAGCATGTGAACTGGTGTTACCGTGTTTCATGTTCCTAGCGTCACTTTATTTTGAATATCTCGGTTTCGACGGTCATAAGGAGCCGGGAATACGCGGAATTTGCAGTTACGGTAATTCATGGGTTAGATTACGATCGGAGTTTCCCAATGTAATGACATTTTTAATTCGAGCCTCACGATCAGTCTAACTGCAACCTATATCTCGAGCTGAACAATAATATACCCGGAATAACTGTCGCTTCCTCTTGTCAACGCCTGATGTAAAGTATCTTGAGCCGCTGATGGTCGTCGCAATGGCTTCCAATCGCTGTTTTCAGCGGTCATTGATGGCCATGGTCGGTCGGTGTTAGTGGTTGGCTCGCCGATTAGATAAGGCGCGCTCCTGTCTTACAGCCAACGAATGTCACAAGCACGACGCAACTCTCCGACTTTCGCAACACCCCGCCATCACCTGCACTTATCACAGTTCTTCCTCTTCCCTTGAACCGAGATCATCCAAATCATTCCGCCTGTGCTGTCATCGCGTGCAAGATCAGTGAGGAATTCGTGGTGATGCATCTCAAGCGTACACAAGCATGGATTTGTCTCCCTTAGTAAAGGTACGTTATTGTCGCTTCTCTCCCTAGGCAATCGCATCTGGCCAGGGCAAGATAACCGAGATGGAAGTCGATGTCGGATGAGCTTAAATCTCGCTAATAATAACACACCTCTAGGCCCACGACCATGCGAGAGCCGCGTCAGTTGCGACCCAGACCGCCGACACCACGGTCGCCATTAACCACCATGCCCAGGCCGCTGGCGAGTTCGCAAACGCTGCAAAGAGCACTACTAGCACCGAGGCCCTACGGACGCTGGCCCTCCTAGAGCAGCATCACAAGCGCTTGGCCGAACTGCTAAAGGTGCCCATCGAGCCAACAAGTCAGCCATCGAGTGTTGATAGTGACATTCCTGAGGAGGATGAGGAAAAGGCATCAACCAGTCAGGATGACGGGATCAAGTCAGCCAAATCGGACAGGGCTGGACCGCCTTCGCTCGCCACACCACCCAGCGCAGCTAAACCACTACCCACTCTTTCACAACATCCCAGATACCGTCAGCGCGACCTTTCCTCGTCCATCGCCAGCAAGCTTGCGTCAGCAAGAGGGATAAGATCGAAATACCAAGGGCAGAGCCAACCGTTGAACCCCAGCGTGTCCAATGATCAGGCACCCGGCAACTTGGAAGTCCATCCTTGGAACAGAGAGGGCTCGCTGAGGGGTGGAAACAAGGGACACGAAGCGTCTGATAGAGCACAAAAGCAACAGCCGAGCTGGGTGCCTCCAGGGAAAACGTCACCCACCAAGGAAGATGCGGCTGGTTCCTCTTCGAAACCTCAAACATCTGGTCCTGACTCACCTACAGCTAGCGACGACGGTTTCACAAGGTTCTACAGCACATTTGGCAGTCTGATCAACCGACTTTCCGCGCCTCTAGCCTTCGCCGGCCTCCCTCTGACTGCTGAGGACTCCTCGGACACTGCCAGCCCCGTGCTCTCCCCGGAGATCGCGCCGCGCTCAGGGTCAAAGCCGCCTCGTCAGCCCAAGGGAACAACCGTCTCCGTCTCGACCGACCCGGATCTCACCAAGATATACTCTCGCGCCACTCTACGCACCCTTGCTCGCGATGGCCACGCACCCGCCGACTCGTTCTACGTGGTCCCAACCAGCGGCCACACCGCCTCCTACGCCAGCATCCTCAACCACGAACAGAAGGAGAAGCGGCGCTTAGCCGCCTCGATCCACGGCCACCGGGACCATGGTAGTGGTAACCCCATGGAAGACCAGGAAGACGACGAGGACGATTTTGTCGATGCCAGGGAGTCGCAAATCCAGTCCCCGCCCGTGGCCCCATCATCGTCCTCAGCTGCTACGAACCCCTCGGCCTTCCGCAAGAGGCTAGGAAGATCAAAGACGGAAAAGGATTTGACCAACGTGATCGAGGAGCTGCACATGGAGAACCAAACCCTCAAGGACGCGCTCGACAAGGTGAGCAGGAGGCTGCACACGTTTGAGGTGCACTCGCAGACTTCGACGCTGGCGTTGGCGCAGAGTATTCGGTTGCAGCATCCTGGCACAGGCACTGGCGGTACCGGTCACGGATCGCCTATCAATGCTAGTGGCGTGATGGGTGCACCCGCTCAGGGTGCTCAGGGTGGTGCTCGGCCCGAGGAAGTGGCGGCGCTCAAGAGAAAGAATAGGGAGTTGGAGGAGCAGATGATGAATATGACGAGGCAGATGGCGGCGATGGAAAAGGATTATGATAAGCTGCAGAAGACGGTGGAGAAGTATAGAGAACGGTGGGAGCAGTTGAAGGCGGGAGCCAAGGCGAGGAGGGAGGCTCAGCAGAGCTTGACGCAGTTGAGCGGCGGGCAGGGAAGTGGTGGGAATCAGGGAGAGGGCGGTGGTGAAGCTGCCTGAGCAAGATATAAAGGAAGCAAGATGAGCGTAGAGTATATACGGAGTGGTCCTCTAGAGGAAAAGCACAATAGAAGTTGGATAAATGCTGTCTCTAAGCTTGGTTTCGCAATAACAGGAGTGCGTATTGATTTTTTGCAACCCACACGGTAACATGTTGTTGAAATTCGCATCATGTCTAAATTTCCTTCAACCTCGTCCGACCAACATCATCATGCTCAAACATCACATAAATAAACCTTTACTTCACATTCAACCTTAACTCTAACCCTCCCGAGTCCTCCAAACTCCGCGCCCACCTTATCCCCCGGCCCCGGCCCCGACAACCGGTCATTCCCCACTCTAATCCCCGTCATCCCCGGTCTTCCCGTCTTCCGATGATACCTTCCCCGGTACCCCCGGTCCCCATTGTCCCCGACCCCGTTCCACTCCGTCCACTTCCGCCACCGGGAATACCCATGTCTAATCATGCACAAAAAAGAAAATATCCACATAACGCCGTTCCGGGGTCGTATGATGTCACTCAGCCCCCGGCGCATGAGGAAAGGGACAGATTGCGTTAATCAGCTGAGTGAAAATGAGCTGGGTGAAGATGAGCTGAGCGAAGATAGCGAAGAGGGCGAAGACGAGTCGGTTGGGGAGAAGGTGAACGAAGGAATTATCAAGGGCTTGAGCCTGAGGAGGGGAGGGAGGTCAACACGTCGGGTGCCCAGTTGTATTAAGTACCCTTTGGTTGCTTTAGTTCCGTGGTGGTAATAGCGGTGACGGCGCGCGGGTTGAGCGCTTGAAAGAACATCGGGTCGGGGTTGGATATGACGGTGGGCGGGTGTTTGTTGTTGTACGGATGGACATGGTATGCTATGCTCATACCAGACAGAATATTTGTTTAACAAGCGGGAAGATGAGGGCGAGTAAGTACTATGGTGTTGTGAAATGTCAACTGTTGCGATATGTTCCAGTTGGTAAAATGTGGACTTCTTCTGGTATTTTTTTTTTTCGCTGTTCTATCTAGATGACTGTAGACATCTCCTGGTTGATATTTAGCCTTTTGCATCCGTCTCCCAAAGCAGTTAAACTTGGATGAGTTGAACATCGTTGCTGCTCTCTTCCTTCCCTTTGTCTCCTCTCTTCCTCTCCCTCTTCCTGTCTATCCCCCAAACCAAACTCCGATCCTTTCTCTCCCTCCCCTTCCTTTACCAAGCAGTAATATCCTCCACCTCCGCCTCTCCAAAAGTACTACTCTTGGTAATCTGCCCAACCGAACTCTCCACCGCCTCGCTACCCTCAGGGACATCCTTGTTCATAATATCCGGCAACACCTCCCTCAAGAAGTTGAGAATGTACCGATTAACCTGCTCAAACTGCAGCAAGAACGCATCGTGGCCCTCAGGGCTGTCGATCCTTTCAAGGCGGCAGTCGGGGATATGCTGCGCCAGCTCCTCCTGCTCGGCAAAGGTAAACAGCCCGTCGCTCTCGATGCCCAAAACCAGCGTGGGCTGCTGGATCAAAGCCAGCGCCTCGGCGATGGAAGCCGCCCGCCCCCGCGAAACGTCGTGCGTGTCCAGCTTGCGCGTCATGGCGATGTAGCAGTTGCTGTCGAAGCGCTTGACAAACTTGGAGCCTTGGTAGCGCAGGTAGGACTGCGCGGAGAAGTAGGTCGATTGCGGGGGCATGACGTCGCCGCCGGTGAGGCTGGTGATGGTGGCGGTGGTGGTGGTCTTTTGGGGACCGTGGAACTGGGGGTCGGATTGGACTTCCGCTTCTTGGGTGGCATTGCTGGCGGCGGCGGCGGTGGCGGTGGCATCGACGGGGCTGTTGGAGCGAGACAGGTTGGTGCGCTTCACCTTGTGTCCGTCGTTGTGGATGTGGAAGTGCGCCTCCGAGGGGGTCGACGGGGTGGGCCGCTCGCGGATGATCTGCCGGCGGGACGGATCGGGGGTGTTCCGGCCGAAGCGGGCCTCGAAGGAGTTTCGGCTCCGGTAGGTCAGGAGAGCGGACATGCGGGCAGCTCCGAGACCGGTGGAGGGTGGGTCTTCAAAGGAGTAGTAGCCGTCGTCATACTTGGGGTCGGCGTAGATGGACTGGCGTTGAGCCTCACCCCAGCTGATGCCCCAAGCGCTGTGCCTGCTCGAGGTGGCGATGGGAACGACGCATCGCACGTAGTCCTTGCCAAAGTAGGCCCATTCGAGAACAAACATGCCGCCAAGAGAACCGCCGATGACGGCGGCTACCTGGCGCACGCCCAAGTCGTCAAGCAGCAGCTTGTGCAACCTGACATCGTCCCGGATGGTGGTCAGGGGGAACTCGGGGCCGTAGCGACCTTTGGTCGGATCGCCGTCCTTGGCGGTGACGGGGCTGGCGGTGCCGTAAGGACTTCCCAAGCTGTTGAAACAGACGATGAAGAAGCGAGAGACATCAAAGGCCCGACCAGGTCCGCCCAGGAGGGGGCCCCACCAGTCACTCACATCGGCGCTGCCAGTCAAGGCGTGGCAGATGACCATGGCATTGTCACCATCGGCATTGAGAGTGCCCCTGGTGGTGTAGGCCACAGGGACGTTGTGAAGCGTGACACCCGACTCTAGCGTGAAGGAAGGAATCACGGCAATTTGCTGGTCTGGGATGAGAGCCGCGAACGGATTCTCCGGTTGGGATTGGATTCTTTCTTGGAAGTATTCAGCCACCGTTCTTTGACAAGTCAGGGACAGGCATGGGAAGGGGACAAGCGAGTAAACTGACCATATTTGGGTCGGGTCTGACCGTTGGCGACAGCAGTGGTGTCGCTCATGATGAAGTGAGGTGAGTCTAGACTCTGGCGATGAGGATGAGGCTCTTGGACTGAAATGTTTGTCTCCTGCGCGGTATCCCCGGAGATAGGGCTAGTTCAAGTCTTGGCCTTGTGACTTTTTATACAAAGACAGAAACGGGAGTTGTTGTGTATGCGAACGAGTGAGAAAGATCAAAACTCGATCCCAAGCATTCAAGGAGAGGCTGAGGTTCTCAGGCTAGAGACTGAGGCTAGTATCAAGACCCTACGGGAGGGAACAAGTAGGAAACAACTGGCAAAAAAAGCTGCAAGCGTGGATGGCGCAATCGCTAGACTGGCACCGGCCGTGGGGGAGTTGTGGGATCTCCGTCAAAAAGATGACTCTTGAATGGACAATGGGTACAAGGCCCAGGTACCGGAGTTGTCGTCAACGAAAGAGAATCACTTTTGGACGCCGGCAATCGGCCGTCTGGGGCGGGGACCAGGGGGTGGCTGGCCCGTGCATCTCCGGCATTCCCCTCGTCCTGGAAGCGGAGGAGCCCCACGCGGCCCACGATGCCACGCTCCACACTGCAGTTACCTCTACAGTGCACTCCTCAGCACTTCAGGGCCTTCTCCCACTGTCCCAAGTTTGCGACAAATGCAGCCTCATCTGCAAGGCTGAGTCCTTCACTCTCTGCCACAGCTCTTATCGCGTCCCCACTTATTTTTTATCTACTGTGCTGGGACTGGGAAACAGCGGACAGCAACGCAGCACAATAGCAAACCCGCCCAGTGCAACTGCAGCTCTCTGCCTACCGATCCGTCACATTCCCCAAGGACGGTTTGAATCTCCTCGTTCTCCAACAAAAAAACCAACCACCTTCACCAACGAGGCACGGTCACCAAACGACGGACACACCACGTCGCCTTTTTCTTTGTCCGCCATCTGTTCGGTTTTGGGCAACGGACTCTTTATCGTCGCTCATTCATTCAACTTTGTGGTAATTGCATCCTTCCATTCAATTGCGCGCCTCGTGGACGCTTGTCTTTGTCCTCGCATCACCTCTTGGCCTTTGTACTCTCTTTCTGGCCGAACTCTTGACCTTGAAAGCGTCCGTCTACTATCATCGGTCCTTGGAATCATTCTCTTGACGGACATCTTTTTTCTCTGACACATTTCCGTTGCATCTTAGTCAAGATCCCAAGGTGAAGCACAAGTCAACTTGACCTCACTTGCAAACGAGACAAACAACGACAACAAATTTGGTACCCTCATCTCGACAAGGGCGATCAACGAACGAGCAAAGAGCGGACAAGAGCGCCGCCAACGACAATAGATGACGCAACAGCCGTCACTTTAGAGAGAGCAGCACCATGCCTCCCAAGCGCAAAAGATCCGATCATCGAGGCCCGCCCGACTCTGGCCCCTCCAGACCTGCCCCCCATCGACCCGACAATACGTCACTAGGACAGCATGACAGAGGCTATGATGGAGGACGCGGCGGTGGCCGTAATGGGAGAAACACCCGGAGACCCGATCGTCGCGACTCGAATCAGCCTTACAACAGCAACAACAACAACAGCAACAACAACAACAGCAACAACCCCAATCCCCCCATACCGTCGTCCGCTTCCCGCCCTCCGAGCTCTTCCTCGGCCAACAACCTCCCTCCGATAAACACTGCACCACCAACACCAGTCCCGAATCCGAGCGCGGCCGCGCCCACACCCGCCCCGCCACCTCAGCCAACATACCCCTCGGCGCCTCCTTCGCCGATTCAACCTGGTTACGATTATAGCATCATCACCGATGACCGCGTCTCCAGGTGGTCCAAAGGCGCGCGTCAAGAAGTTATCGATCATGGCGTCCAGTCACGCGACGACGAGGACCTTACCGAGGTCGCCGCCATATTCCAGGAACTGATCCACTCTGCTGTCGACGGCCGTCTTCCGGGTTCAGATGCCGGCAAGGTTATCAAGGACATACTGGGCCCCGAGCCTTCAGAGGCTGATCGTGCCGCCCTGGTTTTTGACGCCCATACCTTGTTTCTCGACACTGTAGCGACCTTTATGGACGTAGAAAATGCGCCTTTCCGGCCCCAGCTCCGTGATCTCATGTACGCCACAGAGGTGTCGACTACCCTCATGCGCCAAGTCCTCGACGCTGCAGTTCTTCAACCACTGGGCCTCGTCCGCGATACGTTCGTTCGTGTAGGCATCCGGCAGTCGACGAATCTGCTCTATCGCCAGGCCAACTATAATCTTCTGCGAGAAGAGACAGAGGGCTACTCTAAACTTGTTACCGAACTGTTTACGACTAGCAGTGCGGAACCACCATCCTCCGAGGTCGTGCAGGCTGCGTTCAACAAGGTTATGGGCCTTATTGGAACATTCGACCTGCACCCAGGCCGCGTTCTCGACGTCACGCTGGACGTGTTTGCCTCAGTACTCATTAAACAGTTCAGGTTCTTTATTAAATTCCTGCGCGTGAGTTCCTGGTGGCCCCGTACTCAGATCAAACTCCCGCCTGAAACATTTGTCGGCGGTTTGCCTATATGGGCCCTCCCCGACCACTCCAACTGGGTTGCGAGCGAAGAGGAGGAAAAGGCTCTTGCCGCACAACGCCTAAAACGCGACATTGCGTTCTGGGACAGAGCACGCAAGATCAAGCTTGATGCATTTTTCGAGCTCGGCGGCCGGCAGGTCACCAATTTGGACGACGAGGATCTTCCGGACGCCCGCGCGGAGAGCGGACAGGAAAACAGTATTCAAAAGGAATGGATCAAAATCACCAAAACTTTGCCACCTACTGGTAATCGCGATGCGGCCCAGATGCTGGGCTTCAAGTTGCGTTTCTATACGACAGAAGCTAGGGATAGCGAGGACATGCTCCCTGCAAACCTTCTCTATCTCCTGGCCCTGCTCATCAAGGTTGGGTTCATCACACTAACCGATCTCTGGGAGCATATCTGGCCGCCGGACGACATGATGGAGGCGGTCAAGGAAGCCAGGTTCAAGGAGCTGGAAGAAAAGGAGAGGGCAAACCGACCAGGAGGTGCCGCTAATGCGTTGATGATGGCCGGAGCCCTTCCGGATGACATGGCCCCTCCTCCGATGAACAGTCGCCGCGACATGGCCCACGGAAAAGCTGATGCTGATACCAAGGCCACAGCCGAGACTGCCGAAGAAAAGCCCAAGCTTCCAGAACCTGATGACCAAAAGGTCATTCTCCTCAAGTGTCTCCTCACGATTGGTGCTATCCCGGAATCTCTGTTCATCATAGGACGACATGACTGGATTCTTCAAGCACACCCCGACCTTATACCTCTTGTACACCGCATCCTTCACCACTCTGTCGAAACCGTGTACCAACAAAGCCGCCCTCAACCCAAGTCTCCGGCCTCGGCCAATTGTCCTGGCAAGAAACTTCCGGATGTGGACCAATCCGGGGTTCCTAAAGGCAGTATTAGGCTCGCCGCCATCACTCCTAAACGCGCCTTGAGATGGCCGTTCCCGGACGCTGAAACCAGCGAAGGAGGTGGATACCGCTTCTACTGGGACGAGTGGGCGGATAATGTTCCTGTCTGCCAAACTGTCGACGACATCTTCACGCTCTGCGATACCTTTGTGAACGTTATTGGCGTGAGCATCGGCCAGGATGCTGGTCTGATTGCGAAGCTCACAAGCATCGGCGCCAAGAGCATGGCCGATGATCAGTCACCGGCCAACCGTTCCCGGTGGTTGGCGTTACTCAAACGCCTCCTCGTGCCTTCCTTGAGTCTGCTGGAAACCAACTCCTCGGTTGTCGATGGCGTCTGGACCCTTCTCAAGCAGTTCCCTATTCATGTTCGATACAACGTTTACGCCGAATGGTACGAGGGTCAAACATCCCGACTCGAACCCATGAAGAAGGCGTTTGCGCGAACCCGCCTAGAGACGCTCAGTACTATGAAGCGTTTGTCTTTGACCAATATCCCGCAGATGGCCAAGACCCTTGCTAAAACCGCTTATCCATCTCCCGGTATCGTTTGCAAGGTCGCGCTGCAGCAAATCGAGTCCTACAGCAACCTGATCGAGGCCTTCGTAGAGTGCGCCAAGTATTTCACAGACCTTGGTTACGATGTTCTCGTCTGGTCTGTTCTTAGCTCTCTTGGTGGGCAGCAGAGAAGCCGGACACAGGAAAGCTCGGTGCTGCTTACCAGCAAGTGGCTCCAGGCGTTGTCCAGATTCTCCGGCAAGGTCTTCCTCCGTTATTCTAGGATGGATCCCACACCTATCCTTCGTTATGTGGACAATCAGCTTTCCAAGGGTAACTCCACTGACCTCGTCATCCTCAAGGAGTTGATCTCCTCCATGGGAGGTGTGGTTTCAGACCTGGATTTCACCGATGCACAGCTTCATGCCATGACCGGTGGTGAGCTTCTAAGACGCGAAACCCTCACCAACCTAGGCGATAAGCGTTATGTATCAACCAAGAGTGCCGACCGACTCGTTCAGGCGCTCATGACTAACGGACTTGCTGGCCGCCTCCTCGCCAACATCGCTCAGTACCGCCAAAGCGCCATCTCTGCGGTCGTTCAGGGCGATGCTCACATCAAGTACCTAGCCACCATGGCAGACGATACTCACCAGGTGCTACTGCAGTACCTGGACCTTCTCCGCAGTAGTCTTGATGGAGAGACCTTCAACAACCTTGTTCCCAGTGTCATTCGGCTCATGCGCGACTACGGTCTTGGGGCAGGTCTTGCGTTCTTGATCGGACGGGCCAGTATTCGCACGGCTATGAACCGAGTCCGAGGTCAGTCAGAGAGTCAGGCGCCGGCTGCCTCAGCTGCTCCCGATACGGACGGAGATGTGGCCATGACTACAGCAAATGGCGATGATGCTGCGAGCACGCCTGCCGCCGACGGCCAAACTACGGTTCCAGCTCAAGGCGCAAATGAACGGAAAGTGGACCCCGTTTTGGAGCCTTTCCAACCTGTCATTGACGAGATCCCCACTGTCTTGTCAGAGGACACTCTCCGATACCTCACCCCCACCTGCTATGTCCTCTTCTGGGCCTTGCAGCTGGGTGACCTTTCTTTCCCACAGGATAATTACAGTGACGAAATCAACAGGCTCAAGAAGCTTGCTAGGGAGGTAATGAACGACAGATCGGACATGACACGAATTGGAATGAACAAGAAGACGCAGAAACAAGCCGAAATCAACGCTCGGGTGTCATCCCTTCTCAAGGAGAATAGCGAAGAACTCCAGCGATACTCGAAATTCCGCTTTCAGTTGAGCAGACAGCTCACTACCTGGTTCCCGGCTGATATTACGAAAGTCGATGTGACGGCAGATACCATGCTTGAGGAATGCATTCTTCCTCGGTTGCAGCTTTCTGGTTTAGATGCCGAGTACAGCTTCAAGTTCCTCAAATTCCTTCACGAGTTCTCAGCACCAAATTTCAAGCTCATGTCACTCTACGACCGACTTTTCCAGCACAACAGGCTCCGCAGTATGCTCTTCACTTGCACTGTACGTGAAGCGGAGCACATCGGTCGGTTTTTGAAGTGCATTCTCAGCGAGCTCTCAAAGTGGCACGGTGACAAGAATGCTTACGAGAAAGAAGCACTGGGCTCGAAGGAGGTGCAAGGTAAGAAAACAAGGAACTACGTTGGTTTCGCTACTGCCTTTGACGCGGACGGGAAACCCACGGCTTTCGTTGAACACGATGCGTTCCGTGACCTCCTCTTCAAATGGCATAAGGAGCTCAACTCGGCACTGAGGGCATGCCTCAATGATATGGAGTGGATGCATATCAGGAATGCCATTACAGTATTGAAGGCTGTTATCGACTTCTTTCCGGCGATCAACTTCATGGCCGAGAAGTTCTTGGAGCAACTTAAGACCATCACTGAGCGAGAGGCTGCCTCCAAGAACGCTCCCGAAACCGAGGAAGGCCATCGTGTCGATCTCTCGGTTACAGCACAGACGGCGTTCTCTGAGCTACAAAAGAGGAAGTCCAAATGGATCCTGGTTCAGGCATTCCGCCCTGGTATAGTAAGTGCATCGGCTCAGGCTCCGACGCGTACAAACGCTGACCGAGCACAGACGGGTGATTCGAAAGAGGAGGGCAAGTCCTCTCTTCGCGCTGCAGCAGCAACCCTCAAGCCCAATTCCCACGGAAGGAAACAAAGCGCCGCCGAGGTTGAAGATGGTGAAGTCAAGGATGGCAGAAGTGGAAGATCTGGCGCGGCCTCCGGAAACCAGAAGGACTCTGCTCCGACAAGAAACCTCCCTACTAGGGAACCGCAAAAGGACGCTAACCCTCCACAAAGGTCAATGGGAGGCAATGGACCGCCTCCTCGACCTCCAGCGCCCAACGCAGGTCCTCTACCGACCAAACTTCCTGGAAACCGCAGTGATGTCAACAGACCATCGACACTAACATCTGGCGGCCGTGGCCTGCCCAGCAATCCTGATCTGCCAAGGAGACCAGATGTGCCAATACCAGAGGTTTTCAGTGCCAGCCACTTTAACCGAGCCCAGCACAACATGAATAACAGAAGAGAGCCCGCTTCATCTAGGGATGGTCGTGATGCCCGAGAGCCGCGTGAGACTCGGGAGCCGCGCGAGACACATCCTCGTGAAACGAGGGAGCCCGTGCATGGTCGGGAGAGCAGAGACTATCGAGCGCCGGAAACGTCACGCCCTGAACGACCGCGCGACTTCCCATCAACCGACAGGCGTCCCGCGGAACCGCCTACAAGGGACTCATCTCGCCCATCCGATAGGGATTGGCCGAATCGTGCGGAACCGCCACCTCGTAGGACCGAGCCTACAGCTGCCCCTGGACGTGATGGCCGGCAGCCACGAGACAGAACGCCCCATGGTGCTAACCGGCACGATGGAAGACTGTCTAGGGAAAATGCAGGTGCGGCACCTTCAGCGGTTGCCTCATCTCACAATGACGCACCAGAGCCGCCTATCAACCCGGAACGTGCGCGACTCCTAGCAGAAGCCGAACAGAAGCAGTCTCATCCCAACCCACCGAGAGCTGCTGAACAGCCACCTTCTCATATCAACCCGGCGAGAGCTGCTCTCATCACCGACGCTCGTGAGCCGCAAGGCCGTTCCTCGTCCAGGGATCAAACTCGCGAACGACCTCCCCGTACAGAATCTCCCAGGTCATCTGAACGGTCGGCGACCAGTCAGGCCGATAACGCTCGCGACGACCGTCAAGGGCGCCATCGACATTCGGATTACCACAGCACCGGCCGTGACGGGCACGCACACGGAGATATCGGATCGTCACATGGCCGCCTAGACCGCCCTGCTGATAGAGAAATCGAGAGACCAGGAGGATCCAGAGATGGTTCATACACTCAACCTCCTCCTCGCGGCACGGACCATGACCATGGCAGACCTGTCCAACAAGATCCTAACTACGGTAGGCTGAATCCTATCCAGTCAATCGTTGACAGTGGACCGGCAGCAGTACCAGCAGCAACTTCGGGGTCCGGCGGTCCACCGCCATCAGGCCCGCGGGGTCGTGGCAGGAACAACGCTAGGATGGGTCCTGCTAACGGAGTCCCAATCCGTCCTGACGGCCGATTCCCGGGTATGGAAGCCAACCGTACATCCTCTCCCGATCGTCAACCCCCGACTGGTCCTTCGTCTTCACGACAGTCGCGGAGAGGTCAGTATGATAACGCAGGCGGCAATGTCAACGCACCACCTTCTTCTCTGCCTTCTCAATCTCCCGGCGTTCATCCTGATCGGATGAGCCACATCAATCAGCAACCACAGCAAGGCGGTCAATCAAGTCAGCAACAACAATCACAAGCTGGACCGCCGCCGCCTCCGCCCCCACCACCTTCGGCTCCGGGAGTTCACCCTGATCGGTTGAATCAAATCAACCCTGATCGGTTGAATCAAATCAATGGTCCACCTAGTCATCGACCAACTGGTCCAAGTGCCCATAACCGGCCTCCGATCAACACCCCAGACCGACCCTCCATGTCTGCACCTAACAACAGCGGACGGCAACAACCCTCTGGACAGCATGGCTCGAACTTCGCCACTCCTACCGGCCCATCAGCTTCTAACAATGACCGCATGAGATCTGGCGGAGGAAGCAGACAGCTTCGTGGTATCCAGAACATGCTTGATAAAGCATCTATGGACGCTCGCGGGCCTGGTTCGCGCATGCGTGGGTCGTCAAGACTCAACACCATGGTGGACTCGGATGCGCAAGTGCTAGCTGGTGCATCACCCGGCAACACGCCTGTCAATGACAGGCCCGACCCCCTCAGAGACATTCGTGAGACCGGTTCGCGCAGGGAAATGAGCACGGACCGTGGCGATCGGGATCGGGACCGTGGTAGAGATACCAGAGATAGGGAGTCCAGAGACCGAGAGCCACGTGGTGGTCTGGCGCCCATCCAAGTTGTCGGTGACAGTCGTGAGGATTCCTCGTCGATTCCACATGGCGGTCACTCCCGTGGTGATGTGAACGGAGAAGGATATGGCTCCAGCAGCAGAGGAGGAGCCGGCGGGGATCACGAGCGCGGAAGTAGCCGGCACCATAGCTCTCGCTCGGAGAGAAGCGACAGGCCTTCGAGGAGAAACAGCCGCGAGCGCAACCCCGGTGGTGGTGGCGGTGACGCGAAGGAGTCGAGTTCTAGAAGCGACTATTCCAGAGAAAGTAGGAGCCGTGGCGGCGGCGGTGGCGGCGGCCCATCGACGGCTAACGCACCTGGTGGCCCCAGTGCCGACCTCATCACGGGTGGGTCTTCGCGTGGTGACCGGAGATCCGGCCGCGATTCCAATGCCGGAAGCGGATCTGGTCACAGAGGCGGTGGAGGAGACATGCCGCCCCCGCCACCTTCAAGAGAACCCAGTCATCGCGGCCATGGCAGCCACAGAGGTGGAGGTGATGGATCAAGCCATAACCAGGGTGGACCGCCGCCTATGGGAGGCGGAAGGAGCGATGGCCATGGTAGGCCGCCGCGGGAATCAAGATCCTCCAGGCCTAGCGGACCCGGTGGTGGACATGATGACATGAGAGGAGGTGGTGATGATAGGTCAAGGAAGCGGAGAGGTGATGGAGTAATCGATTCGTCTCAGGGGCCTGGAGGTCATCAGGACAAGCGGCCGCGTCGCTAGTAGCAAGGCGATCCGCCTCAAGCCGATGAGTTGACATTCCAGAGAAGCGAAAGCGAGGAAGAGGAGGCGGAGCGGAAGAGAAAGAAGTACAGGGAGAAGCATTGGAAGATGATGCCGAAATTGAGGAATGCGCCCACCATCTCAGCCGTTGCAAACGACAACCCAAGCTTTACCCCGGGTCCGTGGCAACCTCTTGGGATGATCCCGGATGATGTACCCATATCGACTGTTACGAGGAGGAAACTACTAGAGGCGTATCCCGCTAGCATTTCATCACGTTTCCGTATCCAGATGCGGATGGAGGAATTGGAAAAAGAAATTTTCGAAGTCATGAACAAGAAAGACAAAGACAACACTGTCCGTCGTCCATGAGGACACTAGCGGATATATCACCGAGCGCCAATTATCCTACCTGTACACTACAAAAACAAAACATTTAGCTTATGTCGCGCGGTTGCTTACTTGTTATTTGCATGCATGCATGTATTGGTGTAGTGGTTGGCTGGTTCTTTTAGACTTAAGCTACATAACATGGTATGGGTATGAGGATAATGGTATGGTGATGATTCCGTACTTAGGTTATAGATCAATCACCTGGCGTTTTTGCAGCTCGAGCGCGATGCGATGATGATAAGATGAGAAAAGGTAGCTAGCGAATTGATGTTTCAACACAGACTCTCTCTCTCTCCTCTACCTTCCTTCCTGGTGCAATGTTGCTCGAATGTTTACCGCCCTTGCTAATACATAATACATACATACATACATTTTCCATAAACGGTGAAATCTCCACCGTTCCCTCACCGTCACCGTCACCGACAACGACGAACGTTCACAATGTTCTCGACAACACACACACCAAACCTCACCCACCACACCCCATACAACCAACACATAACCACGCCTCTACCCTACATAATCTCAACTTGATCACATCATAGGCACATACGGCCATAGATGGTGGAAAACTCGGGATCCCGTCCGCTCTCCCATAGATAAGCCACCAATCGGAAAGTTATTAGAAAGAGCACAATTGTTACAGGGGCTTTGATGGCTCAGCTACACCTTTGCCGGGAGATGAAATGTTAGGATGAGTACGTCGATCCTACAAAAAGTAGGGAAACAGAGGCTAGCGGCTGGGCACTTTTCTGTAAGTGCCACGCTGTGGCCAAAGTCAAAAACTAACCTTCATAGAAGCGTTTCCAGAAGCGTTTCCATCCTATTACTCACGCCAAAGCCCACCGAATACACCGTTTCTACCTACCCACGCCAAGCGCGGCTAAGGCTATAAGGCGGGCTAGCACATTGAAGGTTGGAGTGGACGTTTGTATCTGTTGTGTCCATCTAGCACCGTCGCACACTTGGGTGAAGCCGCATCTTTCAACCTCAGCGCATTAACAGCTGATGCAACATCTAGGCCGACGATGAAAAATACTCAACTATTATTCCCTTTGCTCTTACTGCAACATCCCTCAGCTACGCTCGCAGGACGATGGATTGGGAGCCGTCCTTCTCGCAATTAAAACGTCCCCACCAACACTACGAAGCGTAAGAACCCAAGATATTTGGGCAGGCGAGTCCGACTAGAACCTAAGAACCTAGGCCTATAGCCGACTCCACCGCGTAATAGATCACAAGTGTTCCTGCATCCAAAAAGGCTGTGGAATAAAGTGTATAGTAGTAGCGAAAATGACGACGCTACTATAAGTGTGTTGGCTCTCCCAAGTACTACTAAGGAAGGGATTACTCATCTAATCGAGGGCAATCGAGGCCTTAGTACCATAGTACCAACCTTGGCTATGACTAGGCAGTTACGGGCTAATCCCATGGTATCTGATCCGCACAGGTACTCGCAAAAGGAGAATGAAGGAATGGAATAGTCTTGCCTCCTCGTAATAGAACGTCATCTCAATATCAGTAGAAGATGCTAGAATTTGTAAGATTCTTATAAATTTGCCTATCCTCCCATACCCTTCTGGTGACATGCTAGAAAAATAAAATAGAGGGAAAGTAGTTAGGAGAGACTTAGAATACATTATATGTCCCACGAGAAACCGATAAATGAAACCTGTCCCGTTGCGCTGCCAATGAATATTATCCGCTCTTGGAAGACAGAGCTTTGGGCTCGGCGTTCTGGTGGCAGCCAGAGTACATTCTGGCCATTGCAAGTAATCCAAGAGTTATTTGGTCCTAAGTTATAACCATGTCTCTCTGGATTGTCGAGCACAATTTGGCTTTTGGTAGTTATTATAGCTATATCAATACGTCCAACGTCGGTAAGTAAATAACGGTTAGTATAGTCAAACGATATGTAGTTTACTATAGTGCCGATATTAATCGTTTGGACGCAGCTCCCCAACGCCGCATTCCAGATCTTGATAGTCCGATCGTCCGCACCGGACGCAAGCCGTTGGCCATCAGGCGAAAATGCCACTGAGCGAACCCAACCGCTATGGCCTTCCAAGGTTTGGAGACAGCTCCCCGACGCCGCATCCCAGATCTTGATCGTCATATCGCCCGCACCGGATGCGAGCCGCTGGCCATCGGGCGAAAATGCCACTGAGCGAACGTAGCCGCTATGGCCTTCCAAAGTTTGGACGCAGCTCCCTGATACCGGATCCCAGATCTTGATCGTCATATCGCCCGCACCGGATGCGAGCCGCTGGCCATCGGGCGAAAATGCCACTGAGCGAACCCAACCGTTATGGCCTTCTAGGGTTTGGAGGCAGCTCCCCGACGCCGCATCCCAGATCTTGATAGTGCAATCGTCCGCACCGGATGCGAACCGCTGGCCATCGGGCGAAAATGCCACTGAGCGAACCCAACCGTTATGGCCTTCTAAGGTTTGGAGACAGCTCCCCGACGCCGCATCCCAGATCTTGATCGTATGGTCCCACGAACCGGACGCAAGCCGCTGGCCATCGGGCGAAAATGCCACTGAGCAAACCGAATCGCTATGGCCTTCTAAGGTTTGGAGACAGCTCCCCGACGCCGGATCCCAGATCTTGATCGTCATATCGCCCGCACCGGATGCGAGCCGCTGGCCATCGGGCGAAAATGCCACTGAGCGAACCCAACCGTTATGGCCTTCTAAGGTTTGGAGACAGCTCCCCGACGCCGCATCCCAGATCTTGATCGTATGGTCCCACGAACCGGACGCAAGCCGCTGGCCATCGGGCGAAAATGCCACTGAGCAAACCGAATCGCTATGGCCTTCTAAGGTTTGGAGACAGCTCCCCGACGCCGGATCCCAGATCTTGATCGTCATATCGCCCGCACCGGATGCGAGCCGCTGGCCATCGGGCGAAAATGCCACTGAGCGAACGTAGCCGCTATGGCCTTCCAAAGTTTGGACGCAGCTCCCTGATACCGGATCCCAGATCTTGATCGTCATATCGCCCACACCGGATGCGAGCCGCTGGCCATCGGGCGAAAATGCCACTGAGCAAACCGAATCGCTATGGCCTTCTAAGGTTTGGAGACAGCTCCCCGACGCCGCATCCCAGATCTTGATCGTGTCATCGTTCGCACCGGATGCGAGCCGCTGGCCATCGGGCGAAAATGCCACTGAGCGAACGTAGCCGCTATGGCCTTCCAAAGTTTGGACGCAGCTCCCTGATACCGGATCCCAGATCTTGATAGTGCAATCGTCCGCACCGGATGCGAACCGCTGGCCATCGGGCGAAAATGCCACTGAGCGAACCCAACCGTTATGGCCTTCTAGGGTTTGGAGGCAGCTCCCCGACGCCGCATCCCAGATCTTGATAGTGCAATCGTCCGCACCGGATGCGAACCGCTGGCCATCGGGCGAAAATGCCACTGAGAAAACCGAACCGCTATGGCCTTCTAATGTTTGGAGGCATGCATTCCAATCTGATTCTATAGCCGGCTTACTTCGAATCCAGTCAGGTTCTTCTGCTTTGAAATTGCTCTTTATTAAGCTGCTGGACGGAGCAAACACGAGCGCTGATATATAAGCTTGAAGCGGAGCTTGCTCTATTATCCATCTATAAGATAGAATAAATCGGTGAGCATCCCGAACAAGTTTTGTTAACTGCCACTGATCATTGCCTCCCTATATCTTTAAGTTAGATCGAGTTTCCAGTGCGGAGTTAGACTTATACTTACTAGCAGGCCCTCGAGCTTTCTAATAGCGACAACGCCCGCAGGCATAGCTTGGAATAGACTTAGAGCTTCCAGCCAGTAAAGGTACTTCGTCTTGAGGAATGTATAGACAACCCCGTTGTCCTGTAAAAGATCATTCTGGTTTGTGTTCGTACTGGAAACCAAGTCGCACAGGTGATCAACCCAGTAGACGCACGAGTACCGCACCGTCGCTAGCGGGTCCGGATTCGGTACTTGGACCTTGTCGCTCGGAAATCCCGGTGCCCTTAAGCCGTATATGTCGCGTCGCAGTGTTGTAGACATGGCATCAAGTGACCTCGAGAAGATGGTATAGTTCACATCTTCTTTCCCAGAAGGAAAAATCCACCTGAACGCCTCCTGAGAAGCTTGGTTACCAGCTTTATCAGAGGCATTGCCAAGTAAAAAGTCCTTAGCTGATTGATGGACAAAATAGATGGTTCGTTCTCGTAGTGTTAGAAATGAACCACAAAGCCCTATAGTTGTTTCTAATGACTCGGAATCGTCGTAAGTGTTATTAAGCTTGTCGGCGAGAGTGGTTAGTTCTTCAAGGGTGATTGGCCGGCGAACAATTGTAACAATAGCAAGAAGGTGCTTGCAAGGATCAGATTCATCGAGCTGGCTCATATCCTCTCTCATCCGCGCATATAGAGCATCCAGTCCAGATGGAAACATGCGTAGCTTTTTTAGGGTAAACCCTTTCTGGACCTTCTCAAGCGCTTGACAGACTAACGCTACCCAAAGGAACGTATCTTGCGCGTTGGAGCAAAGGTAGTCCTGAACGGTCTTTTTTATCCTTGGATCATACTTCTTCAGCCCTGCTAGGTCATCCACCTTGTGCAGGATAAATGCATTGACAGCCGCTGCGACGGATTCCGCATTTAGCTCCAGGGAGACCTTCACTTTATCTGCGGCTTTCTCCAACCGTTCCTCAATTTGCGGCCAATTACGGCTTGAGACGATCCACTTGACTCGAGATCCAGATGATGATTGCTGAGCAATTAAGTCGAGAAGCTGTGGCAGGTCTGTTGTAACGCACTCGTCAAGCGCGTCAATGACTAGGTAGGTCGTTCGGAGGCTTGGGTCTCGTAGGATGTTGGTGAAGATTCTCGACAGGGCGTCCCACGTATTTGCATCTTTGAAGAGGCCTTCGCCTGCACGGTCGTACTCACTGCGCACGTGTGAGAGGATAGATGGCTGCTGGTCACTAAGTAGGTAGATTAGGCCGCGCAGTACAGCGGCTGCATTGTTGATGCGAGAGTCGGTAGCTTGGCAGAAGAAGTAGGCCACATTGCAGTGGCGCGCGTTGGCAGTATCGCCTTGATCCAGCTCATTGATGATGCTGCACAGCTCATCGATAATACCGCATAGCAACATAGTCTTCCCTTTGCCGGGGTCGCCCTTGATCCAGAGCAGTCGGTGCTGTGGGTCGTCACGCCATTGTTGAAAGTCAGCGTTATTGAGGACCCAACGATACGAGTCCTGCAAAAGGCCGCCTTTGGTCCGTTCGATGCGGACTTTATCATCGCGAGGATCGGTAAGGCGCAAGTGCTTCAGGCATTGCTGGTCCTTCTCTGACATTTGTTGTATTTCTTGGTGCCTTGTATAGCTAACGAGCTGCTCGAGATGAGACGTCCCTTTCCGAGTAGTGTATGTATGGGCGTCTGTGTCGAAGCGCTTCTCAGCGTCTTGAATAGCCGCCAAATAAGCATTCCAGTCATCAAGCTTGACTATATCTCGGAGAAAGGCCAGGCCGCGGTTGCGATAATAAGCACAAACACTCTTAATCTGGTAAGAGAGGAACGCTTTGTAGAGGTTAACAATTTGGATCTTCAATTCGCCTCTCATTCCATTGAGTTCGCTGATGTTGGTGGGCTTAAGAAGGCTATTCGACGAATTCCAATACCAGTCCATTCTCTTAATAACGTAGTCGATCCCTTTGCGGTTGGCTTCGGTCGCTTTTATAGGGTTGGCAAGCATCTGCAAAAGTTAGCATGAGAAATATTATCCTCCAGATAAACGTACCTCTAAAGCGATACAAATGCCAGTCCAAGCGAGCGCGGCTTGGGGCACGGCCTGGATTGCCGCACTTATAATGTTCTTAACGGATAGAACAACGTCCACGACTTCGCCACAGCTCTCTTTCCCTTTGGCCTCTCTCTCAGTCTTGGCTAGGCCGGCATTGATAAGCTGAGTCATTTGGCGGCGCCTGTCCGAGTCGTTTTGGGCGATGATGTTCGGCTGAGACTCGATGTTCGGCTGAGACTCGAGCACCATTGAGTTGGAGCCATTTTGTAGCTGTTGGGACAGTATCTTCTCATATGCGTCCACCAATTTGACCTCTTCTTGTTTAAGCTCATTATAGGCACACTCCCAGAGTCGTACATATAAGCTGGTAGTGGTGTCATCCGCACCAGCGGACGTCTCTATGTCGACGGAACCAGTAGCCGGAGCGGCTGAGAACCGTGAGGCGGACGTCTCTACGTCGGTGGAACTGGTAGCTGGAGCGGCTAGGGGTCGTGGGGTGGACGTCTTTATATTAATGGAACCGGTAGCCGGAGCGACTCGAAGCCGTGAGGCGGACGTCTCTACGTCGGTAGAACCGGTAGCCAGAGCGGCCGTGAAGGGGAGGGAGGACGTAGAGGGAGTGGCGGGGATGTGCTGTGTAGACGTCGGCAACTCGAGCAGAGGGGCAGGGCGAGACTGCTCTTGGTCCTTAGAACCTTCCCTATCCTCCGCATTTCCGTGTCGCTTGAAACACATCTGGAACCATGAGCGCAGTCGTCGAGGCATCGTAGCTTTGAGGAAGGAACGTCTTGACTGCGGTGAGGATGCTATGGTTGATGATTAATGAATCAAGTTTATGAAAGTGCCGGGAATTCCTCTCTCCTGCCATCTAGGACAAAACAAGGAAAAGAAACTAGAACACTATGTTTTCTCGAGGTTATGAGGGAGCATAGGGCTCTGTGTTGTCACCTTGTTAGGCGCGAGATGGCTGGCGGCTTCCTCCCAATTACCCGCCAATTACCCAAACGACATTTCTTTTTTGAGGCTGGACATTCATGGACTCGGAAGGTTCAGGGCGCCAAATCAATTGCCTGGGTTGGGCGAGGGTCGTGGCTTTCCATCACGGGTCTACATGATTGGCAATAGTGTACTAAGCAGCGGGCGTAGCGCGGGTAGGGCTGTAAATCCGAGTGGAACCTGCAAATTGCAGTAGAGCCTAGGCTGCCAGTGCTGTCAACAACCAAGTCGTTGCAATAACCAGTGTCCTTGAGCGGACAATGCATTGATGCCTTACTTTTCATTTCCTTTGGGAACTGTGGGCGCATGGAACCGACGCCAAGCGGCGATCGCACCGACAGTAAGACATAAAGCAGCTGTTCATACTGCCAAAGAAATGCTTTCATTGAAGTCCAAGATTCAGGTACCGGAAGAGGAGCTTGTACGGCCGTGACTGAGAATTGTGCTAGTATACCCATACCGCGGATATTGCGCTTTGACAAATGTTAACGGGGCTAGCCGTAGTGTCAGGACGGTCAACTTTTCTCGTAATCCGCCCAATTATATTCATCTTTTTAGCGTCGCCTCCCCACTCACCGTAATGCCTCCGTCCGAACGATATGGATATGGGAGGTGGTTGTTCAGTTTTTGGACCCTACCACGTGATTAAAAGACCCGGTTCATATCCTTCCGACTCCGATAGATAAGCTACCATATCGCTTGACTAGTAGTTGGGTCGGTGACGACCAGCGAATCCCAGGTGCTGTATGTTTTTTTTCTCTTTTGGCTTTTTGGCTTTTTGATTTTGGTTTCCGTTTCCCTTTTTTTTTTCCTTTGTGCATGCATGAGTGGAAGAAGTTGGAAGCCATCGTCGACGAGTTTGTGATTTGTTTTTTTGCTTTGGTGTTTTGGAACATGTGAGACGCTCACCTGCAATTCCTGCAATTGCAGACTGGTGTTATTGTTGTTGTTGTTGTTGTTGTTGTTGTTGTTATTGTTGTTGTTGGAGATATGGACTTGGTGCGACAGAAGAAGAATCAAGTACAATCGAATGCTGATAGAGTTTACCAGGGGGGGGTTCTTTAAATATCGATACCTGAATAAGAAGGTTCGATAGTTCGTCATGGTTCATGAATGATGATTCTGTCTTGTCTTCTTCATGATATTCATTACACATTCGTGGTATAAGCACCCAAAAAAAGAGACGAGCCCCAACGCCCAACCTAATATGACATGGCATGACATAACGGGAAAAGAGCGAGAAAGAAGGAAGCCGAGATTTCTTTTGAGGATATATAGAGAGAGATCATAGATGGATGATGATAATAAAAAAGCAGACCAGCGGGAGAGACCTCATCCCAATCCAATACATGGTTTCCCAAACACACACTAAATAACCTTTCCCAGACATTTCGTTCACCTACCCATTCAGCTGCTCAGTCGCTCGCTCGCCTACCCAAAAACAAAACAGACAGCAATTCCTATCCAACATGCCTTTTCCTTTTTTTCAGACTCCCATACTCCCACTACTACTACTACTCATCCCACTTTACCTCATCAACCGGGTACTCCTATAGACCAACTTCGATATGTCTATGGGTTCTGGATCCGCTGATGGGTCGACCGCAGCTATTATCCCATCATTGGCAGCACTGGCATCCCCATCCTCCAGACCCTCATCCACCTCAATTTTGGCATCACCCTTGACACTCCCGCTCACTGTGCTTCCCTCCGACTCCGTCGCCGGTGCCGTCCTCTTGACTCCCTTTTCTACCACCGTCACCACCACGCTATCCTTGGCCGCCTCCTTCACGGAGCTCCTTGTGCTCTTCACGCTCGTCACCCTCCTCATGCTCTGGGGTCTGTAACTCCTTGCTCCCATGCCCATAGGAATGGCGCTCGCAACAGAGGTTCCTCCCCTGGGCATCGATCCGGCCGCGCCACCAGCGACCGGTTCGCCAGAACCATCTCCACCAAGATCCTCGCGCCTGACACGCTCCATCTCCTTGGAAGCCAAGTCCTTGGTCTGCGACAGACGCTGCTTGATCTTGGTGACTTCCTCGCCGCAGTCGCCGTCACGAAGGAACTGATGGGCGGCGTGCTCGCACATGGACTGGACGAACTCGAGACCATTATCAAGCGCATCGTAGACGTCCGGCCCGGCACCCTGAGGCGGTTGGCGGGCACCGGCACGGCCCATAGCCGCGCTCATGCGGATACCGGCCAAGGGGTTGGCGCGTACTCCACCACCTTGGGCCAGCATGCGGACTTGGTCGCGCGCGCGACGAGCAGCTAACATTGCTTGGACTGGATCCAGGTTCTCCGCGGCCAGAGCGGCGGCCGACGCATCGATGTTGTTCACTGCCTTGGGGTCGGGCACCAGTTCCCCGTTCGCGGCATCTCCACCGTTATCATCATCGTCGGGCGGCGTGTTGAGCTCCGCTAACCTCTTGATCTGTGCAACCTTGGCTGCCATCTTGGCCTTGCGCATCATGTTCCTGCTGGCGCTCACAAACTTGACCAGCTCTTCGAAAAAGCTCTGAACATAGCTGTCGTAGTAGACAATGATCATGCTCCGGCTGCGGTACTTTGGTGGCTTGTCGGCATTCTCGGCGCTCATGACTGAGTCAGTTCGTTGGCGCTTGCGAAGGGTAGCACGCGCCTTGGCCTGACCTGCTGCACGGACTTGCGATGTTGTTCGCTGCAGGGCCCCGGGAGAACCTGGCGTTTGGGGGCTAGTTGGTCGTTTATCCGTTGTCTCGTCCTCCTTGTAGTTTGGATGGGCGGACGGCTCATCTTTTGGCCTAAGACTTTCGGTTGACCCCTTGTTCCTCAAAGACTTCCGTGACGGGGATCCTGGCTCTCTGCCGGGCGATGATGGCTTGGACTCGGTAAGTTGGGCCAACTCCTGCTGGCGCTGTTCGATTTGGCCGTTGAGCTCATCTAGGCGATGTAGCCAGTCGGGTATACCGAACTCGAGGTTTCTGAGGGCCTCCATGGCGGCGTCGTCCTCCTCGGATGAGGCAGGGCTGACAGTGGTACGTCTCTCTTCAACACTTTCGGGCACTTGTCCTTCCGCGGCCGCTGGCGCGGGACTTTCCTGTGGGGAAGCCGTGGTTGCGACTTTGATTTGGAACACCGGTTGGTTCGCTTTGAATGGGCTTAGTTGAAGGGGCGCCCAGGAATACTGCGGATCACTCTCGGTCTGATAATATCTTCTTGTTTGAGGTACGGAGTAGTAATGGACGTAGAAGCGCGAGTGGTTTAGAGTGTAGGTCGGTGCGGCGGCTTGTTGATGAGACGAGATGAACAGGCGGCGTGAAAGGTTGAGACGATTGGGGACGTGCTTTTGTATGTCGTTGGCCGTCTCGGTCTGTCTATACGAGGCGTTGGGGTTTGAATGAATGGACGGATAGACGGGTGGGCGGATGGATATAGATAGAATGCCGGACGCTACGGAGGGGGAGAGTTTGGACGGTTTGGTTGCACTGCAGCCGAGGAGCAGGAAGCCCAGTCAATTCGTTCGTTCAGTGTCGGATGTCGACGATAAGAAGATGTTGTGGGATGATGGTTTGGATTGGAATGGCGTGCAACGGAAAAGAAGCAGTGTCGATGTCCAAGTGCAAGTGCAAGTGCAAGTGGGAAAAAGGGCGAGAGGTCGAAGGCAGCTGCAGAAATGGCAGTCGAGCGGTCCGGGGGGTCCGTTGTTGACTGCTGACGGCTGACGGGGAGTGACTGGGAGGGGAAGAGACCCGGAGAAGCTAACAGCGGTCGGGCTGGGATAGGGGTCACTACCGGCGGGGAATCGCCCAAAGTGCGTGACCTCTGGAGCGGATCTCCTAGGTAGCGTCGGGTGTCGGCTCGAGTCTAGAGTCTTTGACACCACAAGTCTTTGACACCAAAAGGTTGAGAACTTGAGAAGAATGAAGAGAGGGTGAGGTGACAGAAAGAGAGAGAGAGAGCAAAAAAGAGAAGAGAAAATGCCAAATGTCAGAGACAGAGAAGGAACAAAGATCGGATGAAAATCTGTTCCACTCCCGTCTTGTACCACTGCACAGCACTGCAGGTGCACTGCTGCACTGCACTTCTTCCCTTTGGGCAGTCGTGGTCGCGGTTGGGTAGAAACCACGACGGGGCCTGGGGGGACCTGCCTGCCCTGCTGGGGACGGGAAGGTGTTCTGTTAGGTGGCGGTGTCCGCGTGGGAGATTGTGCGCGCGAGAAGGGCGGATATGCGCCAGACTGCAGCAGAGCAGTAACAATGCAGTAACAATGCAGTAACAATGCAGTAACAATGCAGTAACAATGCAGCAGCAATGCAGCGACAATGCAGCGACAGTGCAGCAACACAATCCTCGCTCGACAATGCAGCGTCAGGTGGCATTGAATGCCAATTGCCAGCGGCGGCCAAGACCATGCTAATGCTCTCTTTATCCTCAAGAGGGCTAGCCGCCTTTCAAAACCTTCATCCCGAGCCAGGGCCGCCTGGTATGGGGCCAGGGGGTTGCATAACCTATCAAGCCCATCGGTCCACCTTTACTGAAGTCCACTTCGCACGCTTGCCTGATTCTCTTCCTTCCCGTCTGTCTCGCCGAGTTTCTGTTGTTGCCTGGTCCTTGTCAAAGTCAACGGTTCAACAGTTCGTTTTTGGAGCCTCAGCTCTCTGGAGAAATTGGTCGACATATCAAAGAGTCTCCAGAGATAGTTATTACTCTAGGCCACGGATATGGTCTGATGTTATAACAGCGTTCCCACCTCGGTCTCGGTTTTCTGTCCGATTTGTTTCTGGTGAAAAAGAGGCAGGCGTGGCAGGTACCACAAAGTGCCAGTCTAACTGCTCCAGGTGCCGAGGCATCCACTGCTCAAGGAACCACTCTTGCGTGTGGTCTGTAATACCTTTCAATTTTCATGATATGTACATTCACTGTATGGGAAAGGAAAGAGCGGGGTAAGGGTACATTTCACGTGCTGTCCTCATCAAAGATGTCCAGTTCAGAAACACCAAAGGAATAGAAGCGAAGTCGCCGAAACGCGGAGGCTCTGTGCGGTGGTTAAGCGGAAGTGGTAATTGATGAGATGATCGCCCGACCGGCCGAGTCGACCGACTGACCAACCTTCGGATGTGTCGCCGACACTCGAGCCCAGCCAGTCAGTTTACAGCGAGCCCTGTTAAAAGTGAGGAGGAAGTGTCAGATTCAAGGGTGGTTTTAGCCATACCATATGGAGGTTAGCGCTCCAGCCACCTCATATTGCCTGATTTCTGGGCATATCTGGGTTATCCTAGCACCCCCTATATCTTCTGGGCGAGTTAGTTATATATACTCTTTAATTAATTAATTCTATACTATTATATTTGATAATTAATAGTCTGATTTGCGTATTTACGTTTAACGCTACAATTATTGATTATAAGTAATATCTTTATGAAATTAATAACGTTAGTTATATCTTTATTAAAGGAATCTACCGATAAAGTTATTATAGTTATTTTTAATACCCCTGCTGACTGGCCTAATTAGTATAAAGCTTTCAAGAGATTCGTTAATAGTAATTAGGACTTTGGTAATTAGCTATTTAAGGGAGGATTTATAATTTAGAGGGTTTTACCCCCGAAGCCAGAAGATTTCTTCCTTACTAAGTAAGTAAAGAATTGCCTTCTAGCGGTAAAGAAGGAGTTCGTTAAATTTAATAGAGGAATCCGGATTAAGAAGGCCGTAATTATAATTGTAATAATTACTATTATTACGGCTATTAATACGAATAGTACTATTATTAAGATTATTATTGCTATTTAATTTTAAGAAGAAGCCGCCGCCGGCGCTAACGAAGACGATAAGGAAGGAAGTTTAGGAGAAGAAAAAGAAGAAGAGGAAAAGGAAGATAATAAATATTGTATTAAGTAGGATATTAAGGAAAGTATAATTATTAACTCCTTTATTGATTTAATAATTGTTAGGAAAGTAGTATATAATTAAATTAAAAATACGTATAATATTCGCTATAAATATTAGAAGGATTTTGATAACGTTAATACCCGAATTTGTAATTGGATAAATACTTATATCATTGCTTATTATACTGATACTTTATTTAAATAGGATAAATCTACCCGCGATTAATTTAAAGAACTTAAGAATTAGATTAATTATTGACCTATCGATTAAATTGTTAAAGTTTATTTAAATTATTAAGACTTTATTAAAGAAATTATAAAGAAATAATTTAAGGATTTTAAAAACTAATTATCCGATTAGAAAATCCTTATTATAAATAGGAAACAATTTAGAATTAATAAAGTAACCTCTACTATTTTATAGTTTACCGATTTTATTGATATAATTTATAAATATAAATCTATTTACGTTAATAATTTTTAGAAATTTAATAACGAATTTAAAAAGATATTTTTAAAATATAAGGATATATTTATTAATTTTAAAAAGGTTAATATATTAGAACGTACTATATTATTAATTAATTTTGTAAAGGTTATAGTTTGTAGCGTTTAAGGTATTAGCTATATTAATTTATAAGAATTTACGTTTAATAAAGAGGACGCTCTTAATTTTAATTATAAAAAGAAGTGGAAAATAAATGTAAGGAAGAATTGTAATGCGGATAAAAATATAAAAGATTCTTTATAACTAAAAAAGAGAGGAGGCGTTACGCCGTTTTATAAAATTTACGAACAAGGCCTTTATTTAATAATGTACTATTAGTATTTAATATTTAAAATAAAGATAATTCTAAATGAAAGTTAAGTAGCCTTATTTAAAAGTTTATGAATAAAAGTTTTGAAAAGTATTCAAAAATTAATAAAGAAGTTGAGAAGGCTAAGAATTAAATACGGGACCGTTTTATTACTTTTATATAAATTACTATTTCGAAAAATTGAAAGAGACGAAAAATTAATACTTATAATTTAATATTTCTTATTAAATAAAATACTTTTAATGCGAATAGCTATAAGGGTAATATTTATTTACTTAAGAATTTTATAATTTTTAATTCCGGGGCTTCTATTTATATTTTCAATAAAATTAATCTTTTTTTTTTCGCTTCGAATAACGTCCTTAAAGGATTGCGTTTAGGTTAGTAAATTTTAAATACATATTAAGGGTTTTAGAATTATTAATGTAAAAATATAAGGAGAAAGGGGAATTTTAAAATTACGGTTAAAAGAGGTAACCTTCTACTTTAACTTTACTATTAATTTTATATTAGTATGCCTACTTCGAAAACAAAGTTTTTATTAGGATTATAAACCCCTTAATAATTATTTCCGTTAATTACATGGTTTATTCTTTTATTTCTTTTAAAGAATTTATTATTAAATAGTTTTTAAATATTTACTCCTCTCCTTTAATTACACTACTTTCTTTATTTATTAAAATCGCTTTAATTCTTTTATTAGCTGTCGTATATATAAAATACTTGTTAAATTCTAATATAAACGATTTAATTATTATAATTTTTAAATCTTCGAATATTTTTATAAAATTAAAGGCGTTAAATTTAAAGGGCCCGTTATCTATTAATATAATGCGTATAATATTTTAAAAATTAAATGATAAATTAAATGAAAATTACGAAATAAGGGACTTAGTCCGGGAGAGTATTTCGCTGTTGATTTCTTCGAATATAAAGTAGGGAGAGGTAGTTTTAAATACGTTATATTTATTACTTATCGATAAATCAAATTTATTCGTAATTTACTATAAAAGGGTATAAACCGAGCCCTGTAAGCCTATTTGTAATTATTTACGTATTTATAGTTGCAAAATATATATAATAACGGGTATTATATAGAAGAAAGAGTAATAGCGTAAAAAGTTTTAATTAAAGGTTTAGATTGGATTCTTTATTGGCTATACTACCTCTTCTATTTCTTAAATTTAGAACCCATAGATTAACCATATCGTTTATACCTGTAATATACTTTTTGATAAAGATTTAATTTATTTAAAGAACCCTAATAAGTTTAAAAAAGGATTAAAGTTAATTAATAATGAAATTGCTAATCTATTTAATCAAATTAATTAACCTTTTTAATTATTTATATAATATTTTGAACCCTTTAATATAATTTAAAATATAAAAAATAACGGTCTTATCCCTCTCCTACTGTTATTTTTCGATAACGAACTTTAAAAAAACAATAACGAAACCGTTTTGAAATTAATAGAGGCTACCATTTAAAATAAAATATTTATCG